GCTGTAGTGAAGAAAGTGTTTTCTTCGGAGTTAGCTCTAGATTGAGCTCGAGTTTTCGGAGGCATAAAAATGATATGTCAGTACGACGTTAACGGATTGAGTTTAATTATACTGTTAAGATCATGTACACCGTGTAACCGTGCCAAAGCTACAAGGTGCCTAAGTGCGAAAGACGAATGGGACAGTAGTGAAGTTATTAACAACACCGCCGTTACGCCGTTAGTCCCCGGAGAGCGAGAGTAGAGAGAGAGGAGCTAAGTAGCAGCCAGGTCGGAGCGGCGGTATCGCCGGTGACGAGGAGCGAACCAGAGGATGTATAAGTCCTAAGGTAGGGTAGAGAGTGCTTCAAGGCAGTGAGCCTGAAGACTTAGAGGAGCACAGAGTAAAGGAGGGAATCTAAGTCGATAATTAAACTGAGGAACTACAGTAGCGTACAGGCAGTATTTATATCTACGGAACGGCGCATCGGTGCGGAGCGCTAGACTAACTACTAGGAGCTATACGAGTAGTACCTGCAGGGTAGAGTAAAAGACAATAAGGAGAGACTAGGACGAAAGAGTAAAGACAATAATAAGAGACTAGAACGAAAGGATAAGTGTAGCGAGAAAGAACAATAGGAAGAGATTACAATAAGAATGGATCTTCGGAATCCCGAGCGGCTGAATGGAGGCCCGCGGCATGGACTTGACATGGGCACTCCAACCAACCAATCTAATACACAATATGCGAGTTCACTGCTATCAAATTTATTTAATAGCAAGGGGTAGCGTTGGCAAAGGTTCCGCAAAGCTTTGAGAGCTAAGTACGAAGCTTTGATCAATCAATTTGAATCGTTCTAAGGATTCGATATATTCCTTTGATCAAGGTAGATTCAGCACAATTTGTGCTTTGGTTTGTATTGATTTGGGTATATCAAGAATTGGGGGTTTGAATCAAAGTAAATTAAAACCGAAACACACAGACCCCTACAGAGGGCTAGAACTATGTGCTGGCACAACCACACAGCGTGATTTGCCCTTAAGACCAACGACTGATCCTAAGTTCGAAGAATACCCAACAACTGGATAGACTTCTCGCAGTCACAAGGAGCAGAACACGACGTTCCTATACTCACAAGTGCCGGGCCCGAATGGCTGCTAGCGAAGAGGTTTCAGTCTGGCGGGAGTGTGTCTTTCCTTTTTACGGATTAGCACTGCAACGTCGTCCCAAAATCACTTGTATTCCAGATACATCGGATCGCTATTTATACATACAGAATATAGAGTCGCATAGTACAATTAATTTAATACAATAAACGTTCGGAACCGCAAGGAAACTTCTACACTCAGTCAGATACCATTTAATTTGAATCTACATGTCCTTATTTGGTCCATATTGGTTCCAAGATTCTAGTATACCTCCAAACATAGGTAGGTACTTCAATATTCATTTAATTTAATTGTTTTTAGAGAATGACTCGAATGGTGTTCAACTGTCATTGCGGTTCAACACTTACTTCGATCGTTTGTCATCTCGTCCGGAGGCAAATCAGCTCTCCTCGATTCTAATCCTATCAATCTGATTCATCTGGATTAAACTAATTGCTTCTCTCTTTCAATAGACACCCATTGTGCCTATACTCAATCAAGGGAGTTACACATAGTATTCATTTAATTGCATTCTTCAATATTTTCTACGTCAGGACTCTTTGACATTCATTTGATATGTCTTCGGAGCCTCGCAGTACTTCGATCGTTCTTCTAGTCATTTTCCTCAACCATGCAACTTGATTGGTCTATTAGACTAAATCGCAGTCCTTTAGATTAATGCATGATCTTGTTCTAGAAGGAGTATTTGATAATTCCTGAGTTCTAGAAAGTCATTTCGAGTCAATCCTCGGTTCATGGTCACTTGAGTAAGTTCTTCCAAACTCCTGCCAGTGTAAGGTCCAATAAGAATACCCTTGGTATGTCATACGTGAATGGTCATCCTTCGGATGTAGTCCGAGTCTGGTATAATCCTGCTTGACAAACAGGTAGACTGCTATCCGTAGGTAGTATCGGGGATGGGTAAACTAACCAACTTGTGGTAGTATGGGTATATGGTCCCTTCAACTTATTAGACTGATTCAGTATTGACTTTGACTGTCAATCTGGGTCTCAATTACAGTCCTCTCGATACAAATCTATACGTGAAAATGTCACAATTCACAGCATAGATGTCTAGCCAAAATTTAGGCGTGTCATCGGTCGACTCCGCGGCCCACGTTCATCAACTACTACAACGACCATTATTCCAACATCTTCCCGACCTCCTCCATCAACAAATCCTACGACTCAAGTGCCGAATCCACCAAATGGTCCTCGACCCCGACGTACGACGAAATTAACAGAACGTGGAAAAGAATGGCGTGAAGGGATCCGACGACATGATGAGCTACTTCAAGAACGACGGATTAATGATGGTCTCCCTCCTACTCGTGATGCTCAACTGGATCTCGACATTGTTGGTTGTTCGCTTGCCTGTCGAATACTTGAAGACAATTTTGAATGCATAGACGATGATTCTGAATTCTTTTTCGCAGCTCTTGCAAACATTCCCAGCCCGTTTAATCCCATAAAAACGAACTCGACATCGACATCCAAACCACGAAATTTCGATCTCAAAAAGGCACCATCCACCCGTCGAGAAATGTTATCGAGACCTGATCTCAACGAATGGCTCACAGCTGAGGAAAAGGAAATTTCCGGATTATTCGACTTAGGAGTATTCGAGGAAGTACCGATTTGTCCGAAGGGCAGATTCCCGATTGGCCTAAAAATGGTATATGATCTCAAGATGGATGGAACGAAGAAGGCTAGACTCGTCGCACAAGGTTTCACTCAACGCCCCGAAGACTATGGGAATGTCCATGCACCAGTTACCAGGATGGTTTCCTATCGAATCGTGATGGCGTGGACTGCTAAAATGGATCTAGAGTTGTTTTCTTTTGACGTTAAACAAGCATTCTTGAATGCACCGCTTGCCGAAGAGATCTATGTTAAACAAATCCCAGGCCGACCCATTGCGAACCATCCCAACGCGGTATATCGTTTACGCCGCGCGCTCTATGGTCTTCATCAGGCTTCAGCGGCATGGTACTCGACGTTATGCAAGGCGCTTGACGAAATTGGATTCCAGCGGTGTGACTGCGATAATGCTGTCTTTATCGGCCGATGGTCAATATCACCCGACCCCTCTATCTCGATGCCCACTAACGGTGATCCCCTCATAATGCTTATTCCTGTCCACGTCGATGACGGACTAGTATCCACTAATTCTATTGAACTATACCAATGGTTTATCATCCAAATCAACTGCTGATTCAAAGTTATTGATTTAGGACCAACGTCGACTTTTCTTGGAATTAGAATATACCGAGACCGTCCACGACAACTCTTATGGCTATCACAGGAATCATATGTCAAAGACCTCTTGGAACAATATGGACTGACAGAATGCATCACTCATGATCTTCCACTCCGATATAAGTTTGATGGTCCCGATCCAAATTCTTCCGTTTACGCTGATGTGGATCCTGAATCGTTGACAAAAATCTACCAGGCCCTCATCGGATGTCTACTTTTCCTTGCACTTTGCACACGACCAGATATAGCCTACACCGTCATGTTTCTCTCACAATTTAACTCAAAACCTTCTCCGAGACATCTCATCGCGGCGAAGGGGACTCTCCGTTACTTGGCGAAAACTCGAACGTGGTCTCTACAGTATGGGGGTGATCACCGAACTGACCTCATTAATACTCTTGGTATAGGATCGGATACGATGGCGCTCTCTGACGCTGATTGGGGAAGTAATTCAATGGATCGAAAATCAATTTCAGGTTTCGGTATATTTCTTTTCGGTGGTTTGGTCGCATGGTCCGCTTCAAAACAGAAGAGTATTGCATTGTCATCAACGGAGGCAGAATACATGGGCCTAACACACGTCCTGAAGGAGTTACTCTGGGTTCGAGTATTCACTGCTTTAATCTCCCTTCCCATTCCACATCCTTTCCCCCTAATTTCTGACAACCGTTCTTCTATTGATATTGCTAATTCACGCTCCGTTTCCAATCGCTCCAAACACATTGATATTAGATACCACTTCATCCGTTCACACATTGAAGACGACTCAATCACCACCATTTGGTGTTCCTCTCTTGATATGATTGCTGACATTTTTACTAAATCCTTACCTACAGATTTACACTACAAACATTCTCTATCGCTTGGTCTCGTGCCACTACCTACTGTTACTTGACCACTCCATTCATCGGTGGGGGTGTGTTGGAAGACCTCTTCCTCTTTTGGCCGATTCTTTCCATGTCCACGTGACTCACACTACATAGTTCGTTTTTCGCACGACGCTTTCCCTCAGCTGTTTAGATCCTTGTCGGACTACACTGAGGGTAAGCCAGATTCACTCATTATACCTATGTTACCAGATACTCATTAGCTACTCTTAGCTCATTCTGTTCCTTGTATAGGTACAATAGCAGCTGTTTAGATCCTTGTCGGACTACACTGAGGCTCATTCTGTTCCTTGTATAGATTTGACCTCCAAGAGAGGAGTACTGAGTTACTGAGTAACGGACTTTCTTTTCTCTTCTGTTCTTAAGGTTAGTTTGTTCGTTGCATCTGGGTACATACACATATCTTACACACGACATCCTTCATCCTTATGTTTTGTCTGTACTTTTTTCATTGTTCAGATTACGTACATCGGTCATTTGATTGTCCACATTCGAGTAAAGTAGAGTAGTCCCTGGCGATAGTAGTAACTTCGCTTTGATATACTACTCAGTGCGAAGACAACGACTACCGCATTCAATATTTGTAAAACATGAGATCGGTGGATATTCCTACATTAGATACAAGAGATGCAAAGTTCGAGCATAAGCAGAGACGGAGACGGAGAATGGGGAAACAAACAAGAAAAAGAAGAAAAAAGAGGTAAAGATGAAACAGATCCGTATACTATCAATTCCCACCAACCAACGGCGCCCGTTCCGGATCCTCCAACCGAATCCCACCACTTGCTCTAGAGCGCACAACGAGACCATAACCGCCTTTCAAGACCCACACGAGGGAAAGGAGGGCAAAGGCGAGAGCAGACCAGTGGATGAAGCCAGGAGAGCGTTGGTGTGCGAAGATGGCGAAGAGGGACCAGCAGATGGCGATGGAGGCGGGCAGGTCGCCTTCGGGGGTGGAGAAGGCGTATGTGGCGGCGGTGGCTTCGAGGAAGAATCTAATGGAATATATGAGTATTGAAAAGGCAAGGTATGAAAGTAACGTACAAAGCGAGGAATACTAGGACTTTGGTCCAAACCCCAGCTTTCTCATGGAGCGCATCATTCCCAAACGCCTCAAACACCGTGATGATGACCAGAACCGTGCTCCACCCGTGATACAACGAAAACGGGAGGTGTATAAACAGCTCGTCGGCGAGAGACTGCGACGCGTGGTGTTTCTTGACGATGTAATAGATATGGGTCACCGCGGATGACACGAGGAGTGCGAATACGAACGCAGCGATATAAGATTGACGCGCCCATAGGGTGACGAAGATGGCGTTGAGAAGACCGAGGAGGGGAAGGCGGAAGGAGATGGAGTCGATGATGGTGGGTTTGCCGGAAGGGAAGAATTGGTAGATGATGGTTCCGAGGAGGAGAATGTGGATGAGGGTCCAGATTAAGAAGGCCCAAGGAGCGGGGGTGATGTATGTTTCTTTTCCGGTGAAATAGATGTCGGAGGGGGAAGCGACGGTGTAGATGTTGGATCCGAGGAATAATACGTATACGATGATGTTGACGATCTTACAGGGGAGTTAGTTATTGTGGCGAATCAGCTGCAGAGTAGGTACCTTGAGAAAGATCCCGTCAGTCCATGAACTGGCCATTTTTGAGATGGGGGTGTGTAGTCAAAGGCAGAGGCGAGGCAAGCAGGGTTTATTTGTAGTTGTAGTTGTCCCACAAATGACGCGCGCAGTTCGTCACGCTACGTACATGATGTCATGTCTACAAGTCCGTGAAGAAATCTCCGTTCCTACTTCAACTTGATCAGCTGCTATGCGGGTAGCGGATCTAGTACTAGTGCTAGTGGTACCAGGCTCGGATCAGCCAAGACGGTACGGCTGTAGTGAGTTCTAAGCTGTTCTATAGTATCCCTCTTGGAATACTCCAACATCTCCGAGTCCCACATCAAGGTGTTCTACATACTACATACTAAGCACTGGCACTGGTTCCGGATATACACATACATAGCCCACTTTGGCACATATTGGTAGTGTGAAATATAATGAGGGTCGCGATTGATTGGGTATAGGATGGTTTATATGATGTCTGGGAGGATTATTGGTATAGAACTTCATCTATTAGTCGAGTTTTGCTTAACCCTTTCCACTCAGTAGGTGTTTCCTGGGAGGTCACAATACCCTTCACAGTACTTGTGGTAGTCCACTGGAGGTCTGGTGCCAGCAACAGGTTGTTGTTCTTGGTAGCCGCGTTTTGGTGAGTGCCATAGAACAAAAGCGAATCCTGGAACGAATATGCAAAACTTGAAGCATTGAATTGTTCAGCCAAGTATATATACACATAGGTCGGATTTCCCTGTGAATGGATCCCGGAAGCTATCTCGTAAGAGACGAGTGAGATGTCAGTGATGTCTACTAGAATAGACGAAATACCTCGAGTGATACCAGCACAAGCAGTTCCAGTAGGGATGTAATAGAGCATACAGTATCCAAGAACACAAACATAGCGCGAGAGGTGTTTGTTTGACCGCAAATGAGTAATAGAGACATCAGGTATGACTCGTCACTTGATTATGTTGCGCGACATACAGAGCGATGAAGGATGATGGGTGGTTGGAAACAACCTAATTGCCCTATTGACTCCGAGTCAGAGTAGCGCGTCGCCGGCCCCGACATCCACGTGACTCCGTTTATTGAAAAAAGATCCCTCTTGTGATCGTGGTAACAACGCGCCTTTATAAGCGACGATTCATTTGCTGGTATCTGTATCCAGCACTTTCATCAACAACCGCCATCAGGAGCCATCAGGCCACCCTCAATCTTCTTCCCCCAACTCCAAGCTACTCCAAGCCTCTCTATAAGCGTATACTCAAACACAATGTCTGGCCGTGGAAAAGGTGGAAAGGTGAATTAGTTGCTTGGGATTCGCTCTATGTTTGTTGGATGGTTTTACTCATTGATTGTGTCTGTCTATCTGTCTATCTGTCTGTCTGTCGGTTTGTGTTTGTTGTCGTGTAGGGTCTCGGAAAGGGCGGAGCTAAGCGTCACCGTAAGATTCTTCGTGATAACATCCAAGGTGTGTGTGTGTGTTTTTACTCCTCATCGTATATTCCTCGCCTTTTGCTAATCGTAAATCGCTAAATCGCATTCTTTCCTTTCCTTTTCCTTTCCTTTCCTCGCCACTCCCTCGCCCACTTCAGGTATCACAAAACCCGCTATCCGTCGTCTCGCCCGTCGTGGTGGTGTGAAGCGTATCTCCGGTCTCATCTACGAAGAAACCCGTGGTGTGCTCAAGATCTTCTTGGAGAACGTCATTCGTGATTCTGTCACCTACACTGAACACGCTAAACGGTAAGCGGCGTACCTACCTACCTACTATCCCAAATTCTCTATCTACCACGCTGATATATGTATATCATTCCGTTTTCATTAGTAAAACCGTTACTGCGCTCGACGTTGTGTATGCCTTGAAGCGTTCAGGTCGTACGCTTTATGGATTCGGTGCTTAATCGCCGTAGGTGGTTTTGTGAGTCATTTTTGGAGGACTTCGTCGTCGTTGTCGTTGGGTGTTTTTCTGAACTTGTTTCTGCCAGATGGTTTGGTCATCATGTCTATTTTATTATTATTTCGTTTGTTTTGTACTACTATGTAGAACTGTATGAATCCATGCATAATTATGTTCATCGTGTGTCCTTCTGAGTGTTGAGGTTGTCGTGGATTTGTTCAACTTGAATTACTGAACTATCAGCACTTCGAAATAAGCGCTCGGGCATTGAAATTAAAGTTGCATGTTCAATGTTGCCTCCTCTTAGTCTAATGTCATGGGTCTTTTAGGACTCATCCTTCGCATCCTTGGATTATTTTCAAACCATCCTCGGCGACTCTTACTTCCATATCTACTTCGACATGGTCTCAAACTCCCTGGAGGGCCTGTCCTCTTGTTGCCGGATGGAACAGTAGTAAAAGTGGGCAACCCTGCTTTTCTTCAGCTCGAAGCAGAGGCTACCAAATACGCTCGGGACCACACTCAGCTCCCTATCCCTCGTGTCTATGACTTTTTCACCTCTAGCGATGGACGTAAAGGCTACCTCGTTATGCAGCACATGCCAGGAGATATGCTGCAACGTAAATGGCGGTTCCTGTCATCCGAACAGAGAAATTCTGTCATGGCTCAGGTAAGGAACATGATTGAGGAACTACGTGCTATTCGTCAACCAGAGCCGCTTGAAGGCTGGATAGGATCAGCATCTTGCGGTGCATTCCGAGATTTCCATATTAGAAGTGGAGAGACCTACGGACCGTTCGCCAGCGAAGCCGCGTTCAACACCTTCCGGATGGGTTGTTTTGCCGAGTTTAGTTACAGTGAAGAGCCTACAACGAAGGAACGCCTTGCTCGTATTGGTCGAGCAATGCCGGTTGATAGTGATATCGTGTTCACTCATGGGGACATCACGCGACGGAATCTTTTGGTGGACGACACCGCACAAGTCGTAGGCATTGTAGACTGGGAGCAGGCTGGGTGGCGCCCAGCGTACTGGGAAAAAGTTAAAATACACTTTGGAGGAAATGCGGGCTCGGGGTGGTTTGCTGGGGGGGAGTTTGAGGGGTATGAAGGTGATATCGCACGCGAGGTCGAGTTGCACCTTATCCATGGTGGAGGGAGTATGTGATACAGATCTGTTTTTCGATATCCTCCATCTACCTGTATTGGAATGAACAAAAAATTCTTTGCCTCCAATCTCAGTTTCTTGACTACCTTCGTCATCGAAAATTCGCTGAATTGTACTTGCTTCTACATTCCTTCTATAGTGTCTTCACTAATAGTTTACCTTAGGTCCAATTATGACGTCTATTCCCTTGATTATTGCTCAATATGAGCTTTTCGGTTATCGAAAGGGTGGACATGATAAGCATTGGTCTCGAGTCGCCCTCGAGTCGCGTGAAGTGGGACATATATTCGAACACATCGGAGACGACGCTTCCACATTCGGGTATGAACCACGAACAGTAAAAGGCTTCAGCCAATCTCAGCGACTTTGCGGAGGATACCAAGTTGGAAAAATAGCCAAGGATCAGCTAACCTTGGCTTAAAGAGAAGCTCAGGGAAGTTGATAGAATCCATGCATAATTATGTTTATCGTGTTCCCATTTGAGCGTGGAGGTTAGCGTGAATTTGTTCAAGGTATTTCAGCGTGATGAACGTTGGTTATACTTACATTTTGAGATATGTCCCTACAGGAGGGAAGCTGAGGAGGGAATTAGTTGCCTGAAGCTGTAGAAAGGTGGCAGCATTTCAGTGTTATCAGAACAAGTGCCCACAATCATTTATATAGCTAAACGGTCTGGTATTTACACATAGTGATACATCTGAATCAGAGCTACTTATAATATACAACTATAGTATCTAAAAACGTATCCAGTTGGGTTGAATGTTATGACGTTTCCCCATCCATGTCCTGCTGCTCGCCGGGAACGCTCGCCTCCTCCGTCTCCATCGCAGTAGATAAGGGCCCTTCTTTCACAGGTTCCCTGATCTCTGGGATGGGGATACCAGAGCTAGAGTCTTGCGGAGCGGAAACAACATTGTTTTTCTGCAACGGCCCACTCTTGAAACGACTTTTTGGCCCCTGACGAGGGCGAGGAGCTCCAACACTAGTAGGCGTCGCTTCACCCCCAGTTTGTGTAGTGGAAGAAGCTTTGCGACGTTTCCTATCCAACAACCTAGCTTCGATAGCAGCAGGAGGAGCAGGTTCAGACGTAAGGGGAGCAGCCAATCCTTCTGATTTCCCTTTGAGTATCCCATCGGCATGTACGGGGGTGACGCCGTTTTTGACTGGTTCCATAGTCGCTTCGGAAGTAGTAGTATCTTTTTCGCTTGGGAGGTCAGAGTTCCCTGCGGGGGCACGGAGGACACGTTTGGTTGGTGGAGCGCTGCGGGAGCGGAAAAAGTTGAGATTCCGGACGTTGGAAAGCGGGGCGAGCATGGTAGAGGACATGGTGCCGGCGACAAGTATAGGGGATACTATGGTATTTTGGACCGGTAGGGGCTCTCCGTGTGCACCTTCCGAGTCAAATTCGTCGTATATCTCTTCACCAATAAGCTCTGTAGCGTTGGATCAGATCAGAACGTGGTCAGGAAAACAGTCTGAGGAACACTCACCCTCGAGGACATCTTCAAGAGTGATAATACCAAGTGGCATAATAGCCGGATCAAAGCTTTGCAAGAACTAGTCATAAAATTAGTCGAATATCGATGTCAATCAACTCTTGAAACTAACCTCAGCCGCACCATGTTCAGTAAGTACAGCATCCGCCGGCATATTAGCTTCCAGCTTCGATATACCAAATGCACCAGGAGCAGAATCCACCTTGCGCATCTCCATTTGTTCTGGTTTTCCAGCATCAGAAGGGAAGTCACCCTTCAATGTGGCATCCTTGTCAACCTTCTCGTGCTTGCTTCCCCGCTTGAAGCGTTTTCGAAAACTGCGGCGCTTGCTTTTGGTGCTCGAGCCTTCTGTCTCCGACTCGCTGCTACTATCACTGCTACTGTCACTGCTATCCGAATCCATTCCGACACGCTCCTTCAATCGTTGAGTGAGAGTTTGTTTGACCGCCTTCTTGACGCTTTTGGCTTTCTCGACGCTGAACCGACTGACGATGGCGATGTGTGAGCGTCCTTCCTGAAACTTGTCGAGGATTCCGAGTAGCGTTTCGTTTTGCGGGATGAACGGGACCTTGTTCAACTGCAGCTGGCGGACGGGAGTGGCATCTATGCGTGTTTTGAATGTTAGAATTGTTCATACATGTGTCCAAAGCAAGGATACCTTTTGGATCGAGGAGAACACATTGTTTTACCAGTAGAATACCGATAATCTTCTTCTCGCGTTTTGATTGCTGAGAATCTGCCCAGCCTAATTTTGCAGCAACGGGAACATCAACCTCTTCATATACAGGAATACCTACATTTAGTGAGAGATTTTAGTGCTATCAAACAGCATTACAGGGAAACGACTTACGGCTATGGCCAGTCTCGACAATTTGTTTCAGTAGAGTATAGTCTAAATTGTCGTCGATATGAACCATGAATACTTCGGAAAGTGGAGTCATCGCCTGCCAAAATAGATGTGAGTTATCTCGAACTGATGCCTGACAAACCCATTCATACCTGAGCTACGACTTTCTCCTGTAAATCCAACGTAGCACCTATGATAGCGGCGGTATCATGGTTCAAATCGCCTCCATGAGGAGAAGAGGAGGAATGCATCCTGATTAACTCCTTGAGTTCTATACTTTTGTCAATCTCGATAATTCACTGTGATTCCTTTCATGCGTACCAACTCTGCGGTAGATAATACCATGATTTGACCCTACGATCCAATCCAAAAGCTTGGCAGTGGGCCAAGACACGATACCCTGGAAATTGTGGGTAAATTTAAAGCATTCAGCCAATTCAACACTGATCCTTACCAAACCGAATATTAGAAAACGGGTGGGACCAGAAAATGTTGCACCGAGGTATAAACCGTATCGCGTGAACAGAGATTGAGGGATAATCTCCGAAAAACTAGAAAACGTCAGGCCTCATGTCATGGGATGCAAAGAAATATGACCTTACATGACGATGAGCACTGTGCTGACGACAACGCTTTGAACACCCTTGGAACGACAGAATCAGAGTGAAATCGAGGTAAAACTTTAGACATGCGTACTCCTCCAAGGACTGGGTCTGAGATGATAGGCAACGTTTCGTTGACGATCATGTTGGCTAGTAGCAGAGTGACAAGAAGTAGATGTCCATTCGAGCGGATAGGTTTTATCTTGTTGGCGTATTGACGCTGTTCACTGGAGAATCTTCTTCAGAAGGAATTGTCGAAAGTATTAATGGAAACCTACGGGCTACCGCTAACTGAAAAAAATTAGAGTTATGAGAGCTTGTTCAACATGATCGAAGGCTGGTACGCACCACTGAGGACGTTCAACTGTGTCTGATCCAGACTCATATAACTACAACAAACCATTAGGAACCAACAAAAACGCTGATCAAGTGTTCAAATACCCCAGCGTCAAACCAGCAAACAGACCCTTTACTATGAATGAGCAAAATGAATTAGTCAAAATTAAGTTTGCTCACCGAAAGCAAAACGAGAATGGGTATGAGAATTGGAAAGACTATGTCTTCTGTTGACTTTCGCCTTGCCAAACGATGAACTGTTCCATCCTCGCCATTATTTCCTCGAAGTTGAGAGATACCGGCCGAGAGCAGAGTGAAGAAAGAGTAGACTAGACGAGAAGAATGGGGACCATATCTTACAAAATTGGGCGTTGGTGGCATTAAATTGTGAACAAAACGATTCAAAACAACCCCGTCTAAGGTCTTTTAAGCTGTAATGACCTCACACGAATTATGTAATAACTGCGGGAGACTGTCCCGCTCGGTGCCTTCAATTGACTGTGGTTTTTACTGTAAACCTGATTTTTACATTAGCTGTAAAGGTTTGTTATATAACTACAGCCATTCGCATGAAGAGTCAATAAACTAATGATATCACGTGTATGCATCTAAGTCCTTAAACAGCGGGACCAGCCTTCAACACCTTCCTATCGACATCGGTTTCGTACAACTTGAACGCCTTTACAAACATGCCGGCAAGCTTCTTGACCTCTCGGTTATACGCATCCTTGTCTGTCCAAGCAACCTCCGGGTTTAACAATTCTCGAGGAACACCTTCGATCTCGGTGGGGATAGTGAGGTTGAAGGTGCCGAAACTTTCATGCTTGCCGTCTGCAAGAGTTTTGGCGAGAGAACCATCATGAATGGAATCGATGATCTTGCGAGTGTACTTGAGTGGGCAACGCTTGCCAACGCCATATTTTCCACCAGTCCAACCGGTGTTGATGAGCCAGCAGTCGACGTTGTTCTTGGACATTCGTTCTGCGAGCATAGTTGCATAGCGAGACGGCTAAAAGAATATTAAAATCGCCATCGGAATTATTGTTGACAAGAAAACTCACATGAAGGACGATGAATGGGGCACTGTAGCAAGTGGAGAAAGTAGGGATCGGTTCTAGTACACCATCTTCAGTTCCAGGGGTTTTCGATGTATAACCAGCCAAGAAATGATAGCTGGCCTGCTCGGGCGTAAGCTTTGATACAGGTGGCAAAACTCCGAATGCGTCGCAAGTCAACATAATAATATTGCTGGGTTGCCGGTCGACTACGCAAGGAATTCTGGCATTCGGAATAAAGTCGATAGGATATGCGCAACGAGTGTTTTCCGTAATCGATATATCGTCGTAATCGGGGGTGCGGCTTAGAGGATTGTAGACAACATTTTCAAGTATGGAACCGAACCGGATGGCGTTGAAGATTTCAGGTTCCTTCTCTGCCGAGAGGTTGATGCACTTCGCGTAACAACCTCCTTCGATGTTGAAGACACCTGAATCGGACCAGACGTGCTCGTCGTCACCAATCAATAACCGGTTGGGGTCGGCGGAGAGAGTAGTTTTTCCAGTTCCAGAGAGACCAAAGAAGAGGGTTACATCATTGTCCTTGATGCCGACATTGGCAGAAGAGTGGAGAGACAGTTGACCAAATTTAACGGGTTGAAGGTAATGCTAAAGTATGTGTTGAAATAAGATCCGAAGCCTCATGATTAAAAGTGGAGTTAGGATCCGTACCATGACACTGAAGACACCCTTCTTCATTTCTCCAGCATATTCTGTTCCAAGAATGACCATTTCCATTCGTTTGAAGTTGATCTCCACGGATGTTGTCGAGGACATGCCGTTCGTGAAACGATTGGCAGGGAACTGGCCAGCATTGTATATTGTGAAGTCAGGCTCGCCGAAGTTGGCAAGTTCCTCTTCCGTTGGTCGGATGAGCATGTTGTTCTATGATACAATTAAATGGAAAAGATCCGGAAAGAAAGAGACAGTGACATACCATGAAGAGAGCATGATAGGCCCTGGCACAAATGACCCGGACTTTGATCCTGTACTTAGGATCCCACTAAGACGATGTTAGGGGCGTTGTGCGCAGGTGCAGAGGAAACATCGAAACTTACACCAGCAAACCCGTCGAAGACGTAAACATTATCTCGAGTATTGAGATAATCGATTGCACGTTCACGATTGATTTCAAAGGTATCTATGCATATTAGAAATTAGCGCAAAGGCAAGACAGGCCGATTGGATCACACGACATACGCTCATCTAATTTTATATTGACAGAGCCCCACCATATGTCGTCCTTGGAGGTATCTTCGTATACGATACGCTTGTCCTTGGGGCTCCTCCCAGTTTTCTTACCCGAAAAGTTGATGAGAGCACCAGAAGACGATAGAATGGCACCCTCGTTGCGAATGGCGTCTTCATATAGCTGGGCAACCGGAGCATTGCGCTTCAAGTAGATTTTGTCCATGTCAAAGCCAGCTTGGGAGAAGAACTCGAGCTCCCTGCCAATGACTATGAACAAACTTTTATCAGGAAAACGGATTTTAGATGAGATCGAAATGCTTACGGTTGGAGTAAAGCTCAGCATCGGAGGACTGGGCATAGTTCTTGTGGAGAATATGAGGAGTAACGTAAGGTGTTTGGATCGGCATGATGGTGGAAGTTGGAAAGTAAGAAGAGAATGGCCTCCGCAAAGGACTAGGAAAAACAACGTGACGACTAGAGTTGAAACCGAGGCATTTTATAGCTAGCCATCTGTAGCGCATTCCCTTCCGGATTAGGAAATTGGCTCAAAGCGGTTCTTCCCGAGTGCCCAAGGATTGTCGGAAAAGGTAGGAAAAGAGGGTCTCCGCCCGCCGGATTGGTTGAAACGGGATGCTCTGGTGGGCAATGCCCAAAAGCTGGCACTGACACGAAGCACAATGGACTGTTTCTGGACTGTTTCTTTGGCCCAAAACACCATGGTCACAGATGGTCACCGTCCGGAGAAATCACATGCCTGTGCTTCTGTCTTTCGGCCGTAGTTGCCGTTACACCGCGGCACCCCGCGCCTTGTACCAGCTAGTACCTAGCCTCCCGGATATTTATTCATATTCAGTTCAGTTCTACTTTCCTCCGATGGATAGGATCGAACAAACATGAATGCATCTTATAAGAGAGCAAGTAAACCGCTCGTTGTCAGTCAGTTAATTCATGTCTGATTTCACCATCCGTCCGCTCGCTTCTGCAGACATTGAGCAGATCAAGAAATTGCATGTAAGTAGTGCTGTCGTTCAATGGGTTGAGGGGCACCACCTATAACCCCGTATTAATTCAGGCTACGCTGGTGCCAGTCAATTACCCTGCGTCATTCTTTCTGCATCTACTCATCCAGAACTCGTATTCTTGTCTGATCGCCCTGGAACCATCCTCCGGCGAACCAGTTGCATGGGTCTCCGCTTCTCTTCACAAGTCAAGCAACCTAATAGGGTCTCTGGAGCCTCACATTCAGCTTCTCACCCTTGGGGTACTCCCCGAGTATCAGCACCGGGGACTCGCTAAGCGTTTGGTGTGGGAGGTCATTGCATCTTTACACAAAGACCCATCAACCCCCGTTCCTACTGTGTACACCCACGTTTGTACATCGAACACTCCAGCGCAGGCGTTCTACGAGAGCATCGGTATGAAATTTTTGCCAGCCCCAAATTCACCTTCAGGCAAGCCATATGTGGCGAAAAATGTTTATACCTATCCACCTCTCTGGGCGCAGAAGTCGGTAGTGGGAAACAATGATTTGTTCGAGAGTAAAGATGCATACGTACTGGTTGGGAAAATCACTGCATAGGGGATTTCTTTTTGGAGTTATATTTCTTTTGGGAGCCTTCATATGTACTATGTATTGTATAAAGATAGAGATGGAAAGTCTGTGTTTACCTATGCTAATCTATATATATGTGAGCTGGGTATCAATGAATAGAGTGCAACTTGCCTCCACAGATAACAAATGTAGCCCAGCACGCCACTGGTCCATCCTGAACTTGAACTTGTTCGTCAATAATCTTCACGAATCTTCGGCCGAAATATCTGTCGTTGTGACGAGTCTAAGCTTTCGGTTACTTGATAGTAGGACCCGTTATACGGTAACCAATAACCATAGTTTACCGCCATTATACCTCTCTATTTGCTCCCCATTGCTCCTCAATTCCAGGTCGACTTATCGTTCCCGGTTTGCCCCGTAATAATCTGACATTCAGTCTCACAAAAGGACCGCCCAGCTCAATCCAAACGGGCTTCCCTTTCGCGGACGTCCAGCTTGAGCCTTGTATCGTTCCGCTTAAGATGCGGGCCGTCAGCGGAATGACTGATAACTGACCGTGAATAATCAGTACTGACAGCTGAAGCGTTGAAGTTCGAGAACAAGCGAGGGATGGTCTAGATGTATCAAAGAGTAAAAGCTTCCGATAATCTTTCCAGGATTTCGAAAAAAAAGAAGATTGGGCAAAGCGACCGAACGTTAGAATTGAACATAATACATTGAACGAAAGCTTGAGGAATATATACATATCGAGATAAAATCCTACATACATTTGAATTATACGGTTTGCTTCAAGGTTGAGTGGGGTTTCTGGTTCTAACGCTGATCACGAAATTATGCACTGTCCGTCCGGGCCATCCTGACCCAATCCCATGAGTTCAGGTGGAACAGAGCCCATTATCGATTCAGGCGGGTTGCCGTATGTTTGTAGCTGGTAGAAAGGAGAAAGAGGGAGGTGGATATATTTACCAATCAGATACATAGGATAACTGAATATTTCTGTGGAACTCACCTGTCCCATCAAATCAACGATCTTTGCCCCCTCACTCCCGCCTTCTTTGTACGAAGGATCATCGAATATGGCCACGATGCGCTTCACGCAATCGTATTGCTTCTCGTATCGTGTCTGGTCTGCAGAGGAGAGCGGAGTGGGTGGGTTGGCTAGGAATGGGGGAAACTGGATGTAGGAATGTTAGGGGATATGTATGAGGAGTAGTAAGTAGCAGATACCCGCCTTTTCATTCAACTCCTTCACAGGTTCATACAACACGTCTTTACTCATCAGTTGACCCATCATAGATTCCAGGAAGGAAGCGAGCTCGGCCTCGTCTTCCACTCCATCTCCGTCTGCATCGAGATCGTCTAGGCCAAGGTCTTTGAGTGAGTTGAGTAGTCCTTGCAGAGATTCGGGCTTTCCAGTTGAAGTGGACGAAGAGGAGTTCTACAAAATGAACAAATGAATAAACGAATAAACGGAAGAACGAGGAGTCACAGGCCTGCAAATTAACTTCGCTCTCTTTGAGCTTCTCCATCGTCTGCTTGATCTTGCTCTGAAAATCGGATCCAGCTCCGGAAGCAGCTGCACCGCCAGAAGCCGATGTTGAAGCCGCAGTCGACTTTGACGTCGAGGGCAATGGCGGAGGCTCAGTCATACCATTCATGCCTTCAATTAACATAGCTTCCCAAGCAGCTTTCATCAAACGTTCAGCCTCACCCTCCTCCGTTTCCTCATTCTCATTTGATTTCGGTGTCTTCTCGTCTGCCAGCTCCCGCATAAGATCCTGCATATTCTTCACCAGCTCCTTCGTGAATGCATCTGAAAGTGCTGCTTCATCTTCTGGGCCTTCTGGGATATAATCGGCGTCATCTGTGTCTTCTGAACGTTCTGTGATTCCGACTTCCTTTTGCAAGGCGCCAGTACCCGGAATGCTAATCGGTGCTGAATCGACGCGAGTGTTCGTTCGTGGTCGGGCTTTGGCGAAAGTTGCTGTGGGAGGAGGTGGGGGCGGTGAGGTTAATGGTGAGATCGGTACCGCAGTAGAGGTAGGCCTGGCGGGAGATGCGGTTGTGAATTCGGAAAGGACATCTAGGAATCGAAATATATATACGAGCTCTGCGAATCGAGATATGAAGCTTAACTGACCATCAAGATCATCTAAATCCTCATCTGCCTCTATTTGCAAGTTGGTCTTGCGCTTGATTTCTGGACCAGCCATGATGATTTTATGGTTTTCCTGTGATGTGATGTAAGGTTGTTCAAATTCTGGAGAGCTCAGCAGCTTCGAGAGGATCAAGGACAAGAGAAAAGTTCATCAATTTACGTTGGGGTAGATACTCTTGTACTTGTTTCGGTCCGGCGAACGTATATAAATAGCGCACGGACCACCGCGTCCGAATCTTCTCAACTTCCACCACTTTGATTTTTTCCCCAAAACACAAAAGCTATGCCTCGCGGGAAAGGAAAATCAGTCGATTTTGACCTACAAGACGACGAGCTTCCATTCTTGGGGTCGCAAGACAGTAATGGGAGTAATGGGAGTGAGGATAACGCGTGAGCCGGGTCAGACTAATTCTTTTAGCACTACTAAGCACTGATCCTTAAATTCGTTCCGGGCTGCTTTCCAGTTTTCAATTAGCGTTTGCAGAACAATATATAGGTAAACAAGTCTCATACGCTCTATCCGTTTCTCAGTCGATTTCCATTTGTTCTAATCAAAATACCCAGCAACTCGAGAAAAGAAGAAGAAAGAGCAACAACGCAAGTTCCTTGCAGGTGCAAAGAAGCTGGTGTCAAAGGAGGTATGCATATATGCGCTCTTTAACTAGTCCTTTCCCTCCCTCAACTTACTGCGAGTGTTTAGATCAAAAGCTCAGCTGAAGTCATCACAGAAGCGGCTCGATCTGTGTGAGTTGTCCTGGTTCTCGTCTGTCTGGAGGTGATTAAAGTTATAGTAGAGAGGAACTCTTTCAAGCCTTCACGATCAACTACGCTACTGAAGAAGACTGTATTAGAAATTTATGGCTGGCGATAGTAGAAGAAGAACGGAAATTACAGGTACTAACCTTAGCTTATGCGTATCCTTTTCTCGTCTTCCTCCTCTCATAACTGAATTGGACACTTTCACTTTTCAGAATTTATCGAAACGGTTCCACTCTGCCGTCATTAAGGAAGGAGAAGAATGTGAAGCCGAACAGATCAAGGGAATGGGGAAAGCACAGGAAGCGGTTCTGGGTGCGTGTTCTCATCTCATGTCATCTGCCATCTTCTATGCCATGCGATAATTGGGAGTGCATTAAAATCAAAAAACTTTTTAGAAACGCAACGAGTTATCGATTATATTTACTCGAAGAAAGACTAATAACTCTGGGATCGTGAAAGCAAGTTTGGGGTTGATCAGTCATGCTGCTGTATCGTCTTCTCATCTTGGTCCGCCTCTTTCTGCCTGTTGGCGATCAACCACTTCCCTGTTGATCTGCAACATTCCTTGTAGCCTCCTTGCGCTATCGATATCCCTCTTTGTCTGATTCTTCTACTTGCTGGCCTCAACTTGCGCCGTATCATATCAAGTTGCTGTAATTACTCTATCAAGTAAACAAAAGAGTCTAACTGCTCTCGCCGGGAATATGATCAAAGTGCTGTTGTACGATCTAGCTACTCAGCGTCTCACAAATGACATCAAACGTACTTAGAATGGTCGATGAATCGATGACTCGCGATTTCCCTACGTATGTATGGTGACATCAGCCTAGCGCACTCAAAAAACATATATAAACCACGACCAAGTACAAGTGATAGACCCAACACCTATCTTATTTCCTCCACCAAGACTGCATATTTCTTACCTTGTGTACAACATGTCTGACAGTTCGTATCTTCGTTCTTGTATCCTCGTCATCTACTTATCGGCTACCCGCATAGACTCTCAAAAAAGCTCTGAGCGTGTCGCCGCCGGTTTGAAAGGAACTTTGAAAAACCCGAACGTATCTGAAGAAGCCAAGGAACGAGCGACTGAACGGTTGAACGACATGGGGGTCGAAGATCGAGAACCTGTCAAGGTCGCCCCCAAAACCAAGGTTAATGGTATGTGTTTCGGTGTTCACCGCTTTAGCCAAACTCTAACAGGATTTACCCTCAGAGACTGTTGGTGGAAGCCGCCAGAGCGAGGAAGACGACACCGAGTTCAAGCCTAATAATGTTCTGGGCACCGACCCAGAAGACGATGAATACGAGTTCAAACCTGTTACTGCTGATGAGCGCGATGAAGAATTGGAGTAGTTTATATGCATATATGCGGTCAGATACCAATGTACTGTAACAGCTAGAAAGTTGAACGCGTTTTTAAGAGGTTGCGCATGAGATGCACGTGTGAATGTCACACTAGGACCTAGGTTACGTCACAACAATTACTCCAAGTTCCATTACTTTTGAGTCCTTGCGGATACATTGCTAACGTGCCGTGCAAATGCAGAATGATACATCTATACCAGCTCTCAAACGAAAAAGGATTGACAGTGGCAATCTTTTGGAACCAGATGGCTTTGCTATCTCTAAACCTCCCTCGAAGCCTGGAAAAGCTGCGCCACCCACCTTTCGTTCGGCTTTCGATACATCCAAGAAGCACAGAGCTACAGATAATCACGACCCCCGTAAAGCGGAATCGTCTTCGAACTCCAGATCTACTGCCACGCGTCCCCTGGTTTCTGTGCCAGATTTCACGCTCGATCCTCAGCTTGCCTTAATCCAGGTCGCTGAAGGCTCTCGTCGTATTGCATCTACACCCAAGAAACCGACTAGCAAGGTTGTTGCCTCTTCAGGGACAAAACTTTCGACCAAGTTTCATAGCCCATCTTTGCGGATTGCTCCTGCCTCCAAGGAAGTACAGCCGGTGTTCCACGAAAACCAATCCATCCCGTCCGCATCTTCTTCGACAAAACCCATATCATTCTCAAAGCCCAAAATTCCTCTTCTATTTCCAAGACAGGACCCTGCTTCGACCAAGACTCCGGCGAAGCCTCTGCTTAAATCATTAGCACCTCCTCGTCTTCAAACACCAAAGCCTGCCCCCGGTCAGAAAATTCTACCACCCCCGCCACCACCACCGATATCGGTGTCTACGCCGAGCAAGCCTCTTCGAACGATTGCTACAACGCGAATGGCTAGAGCCATCGATCTCTCCACGGAGAATGGTGCAGCTGAGCTGGCCAGTATTGTCCTACAGACTTCTTCAGATTCGGAGACAGTAGATACCACGGATTTTAAATCGGGATTGGAATTGAGTCCTCAGAAGAGTAATTCGTTTGGGAGGAGCCCTAAATTCGCTCGGTATATGTCTTTCATCGTAAGTTGACGCTTCGGGGAATGTCTGATCAGTATTCTATGGTAGGAATGGTCTCGCTGCTCATGCAGCCTCTCTTCTTTCTCATGCGAACACCTCTCTCGTTCTGTGGGAGAAAGAATGTTCAACTCTGTCGACGTTCCCGAAGGCTGATCTGCGCATTCGTGTGGTCAGAGTCATCCACCCTCCTGTTCACAAAACCAATGCCCCTTCTAAAATTGGCCTGGCACTCTGTCAGTTGCATGACAAACGGGTCCTTATCGATGCTAAACTAGGAGCTACCACCGAATTCCCCGTCCCGAATATGGATGGAGATGATGCTCAAACGTCTACAGCCTTGGTCTTGTTTTCCTTTGCTTCTCAGCCATCATCGTCTAGTCCGATACGCAACGCAGCGGATTTCAAAGAAAATGTGGAATTCTGGGTCTGGAAACCTTGGCGGACCTTGCTTCTCAACCCCTCACAAATATCTGCATCCGGAGCTGTGGAAAATACCGCTCTTTTCTGCGACCGCTTTGGCCGTCACGGTGCACGAGGTGAAGCAGATTGAGGGTGATCTTTCTTCAGCTTCTCCATTCTCAAGGCTGGGAGGGAGCTTCAGTTGCGATCACGGAGGACTCATGTTGACTACTAGTAAGTTCCGTGCCCACTCCTTTGCGGTGCATTCGAACATACCTTTCCTATCCTATCCCAGTATAGTGGATTTTGTTCAAACAGAACTTCCCAGCGTCCTCTCGACTCCGTTTTGACAATTCACCCTTGCGGTTTCGTCGCCTCTTCAAGCGGCCCATCGATTATCCGAAGTCATATTCGTCACGAGGCATCTTCGTATAGTACATAAACTCATCCTCCATTCACACATTTTCGTATACAACCCCTCATATTCTTAGAAAAGAGGCCTCGCATTCTGGTCGTGGAGCCTGGACCTTTCACATTCTCACTTCTGGCTTGTGTCTTGTTCAACATGGTGAGCACATTTTTTTGGTCCACTTTCGAGATAGATCTGAATTTTGTGCAACCAGGCGACTTTAAACGAACCTTGTGAGAAAGATGCAGAAACAGTCATCAATGCTGATGCATCTCCGTCAAAGAACGGCCAGTCCGATGAAAAGCGAGCGGCAGTAACATACCCAGAAGGTGGCTTGCAGGCTTGGACTACTGTGTTCGCCATGTAGGCTTGTCTGCTTGTCATTGTTTCAACTATTCTCTCACGCGGCTCGCTTTCAGATGGTTGATACAGTTCTCTACGTTTGGGTGAGTTGTAAAGGGGATGCTTCATATCTGGAACTTGCGTCTTAACGCAATTTAGATACACCAACGCCTATGGAGTCTTCAATGGTGAGACTATTAGTGAATTAACACGCCTTCAATGACTGATTCCTGAAAACCTTTCAAGATTATTATGTTCGAATTTACATGGAAGGGAAATATTCATCGTCAACAGTGAGGTTAGTGGTGAATCGCTATCTGCTATATATGTGATCCGCATGTACTGATCGACCACTTCACCCTACGTTCAGCTGGGTCGGTAGCATGCAACTTTGGCTAGTGATGTCCAGTGGCCTTGTCTCAGGCCGACTTTATGACTCGGGTTACTTGTGGGTATATCAAAACAATATCGAGTCATTTAAAACTGAACTCTCGAATCTGTAGTTATCATCTCATCATCGGCGGTTCAATTATTTTCGTCTTCTGTCTCTTCATGTTATCTCTGGCCCAACCTGGCGAATTCTATCAGGTACTATAACTCTGGGAGCCTTTCAGATCATTTGGAAATGTCGCTGACACGACCTGCGCAACAGATTTTTCTAGCTCAAGGCGTTGGTGCTGGTCTTGGTATCGGTTTAATATATGTCCCTGGGATCGCAGTAGTCTCGCAGTATTTCTACAGACGACGAACACTAGCAATGGCTATTGTCGCTTCTGTGCGTATATGTTGCTAATATCATTTCTCCTTCAATTCGCCCTTGAACACTAACATTGTGTACCTAGGGATCGGGCGTTGGAGCTGCTTTGCAGTCAATCATGTTAAACAAGCTGTTCCAAAGACTCGGATTTCAGACTGCCGTTCGAATAAGTGCTGCGTTCAATGCTGGCATTTTGTGTATTGGCATCCTTTTATCTCGGACGAGGCTGACGCCTGCGCCGTCAACAGATAGAAATATCTTCCGATACATGAAAGTCTTTTTTCGCGAACCACAGTATGTTGCTGTAGTAATGGGGTACGTGTATCACTCTTATATCCTTCTGAACTAAACTAATCTTTGCGCGACTCGCCTGTGATGTGGCACCGTATACAGAACATTCTTCAACCTGATGGGTTTGTTCTTTCCCACCTTTTTCTTGCAGCTTAATGCAAATGAGAAGGGAATAATGTCTGAAAATTTGGCCTTTTACCTGGTGGGTTGAAACTGTAGTATACCATCTTACTGAAATTAACTGACGGATGGCTGGTTCGTTAGTTGCCCGTATTGAATGCCTCCACCGTTATAGGTCGTGTCCTCTTTCCAATGATGGTCCCATTACTAGGGATATTCAACATCGTCATTCCATCCGTGTTCATATGCGTTATTCTGATCTTCTGTGAGCTCACTGTCACCTCTGCTGGTGGATACTTTGTTATTGCGGTGCTTTACGGTGTTTTCTGGGGTGCATGTAAGTTGAGAGTACACGTGTACTACTGAGTATGTGTGTATCCATTACTCATACATTCCAGATGTGGGCATGTTCGCCCCGATGGTAGGATCGTTGGCGAAGGAAGACTCGGAAATTGGTGCGAGAATGGGCATTTGTTTTACGTTCAATAGTCAGTTCAACCTTCTCTTTTCTTGAGTGTTGTCGTGCCCGTGCTCAGTGATCATTTACAGGTTTTGGGGGCTTAATAGGTGCGTAGCTGGGACCATATGTTTAAATTTGGATGCTCAACTCACTTCAATGAAAGGGACACCAATTGCCGGTGCTTTACTTACACCATCATTTATATGGTGGCAACCGACGTTGTTCGCTGGGCTGAGCGGCGCCGCAGGTGTTATTTGCCTGGCGGCCTCCAGGTTTTGGATTGCTAGAGAAAAAGGCTCTCAAATAGCTTAGACGATAAAGAAAAGATTTCGTTGCGAGATCCCAAATCGCAGCATTAGAGTACATAGTAGAGCAACTACATAATGATAAATAGAGAAACTCGTTTTACTTCCTCGTCCATCTGTCTTCTCCATTTCCACCACGTTTTGGGCTAGCACTTCTTGCTCTGCCCTCCCTTTTCCCAGGTTCCCATCCGCCTCCTCCTTGGGCTGCTGGTGGGTTCAGTTTACGCTCGAGGCGCTGACCAGCCCGGAGTTGCGATACTAGGTCTTTTGAAGCGAGTCGAAGATGCATGAAGTTACAGAACCCTCCTCGGTTGCATTCTCCGTTCTCGTTCTGCCGGCAACAAGATTCGCGGAAGTCTGTGACGGGGGAAAGTTCTGCGTACAATGGGCGACCTGACATTTGAAAAAAAAAGGTTGTCGTGAATATGAATGGAGGAAATTCAGATAGAATGTAATGGTTCGGGCCACGTACCTGCATACCACCGGTCATTCAAATTATCAACAGCAGCTTGAGCTTCTGTCTCCCACTCATAACGCGCGTATACGTTCCCGATGAGATGATCACCGACGTTGTCACACACCTGGTATTAGAGAAAGTATTTATCAGAGTCAAAGCGATGGAAAAGAGTTTTACAACGTACATGTAGTTCCAACAAATGCCCAAATTTTGCCAGCTCGATATAAAGATCTTCGTACACCGCATCGAATCCTTCCTGAAGTTCCTTCTCATTCAATTTGCAGACGGGATCATGGGCAGGGTTGTGGTAGACGTTCGGAAGGAGAATTGTCTGGGAAAACGGCGGACGGATGTGTTTTCGGGAACATCTGTCCCCATGTCTGCAGGCGCCGATTTTGTAGTAGAAGGAACAATTGACGCGGTCTTGCTCGGTACCAAAGATGTTGGCCTATGGATCACGTTAGACATGCTCGCAGCGAAAAGTAGATATCACGAAACTCACCAAATGCGAAGCCATTTTTGCGTGGATGAAGACGAAGAGCCTTTAGTGGAAGATGATAGTTGGGAAGAAACTGTGTAAATCAAGAGCCGAAATTGAAAATTGGAGGAGAAGGGGGCTGAGTCAGCGAGTGCCCGTGATTTGCATTTGGGCAAAAGTATCGATCTTTCTCCATTGTTCCAGCCATTCCCTTCTCCTTCTTCACTCAATGAAGACAAGCCATGATGTATGTACGGCACAGCCCAAAGGTCAAGGATAGGACTAGCACCGGTCCTTTATGAACAACACAATCTGGGGGACCGCAGATCTGCAAACAAACTTAATACCCGTCAGTATCCTCCGTCCGACGATGTGTAGCGATATGCATATATGATAAACAGGCAGCGAATAGGATCATCATAATGTATACAACAAGTATGTACAGTATGGACACTCGACAAATCTTCCCTTTAGATACTGAACAAATCTCGATGACTGCTATACTGTATATTACGACGAACGCGAGTAAAAACTTGATCTTGTGGAGATTATTCGTTGTAATCTAATGAGTTACGATGAGATGTAGGGTACTCACTCACGCATATCTGTTAACATTCAACTTCAATCAGGGGAAAAAACCATCCCAGTTCTCGATTCTTGCCCAAGGATATAAATCACACTGTCAAGGTCCAATTCCTAAATGACCAGTATGGAACACACATGCCATACAGGGGCAATCATTCCTGGTTTCTGAGCCTAAGGGGACCAGCAAAAAAAACCTGCCAGGCAGTCTTCCCTGCCCCATCTGTTCACTTCTGGCCCTCATTGACCTTTCCTTCACTGTGTCTATCATACCACCAAACACAGCTTGGGCACCATGCAATTGTGTCAGTCTCCATCTCCATCTCAAAATTCTCAAGCTTGCTGCATAAACAAACACTAAAAATTCATGTGAATTCCAAAATTAACATTGAACAGTTGTAATTTACAGAGTATTATAGCTATTTTGACTCCTGAAAACCTTCAAACTACAAAAAGTTATCACCAGGCAAGGAGAATGGTTCCAAAAATTGCTGAAAGCCGAAGCTAACAGACGGGTTCGGATGTATAATTTGCAATCAGCAAAATAGATCGACCTCGGTAAAAACCTCACTGGTGCGACCGCGCGCCCGAGCACAAGAGATGGGGAATCGAAAATCAAGGCGACTTGCTTATATACCCTCGGAACATGCGCACGGACCAGCTGCATTCCGGGTCACGTTCTAGGTACGAATCGCCACAGCGCTTATTCACCGTTAGTTGATTGGAACGTTGAACTGTAACAAGCACAGCTACCTCTGTTAATTCCCCTACTTGTGTACAGCCTGAGTGTCGGTGTCAGGGCTACGAGCGCACTCGACTCACACGCACACCCTTTTACACACCCCGACTTAGCCCCCCGACAGCTTCCCGACTTAAACAACACGTCAAAGGCAGTGTTGAACAGCCTCCGGAACCTGACTTATGTTTGTCTTTTTTTTGTCTAAGGGCGTTCTTTTGTCTATCCGTGGCCTCATAAAAGGGCGCAAAAAGCGATTATTCATGCATAGTTTTTACACGCCCCCTTCATCTACGTGAACACAATGTTCGATTTAAGAAAAACGTCACTGGCTATTCTCTGTTACTTGATGCAACATGTCGATGCGGCCTCCATCGCACAACGTCAGACTCGCGTTTGTTTCGATGAAAAGTAAGTGTGTAGTGCTTTAATCGCTCTTGGGACGATTGCTTAATGTGGCATCATTCTATAGCGACAATCCCATTACTTGCCCGCGTTCCAAATGGTCCAAGGCCAAAATTATCATAATCTGCACAATCGTTGGTAAGTAACGATTATGAGATATATCGCTCCTTCAGATCACTTATTCGTATTTTTGTGCAGGCATTGTGCTACTCCTTATGATTACAACTTACATCATAAAGAACAGAAGAATACAACCCATCCGTCCTTGGACAAACCCTTCACGCATTCAGACTGGTCTCAACAGGTCTTATCCTCTTCCAGATTCGACTTTTGTAATCCCCCCTTCCAGAGAAACGTCTTCCCAGAAGGACAATAAATCTCTACGCCCCTACAGCGTATCGGAACCGGATACTGCTTTGATCCCCCCGCCTCCTGCTTACACTCCTACGCACATACATTAGGAGATGTTCCTATTCCCCCAGCCCTACTATCTTATATTTTCATATCTACTCTGTTCTTGGGACTATGATTTTGTATCCTTAGGTTATCGTGATGTATTCTACTGTGTCTAAAGATATTGCTATTCCTATACTGTATGGTTTTTGTTGTTCAGTACTGACGATACTTCAATCGATACCCTTCTACGATGTGGCGCAAGTGTGGCGTCAGAAACGCGTTGTTGCTTGACACGTGAACTGAGTCAATGTCTTTTGTCCTCAATTTCAACGTCCAAACATTCTCTACTACTTACTGACCAAATGCGCGCCGGACGACAAGGGAATCGTTCTTCTCTTCTCTCGCATACATTTCCTTCATTCTACGCTTGCTATCTGCTCAAATCCGTGCAAACTCCTACTTCGAAAGCGTACGCACTCTGTGACTATCCACCGATTCCGTATAATTGTTTAATCGGGGCGTAATGTTGTAGGACTTACATTGGCAGCACACCGAACCCACCTAGAAGAATCAGGTATGCTTATTGCAGTTGATTTGTGTAGATCCTGTTCGTGAAATATCAATGCCTCTGAGTCTCGTCCTTTCACAGGCAACATAATGGAGAGCTAACCCAAGGAGCCTACAAAACCAAGCGAGGACGTCCTTGGATCATGCAACTGATAGTCCACGGTTTTCCATCAAAACTGGCTGCGCTGCAATTCGAATGGGCATGGCAGCATCCAAATTTATCCCGGCACATTCGTGACGAGAACGGGAAGGTGTTTACAACAACTGGACGTGGTTTGAAGCAAAATATACAGTTGCGTCGTTTACTCAAACACTCATGTCGAGTCGTCATAGACGTTTTTCTTTGTTTATATCTTTTCTCTCCCCCTTCATTCAGGATATTGCGATTCATGATATCCATCCACCCTTATAATCTCTGGCCACTTCATGTCAAAATCTTCACACCTCAAGCGTTGAAGATCTGGGATGGATTAGCTGGTACTCAAGGCAAGGGAAAGGGAAAGGAAAAAGCCACCAACTCCGCTCACGCGACAATTCTACCCCGAGGGTTTACGCATACCGTCGAATTGGAAGGCGTGGATGGGAAGTTGGCTGGTGGAAGTGGAAGATCTGTGCCTATAGACGTACAGGATGGTGCGGTGTACCTTTGTTTCTGTCGAGGTTATTGTTAGATGCTCATTCATTTGGGGGACAGAGAAATTTACGACTACGCATCTCAATAAACATAACGACCTTATTGCGTCGAAGAAACTCCTCGAGTGTTCTGTTTGTCGTGAACCTCTCAATAATTACATCTTGGTATGTTCCAAAACACCGAACTAATCAATCGTGTGTTGACTTTGCAATTCATACAGGACCCACTGACGCACGCCCTGTGTCCACACAATTCGTGCAATGGAACAGCACATCTCTTATGTCTTTCACAGCATTTTATTTCTCAATCTCTCAGTGGTAACTATAACTCATCAGACGCCCCCATGGTTCCTCGAGGTGGGAACTGCCCATCCTGTTTTAACTTTGTCTTATGGGGCGACGTGGTAAAAGGCTGTTATAGGCGCTCCGCGGGAGGTGCGGTTTCGGTTGAAGAAGATGAGGAAGCGCTGGAGAAGATGTATAAATCGGACAGCTTGGCGGAAGATACTTCGAGTCACGATCGTGATCCCGGTAGGGCTAATAATGATAATGCTCAAGGGAAGAAAAGGAAAGCCAAACGCGTTGTGTCGCCCAGGAAAAAACGAGAAAGGGAGGGATGTATAGAGAGTAGTACTAGCAGTCTAGGAGAAGAGTTTGATTTTGATGAGGTCGAGGAAGAGAGGTATTCAGATGATCCGGAGGTTGTTGGGACAAGTCGACGGCGGATGGCTACGTCGTCCCCGACAAAGTTTAAAATCGGAAATGCGCACCTAACGATTCCGACACCTGTAACACCCTCAGCTTCAACTCGTACTCGGAAAGCTCAAACCACGCTATTCAGCAGCAGTCCTACCCCGAGAAAACAGGTCAGAGCGATCCGGAGTCCGAAGGATTATCAAGAAAGTAGTGAAGGCGAGCCCTTCGATTTCGATGATGTGGAACGTTTGTCGTCTACCGACGATGACGAGGCGCCAAAACGGAAGGTTGGTCGGCCGAAGGTGTTAAATGTTGACGGAGCTGTATCAGGTCCGTCATCCCGCCCAACTGGCGCTACAAAACGACGTGGACGCCCGAGGAAGGATAGCTTGAATGTCGCACTGTCGAGCACATCTTCAAAGACACCTATGAAAAAGCTATCCAATTCCTCAAAGAGAATGCTCATGTCAAGGCCTTTGGGTAAATTGGCAGCCGCTCCGCTCGAACCTCCGAGGTCCAACGTACTGCCTTTATATCTGTCAGACTCGGATGATGATGTTCTGGTTCATACAATGTCTTCCCTTTCTGTATCTTCTCCATCCAGTTCAATATGATATTCATCTCACCTGTCATATAGCCTTTATCCCATCTTGTTGTGCATCTTTTATTGTTTCTTGGTTATTCGTGTGCTAGGAATACATACAGATAGTAGCTAGATAGATCTCGTCGTGCGTGAAGTGTAACAAAACAAAAATTGTATAGTTGAAATCCCCTACTAAGATGCTTGTTTGAGTTTAGCTGCCACTTGTGCATATACGGCTCGAATCAGCGGTTTGACCGAATTCTTATCGCAGATGAGTGCGACATCCACTGGAGCTATTTTACCAGGAACTGCACTCCCCGAGTCGAGTGCCTGTCGTACACAGTCCAGCACAATATTAGGATAGTTTGGGATCGGCTTTAGAGTATGGTCGGAAACCGCAGGCTCTGACATGACGATGTCACCGGAAGCGTCCTTTTCCTCTGCTTTGACTGGACCTCGATAGGACGATGATACCGAAGGGTAGAAAGAATAGGAGGCGTCAAATATTGCCACTCTATCGTCCGTCATCAACCGTATATCGAGTGCATGCCTGGCGAAGTACAATTCAGTGTCAAATTAGACAGACAAAAACTATATCCTCACCTTAAATCACTAAACATTAATCTATACCACCCAGCAGCTTTGGCAAATGTGTCGACTGGCATCTGGCCTTGATCTCGTTCAGTCTCTCTTCGAATCGCTTCTAGTTCAACGGCTATAGGTAATGTATCCCGGAGAAGCCGAACGAGCTTGTGTAGGGAGGGTGCAAGGCGACCATGTCCAGGTGTTAAAATATTTCGCAAATACGGTTCGGCATCGTCGTGGGGGTTGAAGGAATCATAGTCTTCGATGCTTCCGGGACTCGGTCGAGTACGAGAGAACCGGAGATCGAAAGTCCCCCCATTGAAGAGTTGGTCTTCACATGTTATGAAGACAGTATAATCCTACAGAAACGTATGATTATAAAGTCAGCAAGATTTGTGTGTTGACATACCTCTGCGTACGCAAACTCTACAGTTTGAAGGTCGAAGGAAAGTAGTCTGACATCAGGCAACATCTTTTCCTTGGACATCTGGGCGACTTGATTTCTAGTCTCAGTCGACAAGTTGATAGTACAATGTAACAGACTCACCTTGTCGTGCAATGACCACCATTTTAGAAACACGAGCCCATTCTTCCAGAAATTCGTCAACGCAAGTATCCACGTTTTCAGAGAGGAACGACACGACGGCCTCGGTCGTGTCGTAAATGATCCGTTTTGAAGGCCTAATCACAGTACTAGTTCCTGCAGATTTGCCCATTGGTTGTTGTACGTATTTAAGCTTCACGCATGTCACAACTTGCGCCTTTTTTTCTGACCACCAATTGAGCGGTATAACGCGGATATTGGGCATAGCGGCCTCCGCTGCCGGGGCTCCAGATAATATGTCACTGGATTGCACGCATAACCCAGGGACTGAGCGAGCCAGGGAGGATTGTATGTAGGCGAGTTCAGGAGAAACTGAGGTTGAAGCGGTATGATTAACATGCGTGAATGGAATACCACGTGTTTTAAATTGGATTTCGACGTTCATGTAGGCCACACGGGCACTTTTGCAGAGGTCAATTAGCTATAGTGTGAACGCAAAGAAAAACACTTACCAGCAATAGCTGTAGATTTCGCGTAAAACTTGTGTCTCCAAATGGAATCTATATGTGTTGTTTGGTTGCAAGATTCTTGAGGAAGCAACAAACATATCTCACCCTGCGGATGGTTGCTCAACTGGGAGCACCTTCTCGTCCGAGCGCCCACGCTTCAGCACAGGGCGCGAATCCGGCCGATCCGCATGTACGCTGATCGTCAGGTCATCATTCCTCAAACGTGAAAAGTCCAACCAGGCAATGTCACCCATGACCATACTAGTAGTAATTGTAGTTCGCACTATTTGTGTATTGATCAAGGCGTATTTGAAGTCTTCGTCAGAGATCATGATGACGAGATAATGCGTAGGGTGGCTTTCCAACTGGATGTAGATAGACCCTCTATGGGGGCCCAGTTTGGCCATTTCTGGTTCAATCTCTCAGTATCGAGAACGTGTTCGTCAGAGGAATTGTGTGCTATACCAGTTTGTGCAAAATTGCGGGAACGAAAACTTTGCAGACCAAGATATTGAGCCTTCTGTTCGATGAGGTCGATGATTGTCTAAATAACATGGTCAGCATGCACTAGCATGAAGTCGAAATCTACCGAAGACCTACGTGAAGTCGAATAGAGACCAAGGCGTTAAAAATTTGAGCAGGGGTCTCATTAATTTTGTCTGCGAATCTAAGCAGTCGCAGACCATGCATGGTAGCTGCAAGGTCTCCTACATCACGCAGGGTGAAACGACCAGTCCTAGGATCCAAAGAAACCAAGATATATTTGTCTGCACAAAGCAGAACTTTTAATGCTTGAAATTCACCTGGTCAAAAAGATCAAAAAGGTACATCGACAATAATCAATCCAACGACAACACACCATCTTCAATGAAGGTTAAGACACCTGGGGCTGCGAACCCAGAGCGCCCGGTGTGCTGAAGCTGGTATTGGATTCTTGTTAATATAATATTAACATGTTTATGGATAATCTTCCGTAGCATGGCTTCGAAATCCAGATTATCAGCATCCTAGTCGGTATGAATCAAAACGACGGCAAGATGACCGTTAACAATGCCATACCACGAGTAGCATGCCAGTAGGTAACAGATATTCTTCGGGTGGAATATGGATTCCGATAGCATTTGGTGTTGGTTCCCATCGAACCTCAAATTTGAGAGATTCAACTTTGTCCGATGGTCTCTTGGAACCAAGCTTCGAAGCATATTGCAGTTCAGCCAGAACCTTGGCCTTTGATGAGCTGGTGTGTGAAGTTCTGACTCCTTCCACCATTGAAATCGTCACTGTCCCCCCATGTAAAGGGACCGCTAATTTCGGCGGTAGGCGAACAACGGGAGGCTTTCGTCTAATATCAATATGAGTTGAGGTCGATAAAATGGTGTACAAAGACATACATCCAATACGAAACTGCGAGGACCTTACGATTGGGAGTGATTGAAACATTCAGGAATTCTGCCCAGCCTAAAGAACGCATTCTTGTAGCCTAGAAAGTCAACATGAATAGGGTTGTATCTCTTCGTGCAACCTTGAGCACCTGGAAAAATAGTGCTTCGAGTTGATATGACATTGACATCATTTCTAAGAAGCAAGAGTCAATGAAAATGCATTCAGAGTAGAAGCTGTACATACGCAAAAAGTTGAAAAGACGGATCAACGGCGTATCGACGACATCTTCAGGCAGCTCTGGAGCTGCGGGAGGGGGCTCGGCCCCAGGTAGAAGGAAATCTGGTGGCGGTTTTGGGGTATACAGCTCTAATTGCCGATCGACTTCCTCTTTTATAAAGCCGTGCATTAAGCCAGTAGGTCGTCGAGGGAATTCTGTGAAATTTGAGTATAGTAAACGAGGCAAGTAGACAAAATGTTACCTTGGGTGACATTGACGTCGCCTCCTATATTTATGAGGAACTCGACGTGTAAAAAAGACCAAGAATCTTTTGGTTGGGCGCCTTTCAGAGTTAATGAACATTCAAATAGTTTGGGTATTGTGAAGTATACACGGCCGTTTGCTGGGGGAAAACCTTCAGCTCTCGGTGCACAAAAGTAAAGCAGCTGCTTTACCGATGCGCTGGCGCGACATTTCTACGGGTGTGACTTCATTCAAACGGAGTCGAAACTGTATCGCATCTTGAATGCCTATCAACGTTTTAATCACTTCAGCGTCAGTCAGTGGTGTGGGAGGTATTATAGATTTCTTCAGGGTGGTGTGTCAGCAACACGCTTCGGTGAATAGTATCAATGGGAGAACTGACCTTGATCCTGGTAGGTAGGCGCTTATATGTACCAAATGTTAGCACATCCAGTGAGGTAAGGAGGTCATGGTTTCGCAGTCTGTTGTGGAGTTTGAGACAAGAACGTTCGATTCCTTTTGTTATACACACCGTGCAGGATCCAAAGACTCCCACGCGTATGTTAATCCTTGTATCGCATCCTCAAACTGACGGTTTTGATCCATGAGAAAAGCAGTGATATTCTGGGACAGTCTGAGCACGATCTCGGTACATAGTAAGGACAGATGAAATCACCATGCATTTCTGCACAGTATCCGCGTCGCGAGACCATTTCACGATGGCGTAAAGCTTCACCACCTGCTTCTTGGTTTTGACTACCCAGTCTGCCAGGGTCCGCTTGCGGGCTGCGTCTGACATGTTTGGAAGACTATTTGAGGTGAGCTGATGAAATTGCAAAGCTCAACGTAACTCACGTTTCGCTCATCTCTGTCAGCTCCATGTATATAGCCTGCATGACACGGGATAGAATATCCCCCAAAGGAATCTGACCGTCAAACACCTCCGGTAGCTCGCGCTCCAGCTGCTCGATGCTGGGCTCGACATCTCCGTTCAAATGAACACCATTCACTATTGGATACGGGTCCACTTTTTCTGGCATTTTGTCAACCGACATTCCGTTGCTTGTTGAAGGCCCTGAATTCATTGAGTTGCTGAAGTTTGATTAGAGTTTTGGCTAAGAGGTTGGCTCATCAGGTATTAGCCGGAGCAGGGGAAGAGAAGGGAAAAGAAGAGAAAGAGAGAACAATGTACGCCACATGATCAAATTTGATGAATTGACCATCACGGTTTTTCGTCTCTCGACTTTCGGATGGATTATTTACGGAACCTTGGCTCAGCAGCAGTGTCAACTTTGGTGCAAAAGTCCGGACTAAATCTCCCTTTCTCTTTGGGTCCAAAGGTTGCTTCGTTGGATGGAATATGTAGTTTATATGACGGCACAAAAAGAGTACGTGAGATCTCGTCTTGCATCCTCGCACAAGCATCTTATGAACGCCCCAGGATGATTCCAGTCCGATTTCCGTTTTTGAATACGATTTCAGCCAGCGCAGGGATCTTGCTCCGTTGGCCAAGAACTCACTTCGCAAGCTCCGAACAATTCGTCACCCGGATGTCCTGAAGTTTATGGACGTGGTAGAATCAGACACAACGATAGTGATCATGACAGAACGCGTTCGACCTTTAGATGCCGCGCTTCAAGCTTGGACTTCCAAGGGCGTTCAAGAGAAGGAAGACTGGATCTTGTGGGGTTTGCACAGAATATCTGTTCGTGTCAGGTCGTTCATTACACTCAATGGAACTCATCCGACAATGGATAAAGGTTGCCCTCGCATTTATCAATGAGTCTTGCGCCTCAACTCACGGCGCAATTCGAACAAAGGCTGTATTTCTATCGCTTTCAGGAGAATGGAAGTTGGGTGGATTTGAAGTACTCAGTAATCCGAAGGATGATGCTTCTGTTCTCTATGTACGCGTTAGTCAAAGTTTTCGTTGCAATATACCTAATATATCTTTAATGACAGACTTTGGGAAGTCTTCTACCTGACAATATGAGTTGGGCACCGCCAGAAGTCAAGAAGGAAGGGTGGTCATCGCTTAAGAAGTAAGTGCTCCGACCATACGTGTAGCGCAAAAAATGATGGTATTCATGGCAGAGGGGAACCGCCCGCAGCAGACGCGTATGCGCTAGGACTATTGCTCAATGCTACTTTCAATCCTGACCACCACCCGCCAGCAACAGCTTCACCGCCTCATCCACCTCCCACTGCCGCCGCTAGAGGTAACATACCAAACGCCGTATTTTCCTTGTACAAGAGACTTTTGAATCCCAATGCGAAGGGGCGTTTGACCGCGAAAGGCTTTCTCGAGATTGGAATGGCCGAGTCAGGTTTCTTTGCCAGCAATCGTTTAGTCAAAGTATGTCTCGGACTGGACAATTTTGCATTAGCTAGTGAAGCAGAGAAGATGATTCTACTCCGGTATGCCCGTATATTCATTTGTGTTCGCTCGTCCCTTACTCCTCCCGTAGGACTCTTCATGAATCTGTGGACTCATTTCCTTCTGAATTTGCCACGGACCGCGTCCTACCATCTTTAGTTTCTGCATTAGAGTATGGTGGTGCCTCAGCTGCGACAATCGTTCCTCTAGTTCTTCGTTTAGGCAAAAATGTACCAGATAGCAAATACAGCGACGCAATTATCGCGCCGGTGATTAAACTCTTTGCCAGCCCCGATCGTGGTATACGCATGGCATTACTCGACCATCTGCCAGAGTATGCGGATAAATTGGACAAGAAGACTGTGGATGGAAAGATATTCCCTCATCTGGTCTGTATATTCATTCGTGCCATGCATCTCTTTTTTTTCATTTATTAAACAGCAAACTGGGTTTTCTGATACGGTGGCCGTCATACGGGAAGCGACAGTAAAGTCAATCAGTTTGATAGCTCCAAAGGTCCGTCTCTTCGTTAGATGAATTTCCATCTCTTCTAAGTTTAAAGACCTCTTCTTCAGTTGAGTGACCGCAATCTTAACAACGATCTACTACGATTTCTCGCCAAAATGCAGCAAGACCCAGAGGCTTCCATACGAACGAATACATGTATTCTGATAGGTCGTCTGGGGCCGACACTGGGTTACAATACGAAAAAGAAAGTTCTAGTTCCAGCCTTTCTGCGAGCATTGAAAGATCCATTTGTTCATGCCCGTGTGGCTGGCTTGATGGCGTTCATGGCCACTATCGATTGCTTCGACGTCGAGGACCTTGCGACTAAGGTTATACCCAATATGTCCTTTGCGTTAGTAGATAAAGAAAAGTAAATCCTTGCTTGTTTATCCCGATTTACCATCTAACTACTACTGCGAACTTTAGGCTCGTCAGAGATCAGGCCTTCAAGACCATGGAATTATTCACTAAGAAGCTCGAGAGCTATGCCGCTACAATGGTATGGGTTTCTTTCTACCGTTCAAATGACAATCTTTTGAAAAGTTCAACGAAGCCCGAAACTGCAGCACCCAATCCATTCGACCAATTTACAGATCCAGTTGCGGCTACTTCTCAAGGCACGTTGGTCACGTCTGCCGCTGGTGCTGCTGGGGCGTTAGCAGGATGGGCAATGTCTTCCATTGGGAAACGAGTGAGCGCTGATTACAAAGCCGATGGAGACAACCATGAACTAACAACCCTCAGCTTGCCCCCTCAGACATGCAAACCACAATGGCTTCTTCCACTGGAACTGGCATTGATCGTCCTACTTCTGCTCCCCCACCAGCAGAAGATAGTCGAATCGGAAACCTGAAACCAAGTCCATTATTGACCTCCATGTCAGCAGCAAATTCGACTGCAACTTCTCCAGCACTTCCGATTCGCTCAAATTTCCAGTCGAGTTCTAAATTGAAGGGAATGCAGCTGGGTGCAAGTAAAGTTCCTTCGAGTATTGCCGCGGCACTGGCAGAACAGTTGGCAGAGGAAGTTGCTGCTGAAGATGGAGTCGATGTATCGAATCCGTGGGGAGATGACGACCTGATGGATGTAAATGCTGATGAAGGCGACTGGAGTAAGTACCAACAGGAACGAATTTCATTTGCTAACAATGAATTCATATAAATACATAGGTGCATTCGAAACCGCACCAGTGTCAACACCACCCATCAAGATAACGCCAGCGGTCACGGCACCAAAACCTATCCCGGCCTCAACGCATCCTGGCTTCAATAGTAACGGATTCCCGACTGGAACATCTATCCCGAAATCTCGTACACCAGTATCGCAAATGTCCAGCAAGAATTCATCAACCATCTCGCCATCATCTTCCACAAATGGGTGGGACCAAGATGACGGTTGGGACGCTCCTCCTACCACACGGCGTGCCTCGAGCCCGGCTGGACCTATATCAACTTCGACCATGACCAAGGAGGAGAGAGCTGCTGAGATGGCGAAACGAAAAGAAGAGAGGAGACAGGTAAGGTCCTGTTTATTGGTGCAATGGACACACTACTGAAGATCCGCCACAAGCGCATTGCCATGCTGAAGGAACAGAAAAAAAATGCAGGTAAATCATGATAGATCATTATGGAACAGAATCTTTACATAGGCGCACATATAACTTACAATCCATGTACATAAGAACCCCCGTCCGAAATATCACTGGGATGAAGTTGAAGCGCCATTCGATTCCATGGCGTCTTCGATGGGTATGCGAACCAGCATCTCTCCTTCCTGTGAAGCGGCATTCGGTTGGTCTTCAGACGATTCTCGAGAAGCAACTATACGATAGGAAATGTTAGTTCCCGAATCGACTCGAAGATGTTAAGTTGAATATACGAAATAAGTTGAGGATGTGGAACATCCTAGGCCATTGTTCTGATACTTGGCCGTGGACTAGATATCCGTGAGCATGAGCATTAAGGAAGACGCGTGTTGCAAATATACCTTCACCAGCCAAAGCCATCACATCGCAGTCGTCTGCTAGCCCAGAGATACGTTCAAGATATGCAGAGCTTGTTCTTTCTAAAGCAGCGACAGCATCGAATTCCTTCTTCTTTTCGTTAAGTTTAAGAAGGGCAGCTTGTGAGGTCGTAGGCAGGCCCGACCCCATCCCATATGATGTTCGATTGGAAATAGATGAAGGCCTCATCATTGGACCTTTCAAAGCTTCATTGATAACCACCGCGATGGAAAGGTAAAGTGGCAGTGACACGTGCAGCGGAATTCGGGGCGGGAACTATGTACAACAATTAATTCTACCATCTGCCTTGTAAAACTAGAAAGCCTCCCTTCTGCACCTCCTCAAGTTCTCGACGCTGCCAGACATCAATGAAGCTAACGTCAAATCTGAGCCAATTGCATTGAACTGCGTGTGATAGAGGCCATTGTGAATTGACTCGAATCTGAGTATGCCAGAAGGGTCTAGTGATAGTGTAACGCCTCCCGTATTCCAACTTCATCCTCCGGAATGGCTTCCGAAAACTCACAGCTCAGCCGATCTTGGTCAGTCTTTACTTCGTGAAATTTACCTCCGCTTACCGGCACTCAGGCTACCCCAACTTTTATCCTCCGCGTCCTGGTCAAGAGGAGGACATATTGTCAGAGTCAAATGTGAAGAATGGCTTTGTTCTACCCCAAATAGTTTTGGTACGTTCGTGTTATGTACGTTGAAGGGTAAAATTTCAATGATTACCAGGCCGAAACTTTTAGTTCCCAGTCATCTATCAGCGAAAACCTTCACTCAATAAGCACCATCAACAAGCTGGAAGATTTACTGAATGAGGTGTTTGCAAGGCGTGCAAAGCAGATTCCATCCGTGCCGTACGTCCTTCCGCTCCTGCATTCCATCCAAGCTCTTACTACGATCCTCCAGATCATCCACCTTCCGTATGCCATCTCGAGTGACCCTCAACGACACCAAACGACAAGCCTGGTTCGATGATTTAGCTAACCCGGAAGTCCCGCTTGCCAAGTTGGGCAGAAATGTTCCGCACGGTGCCAAAGGCGCTGATATTATAGAGTTGCTGTATTCCAAGAACGTTGCTATCCATCGTGCAGTGTGGTTCTTACGCGTCTTTGGCGCAAACGAAACCGCTGGTCTTCGTAACAAACCTTCTTATAACCCTAATCAGTATAGTGTGGAGTGGACCAACGTCGTGACTGCATATCTGCGAAAACAATTGATAGATATTGCCCTTCCCATTGCCCCTCGTCCCGGGGTAAATATCAAGCAGACTTTCAAAGGAGTGTTGTCCGATCCCGAAACGCGGCTGAAATGGATTTCACGTTTCTCGTATTGGTGAGCTCACAAATCAGCCACTTCTTCCACATCTAACAGTAATGTAGCTTGGAACTACTTCGGGTTTTTTATTCTGAAGGTCTTGTCGACAAGCGAACCTTCTTCTCTTGGCTTGTGAATCAGATGTGCAGCTGTAATTTGGCTCAAGTGGGGTTCGTATGTAGATTCGTTGATGAGTACTTTGAGGGGATGATAGAATGCCGGCCGCTTGCTCGTCCGTTTGTAGAAGCTTCTCTTTGCAAGTTATCCGAGATTAGCACTAGTGCAGCGAAGGATTATTTGGTTGATACTGATTATTTAATCAAATTTTTACTACAGGTAAGTTTCTGTTTGTTATGTCGCTCGTTTCTGACTTGTGGTATGTCCTAGCGCGTATGTTTGGTACTTCCTGACGCGTTTGTCAGTCCAAGGATGTGGATCAATTATTCGAATAGTATCTGCGAAGTTTTGACACATAACCCCAACAATAATCACCCAGACGGCTCCATAGAACAATTAACTGGCACCAGTATATTCAACATCATCCACCACAATTACCTAGTTGTGAAACGGAGAATCGAGGCCATGTTATTTCGCAATCTCCCCTCTCTCACCACCTCTCCTCATCTTGGCTCCGCGGTTCACGACGTTGAACTGCTAAATTCTATCTCTGCTGACACCGATGTTGCCAACTTGCCTTTTTTCCCCTCATCCTCCGAAAATCTGGCAGGCATTTCCGAAAAACTCGACGCATTGCTTACATGGAGTGTGACACCATTACAGTATGGTGACCACCGAGCTTTTGCTGCGGTTACGCTGATTCAGAAATGGAGAACAAAAGCGGGTGATCGTGCTAATCGTAGGGATGCTTCTCCTCCGGACGGTTTCCTTCAGGACCAGCTCTTTGAGTGGTTGGACTCATCTGATGTTGCGGGAGAACCCGAAAACATTGCCGCAGTCGCATTGTTGTACGGAAAGCTGGTCAAGCACGAACTGTTCTCGTATGCTAGTTATATACAGCGGCTAATTGCTAGAGGGGAGCCTGGATTATCTTTCACGGAGGTACATTTGGTCAAATGCATACATTTTTGTCTTTCTAAAGTCATTTTCAGGACTTTGGTTCCAGACATAGGAATTACCTTCGCTGGATACCCCTCTACAACACGACACCTTCGTTAACGAGTCAGCGTAAGGTGGTCTTATACGGGGTTCGAGCACGAGAAACGCCCGAAGATCTCAATGAAAGAGAAATCCGGAAGGAAATTCGAGCAGTCCTTCCTGAGCTTTTTGGAAGTGCGTCTCTTGTCTTCTTACTTCCATTTTACTTCTCACTATCTAGATCTAGATCCTGCCGAAATTGCGCTACCGTCGCCAACATCATTGTTAAGTAGTTGTCAGCTTTTGCTTAACAGCCCCAGATACGAGCAAGTTCGAACGTTTGGAACATGGCTCATGCCTGTTCTCCAGAAGGCTATTGTGCAGTGAGTACCTTGACGGTATGTTAGAGATGAATTCCCATCGTATGGTTTAGGCAGGAATTTGATGTCTCTCACTCGGGTATCTTGAAATCATTCGACGTCGCGGTAGAGCTCATGACGCAGACCGATTGTTTTGATGCAATGCTTGATGTAAGTCTATATACAGAAGCCAACCAATCTTATAATAACTGTTGCATCTTATAGCTCACTATATTCATGCTGGAGCACTGTTCTACCGAAGAGCTTTTACTTGCCGTCATTGACACTTTTCGCCGTCATGCAGTAATTTGGGCGTCCATGGACGTAAAAGGGATGATTATTAATGCACTGGATTCTGTGCATTACTCTTGGAAAATGCGAGGTATCCAGTCGAAACCTCTCTTGGCACTTTTGGTTGAATTTGACGGCGGAAGATATCTCAGCGATGTATCCCGGGAGGAAGTAAGGACAGATTTAGCTGCGTTCACTCTGGTAGAACTTCTCTTAGAACTTCTCCAATTGTAAATACTGATACTGAAGCTAGGCTCTTCAACCGATAGCTCACCATCCTGATTCAGTACCTGATGTCCTCCCCGAAATTCTTCTCCTGGTGGGCAATCCTGCACCAGACGCGCCGTCACTCCTTGCCAACGGTCTTTGGATCAAATACCGAATGTCACTGAATTGGGCATGGAAAGTTTGGGATAACACTATTGCGAGCTTGCGTCAAATCCCCACTGTGACTCTTGATATTAAGGAACGCCGATCGTGCGCTTTGCGATACGGTATTTTCTTGCATCATGTCAACCGTCATCTTGCGACTGGTCTCGATGACCACGTCCTCGGATGGTTTCTAGGAAGGGGTAAGGATGAAGTTGCTGTCCTGAGCCAAGATGTCTGGGACATTGTGAAGGTCGTTCTTTTGTACCTTGTCGTTCAAGGTGCGCTACGGACTACCACAATTCTGGAAGGATTAGTGTGGCCCGCATGGTTGCTTGCTGCTTCTCTCTCAGATGATCGAGGGCCTGCTTCCGACGTCCATCTCGGCGCCGCTAACGATCTTTGTCGACGACTGCTCTTGACGGAAGATTGTAGTTCAGACATGATTCCGCCAACAAATCTTCTTGAAGTTCATTGCATCCGTACAAGACGCCAGGATGTTTATCGTGAACCATACTTTCCCTCAATGATAGCCAAGATACCTATCCTTGTATCGCTGGAGAATAGCAATAGGGTTTCTGAACAACTCCGCCAAGATGCTCAGGAAATCCGTCAGCTATTATGCGAAGATAAACTTTTCCGGCAAGGGGTGTTTCGTAACCTGGATGTAGTCAGGGTAGCCTTTGAGCAATCTATGCAGATAGCTGAAGGAAATGGAGAGAACATCTTCAAGCCTACCATTGCAGCACTGAGTATGATTCTTGGAGAAAATACAGAAGGTCTGTTTGACACCGCCAAAGTGGCTTTTTTGCCCTAATTTATTGTTTCATTTCCCATAGAGCTCGAATTATCTCACTGGCCCGATTCTGCGTCTCTGCTTAGTCCTTGGAAGATTTCAGCCACTGCCATTCAGCTTCAGTTCGTGCTTAGACAGATGGGAAGAGACAGCGCCGTCGGCACGAGAGGATCCAGTGATTCCGCTGCCCTTGATAAACTCACGACCATGATCTTTCATCACACCTTATCCTGCGAAGAAGCTAGTTTCGTCGCACAAATGACAAAGGGAGTAGGCAGCGAGATCGCAGGCAAGGTGAGTAACAGTCAATAGATGGTCATCTATCTTGTCAGATGTTCAAATACTAAGTCAGTTACGTTGTATGTAGTTCATCAACAACGGCCTCAAACATGTAGCGGAGATCATCCAAAATATTGAATTCTCTCAAGACTCTCTGCAAACAAGTCTAGGTCGAGCAGGAGAGCTTCTCCGTGTCTTGACTTATGTCGCGGAACCACTACGGGATAATCCTTCTGAACTTCCGATGTTAGATGCTACGATCCAAACAGAGTTCTTCGAAGCTATATCAGCAAAGTTTGCGGCTCTCGTGAACTTGCTTCAACCCCCTGACGTCGACTCGGTTGACGGCGAACCCCTCATGAATGCCTGTATACTTCTGGCAAGGTTTTTGCAATTCGATCTCGCATTTCGGGGCGTCTGGACTGAAGCAGTCAAGGATGCAAGTAAATCATTATCTTCCAACCTTTTCATTCTTCTCCAAGTTCGTCCTCATGTATATGCTTCTATCACTCTCATCTTCATGTTTTCATCTTAGATCTACGCTTCTGGAAATAACTGTGAACTCATTGCCTACCCCTTGCTACTCGATACCCTATTTTACTTACGTGACGGTGAGCTCGTTCTTCCTCTTGATTTACTCTGATGCACTTATACCTCAACCCAGAAATGCCCGTCGAAACCAAAATGGGTGTATTTGATCCGTTCCAACACTACCCAGACATTCCGGCGTCCTCCTTGCCTTCAGATATTCCTCCCGAATATCGTAAAAAGATACTTTCCATCCTTCCAGAACTTCCTGGAGTCAAATCTGTCCGGAACCTCAGCAACGCACACCGAGATGCTAATGGGAATATACACATTGATGCACCTGTCGTGAACCGGCCTTGGGAGTGGACAGAAAATCTGGGAGATTACGTTGGGGATTATAGCCAAGGCAGAGACGTGAGGAATTCTGGTTCACTCAATCTGCTAAACTTCGGTGCCCGCCTTACGGGTGAAGGAAGGATTCCGGAGGCCTATCAAAAGGATGCGAGGATAGAAGAAAACTTGCGTACATTCGAGGATGGATTTTCCTCTGAGAGTATTTTCCAGAGAGACTGGCGGGAGACGCGAGTGAGACCCAGCGTTGAAGAACTACTGGGAGCGGAAGGGTTGAGGACAAGATTGGATGAGAATCTGCCTATGAGTTTTGTTGCTCATAGGAGGAAAGGCTCGCCAGCGATGTCAAACTCAGGAGCTTCTCGTTCTTCTGGAATGTCGATGCGTCACAGCCCGGGGCACGGGGGGTTGAATCGTCGGTCTAGCTCTACCATCAGCGATATAATCGATGTGGATGCCATTCCCTCCACATCTGGAGGTTCATCTTCGCGTGGAAAGAGGAAAGCTGCTGTGGAAAGCGATGATGAAGTTGTTTTCGTGGAAGGTCCCATTGCTGCGCCGACGAAAGGCGGGAAGAAGGCCAAGCCGACGAAGACACAAACGAAAAAATCGACTAAACGACGATGACATTATATCTCGGTATTGGACATGTATGATAGGGCATATCTAGTCGGCGCATGAGTATGAATATGTAGTACAAGCCAACAATACGATACATATATATGTAGACAGTGATATTGATAAGTTATTGCAGACAATTCATGAAGATGTAAATGCAAATGTCAAGTTTGAAAGTTTAAGTTGTAATTTGATTCAGGTCCTTCGAAAGAAACCGCTCCATGGGTCCTCTCGTTGGGCTGGTGCTTTTCCCTTCGCTTTTCCTTTCCTTCGACTAGAACCCGCCTCTCCCTTTCGAGGACTAGATTCTCCTTGCACACTAGCAACAGCCCTCACAATCTTCTTCAGATTGAAATCCTCCACTGGGGGATTCCGCACCTGCTTGCGACAAATTGGACAGGTGTAGTGGGGTTGTGGGGTAGCCGCACCAAGCAAGTGCATATAGTGGTGCTGAGCGAAGCCTGGGTACGCAGCGTACATATCGGCCCCATAAGGGTGTTGGTGTTGGTTGATATTATAGTTGGGATGTGCAGCCATGTGTTGTGCTAGCGTCGTCGAAAACCAATCCTGGAATGACAATGAGGGTGGTACCGAATATCTGAGTGAAAGAACACGTTCTCACCTGCAGACAAGATTGGCAGTAAGTGTGCCCGCATTCCAGACTAGAATAGAAGAGGATTGATTAATTAATTATGGGAAACAAAAGGTGCCGGGGGAGTGACGCACATATAGGGTGTCCACATTTTCATTGTACAAATCTCGCATGTCACACTATCCTCGACATCGGATATTGGCTAGTTGCATTATTATTGAACGTGTGTTCTTTTGAACAAGGAAGATATTGTCATACCATATGATCCTTTGACGACGAGGCGCTCGATGAAGTGGCAAGCAAATGCGTAAGTTTATCTTGCACACTGGTGATCTCTGCTCTTAGAGAATTCGCTTTGTTCTTGTGCAATTCGTTCTCCTGCAGATCGTTGGCGACCTCTGCGAATTTGATAAGATTAATTGATGAAACACACCTGTTTCAACTTCTTTACCTCCCGCTCTAACTGGAGCTCGCGAGAGCTCTTCCTTTTCACCGGAGGGGCAGGAGGGGTGAAAGGGTCATCGTCCGAGTCGGATATCTCGATGACATCCGGATGAAGTACCAGTGGCTTTTTCGGAGCTCTGTTTTTGGAGGTTCGCGTGGTGCTGCTGGGACCTGTAGTGCTGGGACCTGGTTGGAGGACTTCAACAATAGATTCGCGACGAGATAGTCGAGTAGGCGGCATATTTAGTATGAAAGAAGTGGCGTCTCAGAAGAATGAATGTATTTGGAGAGAAGTGCAAGCGCTTGTTTGGTATTGATGTTGGTTTTGGTGGCAGTGCTGAGCGGGCGCCTATTCCAAAATAGGCACTTGTGTCGAAACACAATTTATAGCATGGATTTCCCTGGATTTCCTGACCTGACTCACTCAAGTAGTACTCAGGCCTCAGACGAGCGAAAATTTGCGGAAAGCTTTATTGCCTAAGAGGTTCCATCGTGGTTAGAGTTTATTAGGTCGAACTTTCGAGGTGTAAAAATACCAGGGTCTTCAGAGAATCGAGACATGCGGGCATTAGCTGTACACCGTTCGAGCAGTTGAACGAGCATATGTGTAGCCTATAGAAAGATCAAAACAAGCCAAACACAAGACTCACCGATATCAGAGGGATTCACATATCTTCTTGCCCTCAGTCTTTCAAATTTTCTATGCTCGCTCACCCAAAAAAAATTATGATTCTACCAGTACCAAGAGCGGGTATACCAAGAAGTGCGAACACTTCAAGATTCCAATTCCAAAAGAGATGTTGTAGTTATAGATCAACTTCCCTGGCCAGGGGCCCTCCGAAACCTGACCATGACAGAAGGTTTATTATAGGCCAAATTCGAAAATCATGAGGTCCAGCTCCAGCTCGTGCATGAAGTCGATAAAGTCGAGTTTCAATCGACAGCCTCGCAGATCTCGCAGGCGGGAATGTGACCAAAAATGTGACAGCGCGTGCGTGGGGAACATGTGACATTTCGTGTTTGTCACACTCATTCTGTCTTCTTCAATTAAGCCATTCTTTCCATTTCATTTCGCCAGGAATACTGATGGCACCTTCCTCGGATATCGATATCGACCCAACTTCCGAAGAGGTTTTGCTTACCTTTTATCGTCGACTATACCCTTTCAAGCAACTATTCAAATGGTTGAATCGCGGACCAGAAAGAGCAGAGAAAGAGTCACGTCTTTTTCCGTATCGAGAGTTCGCCTTCACTCTGCGTAACGACGCTTATCTTCGTTACAACTCGTATTCGAGCGACGTCGAGATGAAGAAGCATGTTTGTCTTCTTACTCCATCGCGTTTTGAGATAGGGCCTGTTTATTCCGCTCAGGTGCGTCGTTCAGTTGATTGATTGTCTTACCTTTGCTGATCTAAACTTCGCACTCAGCCAAAGGACAAGAAGACCGTTCGTCCCACTCACTTTAGAGCGGAAAAGCGCGAAGTAGTGTTTGATATAGATATGACGGATTACGATCCGATTCGAACATGCTGCTCTGAGGCTGATATCTGCAAACGATGTTGGGGGTTTATTGCCATTGCCGTGGAAGTCCTAGACACAGCTATTCGTGACCAATTTGGATACACTAAATTGCTCTGGGTATACTCTGGTCGACGAGGTATCCATTTATGGATATCGGACAAGGAGGCATTCGAGTTGAACGACGATCAACGGAAGGCCATGGTGGAATACTTGACGGTCATAAAAAATGGGAAGGAACCTGGAAAGAGAGTCAACGTGCGCTTTGGCATGAAAGATCTACCACCTACATTGAAGTATGTCGTTGCTTCAGCCGTCGTTATTGTGAGATTGAAGCTTTTTGCACTCAGAGAGGCCTGCCAGGCTATTAATCAAACTTTTGATGATCTTATCCTTCAAGACCAAGACTGTTTTGGCTCTCAGGAAGGATACGAAACTCTTCTCTCCCTCATACCTGATGCCAAGTTGGCTTCGCGACTTCGTGAAAAATGGTCACAAAAGCCGGATAGTCCGTCATATATAAAATGGGACGAAATGAGAACGGAGATATTGGCGTTGAAAGACAAGCATGCAAGAGTACGTATATCTTTCTATTTACGATAACACCCGGTTCTTATACTCTTTTCACCAGCAAAACATGAGATATGCCATGGAAGACATTCTTCTACAATATGCTTATCCTAGACTGGATGCTGAAGTTTCGAAGCATCGTAATCATTTGTTGAAGGCCCCGTTCTGTATACATCCCAAAACCGGGCGAATATGTGTTCCTATTGACCCTAATCGGATTAGGGAGTTTGATCCCGCAACAGTGCCCACAGTAGGTCAACTATTGGCCGAGCTGGATACGGCGGGCTCGGATACTTCTGACGGGGAACACAGAGATGGTTGACAATTTGATACTCGTCCTCGTCATATCTTGGTATTGACATTGTCTTATTAGACTGGCAACGGACATCCCTCAAACCCTACATTGACATGTTCGAAGAATATGCGAACAATGTTCAAGAGAAGCAAACCAAGATTGGTAGGTTATATTTAAGTACTCGGCCAGTCCTCGTTAATATTCTGTCAGATTTATCTTGGTGATGACAGGAATGAGCACCTATTCACGCATTTCTGAACTTGTTGTACCCGGATTAACTCACTATACCTCTAATGTATTTGAATGTACATTTTCAAGGCTAGATAGGCGGATCCTCCAAAAGTACTGACCGCCTGCAGCACGATAAAAATTCTCATAAACTGTGTAGGTCTGTATTCAATTATTTGCAATCACCTTGGATTGGCAGAGCTGAGATCTTGCATTTGGAAGACACAAAAAGCAGTCGATACAAATCACAAGCTTTAAGAGCTTGCTATTTACAAAAAAAACACAGACTTCAATCATTTCTAAACCTATATCTCCTGCTTACCTCCATAACTTTTCGAGAATGGACCGAGAAACAAATACAAAAAACGAAAGCGACGACCAGAGAAATATGTGCCCAAAGAAGAAGAAAAAGGACTCTAAAATTGATATTGATCCCTTCCAATTCAAGGATCACGATGGTGGGCTGAAAGGGAGGACTTAGGATACATTGACTATCATGTCCAAAGAATCAACATACACTGGAGCAACAGATGTAGCGGGTCCTGTGAAAGCATTGTAATGAGTACATAATAGTCAATTCTGCAACAGAACTTTCCACTCACCCGGAAGAGCAGTAAGAACAGGGAACGGAGCAGTAGCGCACTGTCGTCGATAAAGGATGTCAGTTTTATAGATATGTATAAGCTATCTGAACACCGTACAGCCTGTTCAATATCGCCGTGAGTAGTGTCAGGTAGCAGGTGAGGTCCAGCACTGGCCGGAAGTGGTTTCGGGACGGGAATAACGTCCGAACAGTCGACGAGGGCGTCTCTATCATGGCCAATGATCGCCATCTTTTGCATTGCAGCTCTAAACGCGTTTTGGAAGCCAGCCTGGTTATCTGAAATACAAAAAGTCTGATTTTGGCCTCCTTCGACTGAATCATTATACGTACTAGCGAAAGACTGCCAATCGCAAGCAGTGCGGGAATCTTTGTTTTTCACAGAATGAATAATCAAGGCGGTACAAGGTCGAATTGAAGCGCACCTCTAGCCAGCTATAATGGTAAAAACCCTGGGTAAGAAAGGCTCCGAATCGAAATTCATTGAATATTCACCTCGGAGTCTGATTGTAAACGTATTTCTCCCGGCACTGGAGATTCAACTTCGCCTTGATTACCTCCGGTTCTGTAGCCACAATTAATATATACTTTGCAACTTGGTCGAATATGTGCACTTACCCGGGGAACAGAATACCTCTCATCTGCACCTCAATAAACACCTGGGTATCAAATAAACCAGGAGTCGAGTCGAAAGGAGTTCCAGGAATCTATATCAGGGCGGGTCAGTTCACCGAAGACAAAACTCTTCATGCATAACACCCTGACTTACTGTGGTATCAATGGTGTCAGCTGCAGCGACAGTATGACTATTCAGAAGTGAGAATGAAATCCTGGACTCATGACTCTAACAAATGAGACGAACGATCCCAAAAGAGCAACCACTTCAGAAGCATTGAAACCAGCCTCAGAAAACCTGGCAAGGATCGAATCGACAGTGTCTAGAAGAAATAATCAACGTCAAAGCGCCAAAAGAGTATAAATAATATTACCGAAAGGCTCAGGAATCAGGAGGTCAGGGGACGCAGCCACAGGAGGAGGTCGTCCAAAAAGAAACTCGAGTTGGGGAGCACCAGGACAATTGCTTACTCCTGTATTGCAGAAATTGAGAAGATCAGGAAGATTTAGAGCAATGGAATAACTCACCTACTGCACCTGCAAGTTGAATACTAGAGATCAAGATCAATGAGAAAACTGGAACACAAAAGACGCAATGCATCGTACAAGTCTCCGGGGTTTATGGTGACATTGTGAGAAGCCATAAACGACTTTTGAGCATCCACAATATCATCAATACCACCTGTTGATATTTAAGGCAGGTGGGTTTTTTACTAAGGACATGAGCAGACCATTGGCATGAAATGCAGTTTCGATGTCAGAAAACGCTATAATGGAACCGTCCGCGCCGCCTCCCCTGAGACAAAACTTGAATAATGGGTACACATAAAATGAAGAAAAGTAATCCACCCTTTGGTCGGAGAAAACCCAATGGCATCATGAAAAGTCAAACGCAGAGATTCATGAGCCTGGACAGAGTTAGCCGTTAGCAAGAAAATACCGAAATAGAGGAGAAGGTTGAACCTCTTCACCACATTCCCCTCCGTCAAACAAATCCGACTGTAACTGATCAACGAGAGGGAACAATTGACAGCACACTTCATTGGACGTAGTGTGCACTCCATCAGCGCATGCAAAACGCTTATTGTTGTGAGGAACAGCTGTAAACGCCAACGGTTGTTTTTATACAAGAACAATGTAGACAAGGTCTCATCTTACCGTTCGCGCTTGGAAGAGTCGCGAGAGTAAGGGCAGTACTGAGAAGTCCGATAAAAAACATTGAAGATGGGGAGAACTGTTGTACTGAAATATTGGGTCGTTGTGTTCACCTCTTTTATAGCATTCCGACTATGTATGCTCACATTTTAACGCTAGCATTCAGGATCCATAGAGCACCGCGTCGACCAATAATCTCGCGCCGATTAACATGAGGTCAGAAAGCCTGAACGGTACACTTACGTGAGAGCGATGAAAATCAAAAGAGAAGTGAGAAGAAGGCCGACGCGAGCCTTGTGCGGACGTTCACCACGTTCACCATCCTGACCCAGGAACAGGGCAACGGTTAAAGAGACGTATCCGTGGTTCTGGGAACCATCGTTCGTGACCAAGATAATTACATCTGTGGTAGTTAGCAAACTAACTTGGTGTTGTGAGACATCAATATTCTGTAACAGCGGAGGATTGTATGAGTGACTTCAAGTATCAACTATCGCAAGCGCAATTAGACCGAGCGTACGTACATACCTCAGGTTTTTGAAGTTTTGTTCGTCGATGAAGTTCATAATTATCTACATGATTGAGCCAGTCAAGGATTGAACACGCCATCGTGGAATGGAGAACCATATTTTCGGACAGACAACACCCAAAACAACGCTCTCTTCCCGAGAGAACGGTAGTAGAGTACCCATACCAGATCTTTGACGACCCAAGACAACCAAGATGAGAAACGGAACAGAGGTGAGAGATCAACATCCTGTTCCGGAAGAAAAAATGTTACCGGAGACACCTCACTTTGACCGACCGTCCAAGCTGCCAAGACTATCGTGTGCGACGCGCTAAAACAGTGGGTTAAATGCAAGTAAAAATTGATCAGGGATATGAGCAGCCATTCGACTACCGACATCCTTGGCATGAAAACGGAAAGATACGTATAGAGATACGCAAAACTCTATCAAGACTCGAGCATCTCAGCTTCTGCCAAGTTGCGTTTTCTTTCGGAGTAATCCCACCGATCCATTCCTCCAAAATTGATTTTCATGTGTTCGAATGTCATATTGAGTTGAAGATCGGGTATATGAGACACTTGAGCCCGCCAACTGTCGCCTCTACGGTACATAACAGTTTGTCAGTTTCGGTCTTGGATGAGAAAGTTGCATCACAACTCACGTAGCTGTGCCATAGATGTCCCCTTCTGCGCTGATCAGCCTCGCGGATTGATCTATGTTTGATGTAGAATCATACACCCAGAGCGTAACTCCCGTGTAAATTTCCTGCCATCCGGCGTAATCAACGAGAGGATGGGGAGGGGAGAATCGTTTGTGTCCAGATGGTACAGGAGGAGCAGGCCTAATGTCCACATCATTGAAAAGACGCAGGGCACGTATATTTGATATGTTCTGGAAGATCGCGCGTTGTTCTGGCTGGGTAGGGTTAATGATCTTGATGAGTTTTCCATCCACGTTTTCTTCTTCTGAGTCGTCGCTATCATTTCCGTCCTCCATGTCAACATCTGTGACTTGCGTAGGCGCGGATCCTTCTACAGATGAAGGTCCTGCTTCTGTGGTATCTTGCCCACCATCGGAAATCTCGTCCTCGGCTGCTTTCAATCTGGTAGAGAATGCATTCCATGCCTCCTCATTCGAAAAATCTGTCCGTATGACAATGCCTCCAATGACATCCGATAGAATCTCATCGTATGGGTCATCGTCTTGAGTAAAAATATTCTGAGAAGATCGTGAATATACATACATCCAATACCCTCACACGGACGCACCATCACAGATTCAGAGGGGGACTCAGTCGGTTCATGTTCCCCTGGGTTTGTTGAATTAGAGGCCCAAAACTCACGTAAAACGCGAAGCTGCCAGTATCGACGCTGTTTTCCAGGATTTTCAGACTTCACGCTTTCATATCGTCTCTACTTGATCTTTCTGAGGACGCAACGCGTTGAGAAAGACTTGCAATACGTACGGCCAGAAATTGAGCAAGAATTGGCCTCATTGTGAGAAAAGCAAAGAAAGTTGAAATTTCGCGAAGCACCCAGGGTCCTATAATTCGTCGACCATGTATTTGTGTGAATTAAAATTATTTAATTTACGATAAAGACAGGACAAAGGTAAGCAATCGGCAAAGCACTATGAAAGAGGGGAACATAAAACTCGCACTTAAGCGACAGTGTACAGTTATAACATATCCTTATTGAAGTTGAAACTATTATTCGAAGGTGAGCTCTCGAATCATTCGGCTATTTCCTTCTCCAACCAAGCCAGCAAAACAGGCGCAGTGTTTCCAGAAGTACGAATATGATCGTGAACACGCAAACCAACCGGGGTAGCGCATTCGTCTGCACGGCCGAAACCTGTGAGGCAGCTGTTCCGATAGTCCTCTTCGGAAAGCCCGAGTACAACCTCCGAGCGTATATCCAGGTTCTGAGCGCGTAGTAATACCGGCAGGGCAATGAGGGTAGGAATCTTTTCAGTAAGCCGTTCTAGCTCAAGCGCGTGATGTTCAATTGTTGAGTCACTAGTTACCTTGAGGAGGTGATGTGCCGCGTCAAACAAATCTGCTAGTGCATGTAGTCCATTCATCGCTTCGTCCACAGCCTCTTTGGCGAGCCGTCCGTTTTCTGTCTCAGCCACAGGAGTAGGAAGTGTGACAAGAAGGTCATAGATTGCCCGTGCATCAGTGCTTGGGGAAAGCGAAGGAGCCAACACAGGGATAGGCGGAGAAGGTGGGCGAGAGGAGGGAAGCTTGATGGTGAATCGGCTTGCTGGAGGAGTAAGAGGCGGCGTAGAGGAGGGAGAGTTGCGACGCTTTTTTGTCGCAGAGATAAGTCCCGGAGATGAGGGAGGGGAAGGCGTGGTAGGCCGATGACAAAGTGCCACCATGCTTCGCCATACCAATGATATGACGAACGTTGCCAGCAAGTTTTGAGCTGTTCGAGACGACGTATAGCGTCTGAGGGCCTGTGTATAAATTGGTATGATAGACTGTAAAGTCAAAACGGAGCTGTGTAGCACGACGTTTTTGACTCCTAAAGTCATCTTTCCTGGGATAGAGAGCTCGAGAGCATCTATGATAGGAACTAGTTCTCTCCGAATTCCCCCGACGAGTGGATTGATAACCCTGCTGACCACGGAAACAAGACCCTCCCGGATGCCTTTGAGGCCATCCCCACGGACGTCATTATCATGTCCAAGATTGAGTTCATCAAATGTTTCCAGAAGTTCACCCGCGAACGTGGCAATTGCAATTGCATGCAGCTGAATAGCGTTAGGATGGGGAGACTGCACTGTCGGAGCAGGCGGTGTAAGAAATGCAGGGGATGATAACAAGGGGAGCATCATTGAGGAAAGGCTCCCAAGAAGGACAGACAGAGGCTTGTGAAGAGAGCGGACAATCGCTCTGTGCAAATGCGGATTACCGTTTGCCGCCTTTAGTTCACTGAAGGCAAAGTAAGCGAGATGTTCGAATGACCCGGACATAGTCACTTACGATACGATGAGTGCCCCTAGAGTGCTTCCACGTCCACCAGGAATTGGCTTTTTGCCACTAACGACATCGTTCATGGCAGGTGTTCCCGAAGGCTGGGTTACAGCTCTGGAGACAGCTTCACTTAGTTTGAGACTAAGCATCTCCAGGTAAGATCCATCTTGAACCAGCGTATGGGGAGCTGGTGTTGGAGTAGACAACGGCGCTGGAGAGGCCCTTCTCAGATTGTTCAAAGACAACTTTGTGAGAGGCCTCGAGCGCTCCATGCCAATACCTGAATCTGGACGAGAAGGCGGAGCGGGGGATGTAGGCCTGCTGGAAGGGCGGAAAGACAAAGGATTTTTGAGAGAGTGCATTGGGGGTCCAATAAATCCAGAAGATATGTCGTTTGTTTCGTGAAGAGAGCGGGTTCTATATGTTTACCGATAAAGTTATATTGATATTAACTGTCTATGTGCAATCTCTGGCAGCCGTCGACCAGATTTTGAATTTCTAGAGCGCAATTATCCCATGAGACGAAGGAAAGGAGTACTTGTGGTAAGATTGAAGGAATAATGGGTGTCCTAAGGAGGTCGGTCGATGTCGACAAGAAGGAAAGCAAGTGGTCCAAAGAGAATTTTGTTAACCTGTTGTGCTGAGCTGCATGGAAGGAACAGTCAGTAGATGATCGTCTAGCACGGTATGTGAGGTTACTGTACCAGGATGAAGATGAACTCATAGAATCAATGTGCTGGCAAATTGGAGAAGGGATATACCCTGGGGGTTGTCAGTGAATAAGAGGAAGAAAATTTCTCCCTTTATATACTTACAAAGACAACACTTCCTTCCCACAGTCAATTCCGGCGGGAGCTATCTTCATCCGACACTACACACTCGGATAATGGATTCTTGATTGTCTAGACTACTCAGTGTGATTACTATATACTCTTCACTTGGAACACATATCAGTAATCACGAGCCCCAGATTTAACGTCTACAAGAATACTTGGTCTTCGAAAAGTGCGAAAAAAATCAATCGATTACCACCGGGACCCAATGGCAATTAGCCATTCATATGTACCCAGGTCAATCTTCCGTCAGAATGTTCTTTACCATCGCATACAGAGGCAGGTCCCCGCGTAGCTTCCATAAGCAACTCTCTTCCTCGCTTTCCTTCAGCCGCAGAACTGCACACGATGTCATCATTGTCATGGATGTATGAGCTTTGAATCTGACCATAACTTTGAATTCTCCTTATGCAAGCGTAAAGATCTCAGGTGCTTGCTCGATGTATCTAGTAAAAAGTATTGAACTCACCTAAGAATGGCGGCAATGATGTGTCGATAACGCACAAATCCACATTGGAAGGGTCCATGATTTGTATTCGCCGCAGAAGTTGGTCGATTGACTTTCCATACCATCCACGAGCTTCTGCATTAGAGCCTTCCCAAACATCGCCAAAACTCATTTGAGATGCAAGCGATCCGCTCATCTGAGAAGATTCTGAGGGATCCGGAACGAAGGGCGAATCAAACGCGATTAGATCGTTGCGAGTTGTCTACATATACCATTCATACGTCAATGTCCGTGTGTGACATTGAGCGATAAATGATATCACTGAAACTCACCGCATCGTCCGGCTTAGAGATCGTATTGGGTAGTTCGTCACTGTTTATGGTTGCGGACATCTCGCTTTCAAATTCCGTAGTCGAAGCCATCAGTGTCAACTCTCCGCCATTTGATAGTCCTGTTGAAGTAAAGCCGCGCGGAAATCCAAGGGCGGACGACTCTGAATCATGATTACTGTTGGACGATGTCCGTCCTTGAAGTCGCAACGTAGGCACAGGTGCATCATAAGCTGAATAGCGGAGCTTGCTGGCAGATAGTGGTTCTGATTCACGTGAACGGCTCTGAGGATTTCGAGGACTTGAGGAGGCTGAACTCTGAGGGTTTTTCTTAGCTTGATAGTTTTGTAATTCCTCTAAGAAGTCCGGAAGCTAATGTTCAATTAGAAAAGCGAACTTCGAGAGCAGGTAAAACTCTACAGTTGATGATCGAGCAGTGTGAACAATCTGGTGGAGCAATTTTTTATCTGAAGAAATCTGGATGAATTGTTCACATCGCTAATCAAACAAAAGCGAGCGGTGAGTAGCAACATTAACCGGTTGAGGTGAATTTTACTCTTTTGATGTGCCTCCCGGATACTTCTTTCAACTTTGACACAGCGGCGAGGACTTGGGGAGAAACCTCCGAACAATCGGAGGCTATCCTTAGCATAGACAACAGGCATGCGTCTTGCACGGGGACTGTAAAGAGGTCAATTAAACCCGAATCACAACTTGAACTTGATGAACTTAACACACTTGGACAAAATGCAATGCGAAAGGACAGCGCTTCCAAAATCCTAATCCACGATACAGATAGTTGACCACTATTCTCACAAGCAAGGGCAGCCATGATCACCATTGTTGTGGATCCTAACTGGACCTTCGTATCCAACAAGGAGGTCAGCAAGCAATTAGAAGTCGACCTCATGAATTCACTAGAAGCTATATGTAGATGTGAGTAAACTGGCGTTCAAAAAAAGCTGAACGCGATTCACACTGGCGAACAAAGCTCAAGATTATGTCAATAACGTCCTCGAAGATGTGACCGTCTGTATTTGAAGGAGCTTCGATTTGGCAGAGTAAAGTTAGAACATCTCTCGCATAACGCTCTCCGTCCATACCCGCCTGTACCTCTAGGACTTCGAATAAAGGAAGCGCAAGTTTGATTTTCTCGTCGCCTAGTCGATTTAGAATGTTCTGCAGTGCGGCCTCGTAGTATGAAGATATAATCTTTGGATCCACTCTGTTTAAAATAACGATGGTCTGAATTTCAAGTATTCAGTACGACCTATGTTGAAAAAGCAAAGGGGATCGAACCTTTTTTCGTAAAACAGAATCATGATGGTCTAAGAACTTCATTATATGTTCGACCTCCCATTGCTCTAAGACCGCAGGAATCTCCGGTGTTATGCCTGCCCATGCCTGAGGATCAAGGCATTCTAAGCATGTTAGAAAGAGATATTGCTGATTAGGTTCGCGTGATGTGAGCAAGGAGCGGACATAAGCGACAGGTGACACTGGGACCGAAGTTGAGGAGGCAGGAAGTAATTCAGCGTGAAGAGGAGCTAAATATAGGAATGCTGAGCGTATGAGAGCTGTATATGAAGAGAATCAGCACTTTAACATTGTGTACAAAGAATTTGCAAACCGAAATCGTTTTGGCGAGCAGCTCGTCTGATAACTTTACTCAAAAGCGGAATATCAAATTCTACATGCCTGGTTCAGACATTGTTTAATCGGCCTTCGAGGTAAGAGATATCTGATGGAGCTCACCCCATAGTACGGAGTGTATCTAGCGATCGAATGAGCACGCTTCGTCTTGTATCATGATGTTTGGCCCAAGTCTCGCGAAATAGCGCATTCACTGCATCTCGCACCTCTGTTAGTATCGGTGTATATACCTAAATGTCAGTTACTAGGGGTTTCTCGAAAATAACGCAGGCCAATTTGGTACCTCACAAAGTTTTGAGGCAGTAACTAATGCTGCGTTGCACACGCTCTCATCGGAATCCCAGATTCTTTTAATTATATCGTGCGGAGATCCACTCAAGAGGTCGGAGTCAAATGTAGAGAGCGCTTTGACAGCCAACAGGGCTCTACGACGAATTTGAGGCCTGAGGACGTAGCACAGGTGTAAGAATATTGCCAGTCTATGTTGAACGGTACCTACTGACGAGTTATGCACCAGGAGATCTCGGAGACGAGATTGAATTGCAGGGATGACGTCCTCGGAAGGACATTGAATGAGGAAGTTGAGTGCAAGGCTTATATTGGCCAAGTTCTGTGACGCCAAATCCTACACCAATTTGAGATGTCGATTACAGAACCACAATTGTATGGATGATACGACAAGGATGGACGTACCTTCCGCAAGGTATTGACAAGCATGAGTTGGAGTTCATGACCAGTTGGCATTACCTCAGCACAGAAAAGGTAGCCTAACAGTGTATTCAGATAAACGAGACGAACGTAGATGCCAGACTTATTGACCCATTCGTTTTTCTGAGATACTGCTCCCGGCTTCTGCCAAGTTTACTGCGTGCGGTAGGACACTGTCTAAAGCAGGCAGTGATACAGTTGAGACGGTAATGCAATACAGTAATATCTTCAGATATTCCTCGCAAACTTTCTATAAATCGCCTGAGCTTTCATCTGCTTGAATGAGAAATGACACTGATCACTCACTAAAGAAACTTTGGCTTCGGTGAACTTTTCAACTATCGACCGCATTTCCACGGAGATGATATCATTGACAGATTCTGGAGAAAGCGCTGATTCCACCTTTCGGACGAGAACATAATGGAGTCTGCTTGAAGCACCAGAAGATATGAAAGGAACGAAACTCATGCAAGTTATATTGTAACTATAAGCGCTGGTGGGGCGCGTTTACCCGATCAGCCTGATTGCGGCGTGTTCAATGCACACCTCCCGACTACATAGAATTATTTGTGGGACAACATACAGACGCACTATTTTACAGTGATATATGGCTACATAGATAGATATTTATCACAACAAATATGGATGCTTGACGAGTTCGTCGTACAACTCTGGAGGCAGATCTCGAACGAGAGTTACTGCGATTCCAATGACAGGCAATGCTTCAAGTGGGGGAAATGTGCGAAGAAGACGCATAGGGCTACGGAATCACGATGAGATGAAGCCATGCTAGGAAGACGACTACTGACCTCGAGGAACTCATTACTTCATCTCGTATCAGCAGCAGTTGTGCGATAACACACAGTACGTTGAGGTGAACACCGAAGGCAAGTAAGAAGTCCCATAGTTGTAGAACCTGATCAAGGGGTGGTGTACATGCACATAAAGTCAGAATGGCTGTCGACATCAGTCAGTACAAGATATAGGGTGGACAGTTGAAGAGATATCATACAAGGAAATGCATATATTTCTGCTGATAGGTTTTTGGATCGTAAATGTGCATAAAGTTCTGGGTCCACAATCTTCAGGCATTTATCCAACAGCTAATGACAAGAAAGCTCAGATCAAGGAATATCACGCAGATGTATACTTACCCTTAGACCACGGTGAACACCTTCTAATGTAGGCTGGACATAAAGGGGGCAAGATTCTTCGATGAATTTGGAAAAACATGAAAAAGCTTCAAGCTCGGAAGGCATGGTATACAGAAAGGGGGCTGCTAAAACATTCATTCCCTGAACGTAGGTGAACCCAAGCTGATCAGTATCTTGTGTATCTACGAGGATATGAGGGACCCGTAGGGACTTCAACTTCAATTCACTCGCCATGATTTCGCCATACGAAGGCGTCTAACAAACGGACAAGCATGTCCTCGCGCACTCGTTCCTTAAACCCCCGGTCTGTCGCCAGAGTTCTTGTAACCAATGAGACGCGAAAATATTTAGGTTGATCTTTGACAAGTCACCTAAAGGTATCATTCCGAATTTTCTCTCGAACTTCACAAGGGCCCCGAGATACATATTGAAGGTAAGAACTGGCAGAAATGTCGTTCACTCGGAGGAGAATTTTCCATATACGAGGTCGTAGGGTAGGATCCTAGAAATGCCAGTGTCGGAAGAGGATGTGGATTGATGACATGAAGACTCACAACACTTGAAGGAATTCCTTCCACGAGGATCATCCGCCTTAATTTCTTCAAATTGGAGTCATCGTCATTTTCTACGCCTGAAGATCTTGATTTGGACGAGTACTTGGGTTTACTGAGAATCTTGTTGAACGAATGGGCGGTTGTAGCCGACATGATGAGCGATTGTAAACAGTAGACTTAGTGTGATTGTTTTCCATTGTTGATTTCGATCAGGCTTTCAACACCAAGTCCACATTTGGTTTCTACCACCATCTCGATGGCTTCGACACCTCCCCCTCAGCATGAGTTTGAAATTCCTCCAATGCCACACCTTCCAACGCCTTCTGGGTCTCGTCACAGAGGTTCTTTTGGCTCCTCGTTCTCCTTTGGTCCACAGCCTTTAGTCGACTCGTACCTCGAAGCTAATTCTAGTACTTACTCCAACAACCACTCTATTGCACTAGATCCTAACCGCTCTATCCTTCATGCTTCACCATTGCGTTCGTCCCCGCGCCGAACCCGCAAGCCAAAAGACAGCATAAATCGCCCGCATCCCTTGGCAAATGACACAACCGGCATTTTCCAGCACTCAGACGACGATGCAGACGACGAAGAAGAGTATGAATGGGGAATGGTTGACAGAATGAGATTGTGGAGACACGACGCGTTGATGCAGCATTTATACGAAACAGCCGCCTTCTGGGGCGACAAGATCGTTAGCTGGACAAGTAAGTCGGGTGATATTCACTAACTTCTTTTCTAATATGTTTTAGATGACCCGAACGACGCGTTCTGGCTCGCGCAGACGTATTTTATGCAACATCAATATTCGCGTGCTGAGCGATTGCTTACGCGTCCATTCCCGACCCTTGCCCCGAAACATCCCTCCACCCCACCTCTGAACCTCACAAATGGAGACGTTTCAACTGCTGTAGCGAAAGGAAAGGGCAAAGAACGCGACACTCTGCCACTTGCTATACCTATACCGCGTTTGCCGTTGGACCCGGCTGGAATGTTCGAAGGAACTCAGGACCCACACGAAATCATCTCCAGGCTGGTCGATATGAGTGTTGCATGTCGCTATCTTGCCGCTCAGTGTCAGGTATGAATTCGCTCGGATTTTTACCGATAGAGGGAATTGATCGTGTTCAACAGGTCCGTCAAGGCAATTGGTCGGATGCAACGGAAATGCTAGGTGAGGCAAATCCTTTCCGTGACTTGGAACAAGATAGGGCAGCTGTTCCTGATATCGATGGAGGAATCAAGGTGACTTTGGTGGTCTAACATTTTCTGCGTACTAAAAAGACCCACCTAGATTGAAGCATCGATGTGCCATCTTCGAGGTCTTCTCATGCTGAAGCTCAATCGTGGTGATCAGGCCAAGAATTGTTTCATGGAGGCGCTTGCTCTCGATGTCAAGTGTTATGATGCTTTCGAACAGCTGGTCAGCGGGGAAATGATGACACCGGAGGAAGGTTTGTGCATCTTACTATATTGTTTGTTAATTTTCCACATCAATTTCCCTCAGAATGGGAATTTGTGCAAGGGCTTGCGTATGCATCGCAAACACCGCAGGACGCCGCGTTCATTCAACTTATATACACAACACGACTCCGTAAATACAAGCACGCAGAAGAACATGCCCTCACACGGCAACGATTAGTCGAAGAATACGGACTGGGTGATAATCCCGATGTCTTGTTTAGTTTTGCGGATGCACTGTATGCAAACTTCCGCTGGTCGGATTGTTTTGTGATTACTACGCGGTAAGATTAATCATAAATCAAGTACGGGCCTATGTCCTCACCTATTCTTAGAATACTTGGCCTGGTGGCAATTCATAATGCAACGACACCATTGCACATTGCTTGCATGTATCACTTGAAGCATCTTCACTCCAAGCTGTTCATCCTCGCTCACGAAATGGTCGATCGCGAACCAGAAAATCCCATAAGCTGGTACGCTGTCGGTGTATGGTACCTCAGTAGCGGAAAATGGGCGCAAGCTCGCCAATATTTCAGGTTTGTGTGCAAGGCGCTTGTATATATCCTCACCTACTCATTTCTATATAGCAAAACATCCCTCATGGATCCACGCTTTGGTCCTGCATGGATAGCTTTTGCCCATACCTTCGCCATGGAAGGCGAGCATGACCATGCTGTAACTGCGTATTCAACTTGCGCAAGGATGTTCACTGGGTAAACCTTTCTACTATTTGATCGTTATAAAAGTGTTGACTGTATGAAAGTTCCCATCTGCCTTTGATGTTCGTGGGCATGGAGCAGATCACTCTGTCAAACCATGAACAAGCAGACGAAGCACTCAATGCCTCGTATTCAATGTGCGACGGCGATCCATTATTAATGAACGAGCGAGGAGTCATGGCTTACAATCGTGGAGAGTGAGTACCTGTGCTTCAGCTGCCCTCTCGGTTCCAAATCTCATATATATTTACTTTTGTAGTTACATGGAAGCTGCTAACCTCTTTCAACGTGCGCTCGATTTGGCCGAAGTCACGCAAAGTTCTCAACAATCATGGACGACCACTTTCGTCAATTTGGGAACATGCCATCGAAAACTCAAGTAGGTGGTATTCTACACAATCCACTGAACTTGCAACCTGAATATGCGTAGACAATATGAACAGGCGAAAGAGGCCTATCAAAAGGTATTAATTCTCGACCCTCGACATTCTCTCGCGTTAGGATTTTTGGGGTTAGTCCATCACCTTACGAACGATCTCGACCACGCGATAGTGAAATATCACGAAGCAAGTTTTCCTACCAACTCATTCATTGCTTGAATAATTTACCCTGCTTTCCCGTAAAGGCTCTGTCGGTCGATCCGACCAACGGCTACGTCCTTGAATTACTCAATATGGCCCTAGAGTCGGCAGCAAACTATGGACTACATGAATATCGTCCAATTATTGGCCCCGAGCAATTCAAGATACAGGCAGCTAGACTGAAGGAAAAGTTCATCAGATTGAAACCCGAGTCGAAAGATTTGTTCGAGTTTTACATCAACGCAGCTACGCGAGGAGTTCCAAAAGGCTCACTCAGTGCTCCTCCTGAATCAATGAATGTAGAGTAGCACATTCTTGTTTATTCCCTACATTCGTGGACAGTTTATGTATGCATACTTAGTGGAACTGATACTGAAAATTTGAATCAGAGAATTGGAGATCATAGATTTTGGATAATATTGAGGCTGGCAGAACCTGCTTACACACGTCAAATAATGTACAAAAACTATGAAGTAACGGTCCAGACGCGGAGACAGTTATCAGTAAAACCAGCGAATAAAGTCTGCCCATCAGCAGACCATGCAATGGAGACACATTCAGGCTGCCGGCCACCCTCCTCAGCATAAGCAGGCTTGAGCTCGTCCACAATGGACCTTCATAATCGGAACATTAACAAAAGTACAGAAATTTGTAGTAGGATGTTTCTTACTTGCTTTCCAGGTCGAAGATTTTGACACAGCTGGCAGTTGCTGCACAGAGCCAGTATCGGTTGGGGGAGAAGACAAGCGCGTTGACAATATCACCAGCCTCAAGAGAATAGAGGTGTTTACCCTCATTGAGGTCCCATAGCATGGTGATACCATCCTTGCCTCCGGAAGCTGCAAGCGAACCATCGGGTGATACGGAGACGGTGTTGATGTAGCCAGTGTGACCATAGTGGTTGGTTTTGAGCTTGAATTTCGAAAGCTCCCAGACCTTCAAACGTACGAGGTGAGCAACGTATCCGCAAGTAAAAGATAGAAGAGTCAGAGATCTTGGTGGAAAATCGGTCTCATAGGGTGTAATCCCTCTGAAGTAGCAAATATATACGATAACATCATACTAAATGTAGGGTCTCAGAAAGGATGCGTACCTTGACGACCTTGTCCCATCCAGAAGACACAATTACCGGGTTCATGACGTTCGGGCTGAATCGAACACAGGATACCCTACGAGATCATGAGTATTGTTATTCTAAGTGTCGTGTTAGATCTTGAATCTAGACATACCACTCAGAGTGGCCATCATCTTTGATATCGTATTTACATTCTCCAAGGGTATTCCAAAGTTTGATGGTCTTGTCGCGCGATCCAGAGACGATTTGACGATTGTCAGCGCTGAAACTGACGGACAAGACGTCAGAAGTATGCCCAACAAATCGACGCGTCGTGAGTCCAGTGTTCAGGTCCCAAAGTCGTAATGTGTGGTCCCAGGACGAAGAAAGGGCGAATTGACCGTCAGAAGAGATGACGACGTCGGATACAAAGTGGTTATGGCCTTGGAGAATACGTTTTGGGTAGCCATAGGAGTCATCGTCTCGTGTGAGCTGCCAGACAATGATTGTTTTGTCTATATGACGGAGGTATTAGAGTCCAAAAATCTGGCGTGGATCGTTCAAGTACCTCTGGAAGCAGTGAGAATCATATCTGGGTTCTCGGATGAAGTGGCGATGGCAGTGACCCATCCTTTGTGACCGGTGAGGGAACCAAGGAACCGCAAAGATTCTGTCATTTTTTGGAGGTTATCGCTGTGTTTTTCGTACAGCGAGCTCGACGTCAGTTCAGGTCTGCTGACCAGCTGTACAGTTATTGATTAAATATTCCCATCACGTGTATATATGCATGCGGATGAGCCAATGTCGAAAAAATAGAGTATGTAGCGAAAGTTGATATCTTCCTTTATTCGTGGACTCCCTCGGATTTTCAGCGATAGTTATCAGAGTCCGAGTCAATGTACATGCCAAACCTCCCGTCACATCATGATCGACATTTCAGAGTATGAATTCGAACCTAATTTAATGAACAAAAGTAGTACTACCCGGAGGTTGATAGACTATAATTGTAGAGGATAGCTACAGCAGTAAGATCCTTTGTAGAAGGACAGCTTACTACTTTCACTGATAAAACAATGACCCTAGATACAACTAGGTTGAGCATGCCATTGCCTTGATTGATGATGATTCCAAAGACGACGCATACAAATTGCTCAAAGCATAAAGCGTCGCTCTGAGATTATCTTCATGTCTTGAACCATGCCATGAAACTTGGAACAATGCTCAGAGATGCGTCTGAGGCTGTTTCAAGAGGAGACCAGCATGCCCAACTGAAATTCGAATCCAAATTTGAGCAAGGAGGATGAATGGGAACTAGGTGAAAGCCATAACTATGCGCCGTCCACTGCGAAACCCAGATAGGTTGATTAGAAACCTAATATGAGCTGTATATCAATGCCAACCTAAATTAGGTTATTTTTCCAAAGAATAGGTTGGTCATGGTCAACCTATAACCTGCTGCAAATTTACAGAATACTCGGAAAATGCGGATAGGTTGATGTACAGGTTGATTACTTAGGTTGATGGGACAACGGAAGACCAGTAAAGATTGCCGGAGTCACATGTCTATTGTTGAACATTGCCACGTCGCATCCCAAAAACTCATCATGATCTTGTTCCATTTCCCAACATTCATCCTCAATCTCCTCAATCTCTTATTCTAGTCTGTGGCTGCAAATGGGGCTCTAGTTCTGAAGTATCAATTCAACATTCCTCAACGTCTCTGCAAGCCTGTCGAATTCAAACCATATCTGTGAATTCGAAGATGTTGATAACAATATCAATACAGAAAGCTACAAAAAGAATATTGACCTCAACCTCAATGACTATCAAGAAAGAACATTCCTCAAGTAACTACCTGGTCTAGGAGGGTCATCAAGGCTTGCTGGAAGGAGTAAGTGGTTGTTCAGGGATGGTGTATGAGGATATGGCAAGCTATGGTGAGTTTTTATTGTATAACACCTATTGCTTTTACTTATCTATCTCTCGCAGTGGTACATATTGAGTGACACACAACAATACACTGCCCTGATCAATGGGTACAGTGTTGGTCAACTTTTCTTTTCGACGCACCATTATAATTACTGCGCCCATGTTGTCACGAAGCGGCAGAGGCGGAGTGACTAGCGGAGCAGGAAGCGGGGTGACTAAGCCAGGCAGAGAGGCGGAGCGACTAAGCAGGTGAGTGAGGCGGAGCGACTAAGCGGAGCGGAGGCGAACTGGTCCCAGATAATGACAGAGATATATTGAGTATCGTAGTCATAGGTAATAATAAGTAAGCACATACCTGGTCCCAGATAATGACAGAGAGGTCAAGATAAGGGACCAGGCTGTGGAGGGTTGGCTATATATACATAATCTAGTCTGCGAGAAACAACGATGTAATACTGTACAGTTCAGGGGCAAGGAAGGAGGCGGAAGCCGATAGAAAGAGAAGGTGGGTCAGGTGGATCAGTAATAGATAGATCAGTAATCGATGGAGATTGACAGCGATGGGATGATGTATTGTACAAGTAAAGGCGTCGAGACGGTGAGAAAGGGAAAATGATAGGGGCTGCGTACTTTATGACACATGTGATAACTTTACTTAAACCATTCAGTATTATATCTTTTTGATTGAATGTATCTTCCATCTAAGGGTTCCAGAGTGATTATAAGTATTAAGAGCTCCTTGTAACCAGTAAGCTGCTGATATTCAACGTATATGCAAAGATCAACCTGGGTTTAATTGACAAAATTGAAAATAAATCATAGGTTGATTTTGCTGAAAATAGGTTGCAAATGAACCTATAGCTAATGGTCAAAGGATAGGTTGAGATACAACCTAAATAGGATGCAATTCAGCTCCCGCCAGGCTGCTATACAACTTATATTAGGTTGTGGAAGATCTGATTATCAACCTATCGGGGTTTCTCAGAGGTCAGGAGTCCTGTCCATAGAGACTTCCCATACTTATGGAATCACCACACCCAAATAAACTGCTTAATGAGTTCCTGATGTTAGTGCGATTTTAGAAGTAGCACAGTTGGACATACGTACATGGCAGAAATTATTAGACATTTAGTATCCACATTCAGATTGAAGGTGAAAGTATAGTTGTAAGTAATTGATTGGTCCCGGCCGACACTGCTCAATATATTTTCAGAGATATTAGTAGTATTTAGGTCCGAGATATGGCAAGAAGAGGGAGTGGACGTGTCCTCAGAATGCCTCTCGGAAGTCTTCGTGGTCCAGGTTAGGAGGTTTGGGGAAGGTTGGCTCACCAAGGCGGTAGGTGTTGGGGAGCTTTAGTATTGTTTGAGGGAGCTCGGGGACTCACTCGGATTGCTTAGACGTGAAGTAAAAGTGTATATTGGATCATTTAGACAATCGTAGAGACAAAGATAAGAGTAGAGAGACAGAGATAGAGAAACTGAGAGTAAGAGAAATCCATATAGTTAGCAGGTACAAAGGGACAGGGACTGGATCTATGCAAAAGGGTGTGTGTTCAAAATATACCAAGCTGGGGCTTGGGACTATACGGGACTGTTTAAATAGGTACGGAGAAGTTAACAAGGGAGCATTGGGGAATTTGGTATGTGTGAGGTAAATGATCAAGATTTAGGGACTAGTGGGGGTTGTGGCGGTGCATGGGTTCTATGGAAGGAGTTCAGTACAAGTATGAATGTATCATGGGAATCCTGGGTGCATTGTCGGGACTGGGCCGAGGCGGGGGAGCTTACGGAGGAGGTGCCCGGGAGGTCCCGTGATGAGCTAGAACAACGAGGGGGGTTCCTGGGGGTTGGGTAGGGGTAGGGTAGGCCGGTCAGGGCATGACATTGGCGGACTGTGCGCTCTGAAATATCAGGAAAGTAGCATGTGCTCCATCACGCAGTTTCCCACTGTCAAACTGGTCCATAACCTCTTCTAAAGTAGCTGTATTGATTTTCCGTCTTTCACCAGGTTTCTCCTTCTTGGCAGCCCAATAGCAGTCATTGCCATGTGCTTTTGCCTCACAATAGTGCTTTTCAATGGTGTTTTTTGAAATAAATGTTTTGGCAAATAAAGGCTGGCCGAGAATTCTGCTCCAAGACATCTTGTCCTGATTGCAATAGATGAGAATGGCACAAACTTTTGTCGGTGTGCATTTGGTATATTCTCGGGGCACTTTGTGAGGATTCTGTAGGGTTGCAAACATGTAGCTTATTATGGAGGCAGCATCATTTTGTGCTTGCAGGGCGTTTTAGGTTTGTTTGTCAACCTCCAGAGCTTTGTGATTTAGTATATTAATATATTCCCTATCTACGTTACACAAAAGCAGAGGTATGGGTGTTCAATCTGCTGTATACCACAGAAGAACAAGGAGGAGCGATGAGTTCAGGCACTGTGAGAAAGGTTTTTCCAAGAATGGGGGGTCCATCAGTTTTGGCCGCCAGTGTAGAGATTTGAAACTCCGACAGTAGTGCCGAATGGGCTCCGGCAAATGAATTTTCAAATCTCTGCCTCCCTCGAATCCTTACACACCAGAAAGAGAAAAAATTCCGCTCGATGGAATCGTAACAATTCAGTGTAACTGATATATCCATGATAAGTTATTTGAGTGTCCTCGTATATATCCCTAGATAATATCATTTGTAGGTAAGGTCGGTATCAATATAGAAAGGTTTTGCCTGGGGGCGAAGCCCCGCGCTCCCACCCATATATGAGGAGAGGGCTAGATACCCAAACAGAGCCAAGGCTCCTTCCCAGCGCGCTCCGAATAAGGTGAAGCTGTACCCCATTTAGAGCTGAGGCTTTATAATATAGATATAAGTTGACTGTTGAGTATACATGGCATTATGCATCACAAATAAAGACCGGCGAGACTATAACAAACCCATAAGAATGGCATGATACCCAAAAGCATAAAATTGGCATAACACCCGAAATTGTAAGAAGGCATAACACCCAAAATAATAACAGGCATAACACCCAAAATAATAATAGGCATAACACCCTATAATGACAGAGCATAAAACTCGATGTCCAAAAATAATATAAGGCGGTCTTGCAAATCGTTGCGGCGATATTATTCGGCAATATCTTGATTCACTACCTGGGTATTAGTGACACTGGTGTGGTCAGGTGTGATGGTGTTTTCCGACAGTGGTGGCATATCCCCGATCGGAGAACCCTGGTATGGAGGAGATATGTCTGAGGTCGTGTTGGATTGGAATGGGTAGGAATACCACAATGACCCGCCGCGAGCTTTTGCCATAGTATCCTCAAACTCAACTTGACCCTCTACCTTAGTCCATTCCAAGTCATACACACTCTGGATAAAACTTGTGAATTCAAGGTATTGTTCGTTTCTGATTCGGAGTTCCGCTGGCTTCCAGAAGGCGTAGAGTTTGGCTGTATAACGTTTGTTAAGGAAGAATGAGAAGTGCTGGATAATGAATTGTGCTCGTGTACCAGCTGGACCTGCTGGGTCGCGACTCGTCTCGAATCTCATGTAGTTGTTGACGCACTCGACGAAAAGAATGTAGTCGAGGCCTTCCAGTTGATCATCATCTGCGTATTTGATCCTGAGCATTTTCTTCAGAGCTTCGATGTCGATGAAATAACCACTCTTCCTGGGATCATTTGACTTGAATTTTTTATGCGGAAGTGAGTGGGCGCGGGCGGAAATGTACTGTAGAGCATCATTACTGAAGAAAGGGAGAGGGATTGGGGAGACGTGTGCGATTTCGTATAATGCATCGTGGAAACTTGCTTGGAAAGGAACGAGCGGATTCTTCACCACGGGGACCAAAGGTTCAGCCAATCTTCTCTTCTTCTTCTTCTCCTCCTCAGCTTCTCTGCTAGTATCCTCCTCTCTCTCCCTCTTATCTTTGACCTCCTGAATCTTCCGACTCTCCATCCATTCCAGGATGAAATCCGGAATCAGGTGCTTCAAGGAGTCAAAGCGAATTGGGTTTGTACGAATCTTCTCCCATTCCTCCAGCTGGATGGTGAGTTCTGAAGTGACTGGCGATGGTGACCTGATGTTCTCCGGATCCCTGAGATGCGCTGCTCGCTGTAAGTCGCGACGGATGTTATTTGCGTTGTTCTCTTTGTTGAATGTTAGACACGTCGTTATGTCCCAAGAAGCGAACATGTTCCGAGCTTCGACACTACTGTGCGTTATATGCACTCTGTCAGGATTCTGTAAGGTCGGTCGACTACGTAGAGGGAGCTGCATGGTTGTATCCGAAAATCACGACAAAAGATGAGGCTGTAAGAGGTCGGACAGTGAGCGTCGAGGGTGAGAACGAACAGGCGCCTAATCGAACTCAATCGCCACTCATTATCTTATCCTATGATAAGCCAACCTGCGGTTGACTTATCTCGGAATAATGTGACCGCGGATAAGCTATATTGGGTATATCGCCGGTCACATGATATATCAGTTGCACTGAATTTCGATAATTCCGTCGAGCGGAATTTTTTCTCCTTCTGGTGTGTCATCAGACTTCATCCCACTAACGAAATCACGTGAACTTAAACCAAGTCACAGTCGATGCCTTCACCGTTCGCGAATGCAAAGCAGGTTGACGACAGTCATTCCTACAAAGAACCTAGCTCAAAGTTGCATCCGACAAAAGAAAAGGTGGGTCCATGAACTGTCTTTACATTGTTTGTAGGCAGACGCGAAGATCAATACACTTCAGGGTACCAAACGATGTCGCTCTCATCCTCAAGAGACGCAGAAATCAGATTCGGTCTTGCCCCCGCCTTCCAGGAAGCGCTATTTACACCCGGCGGTATCTGATAAGAATGATCTTTCCTCGAATGCTTCATTCGTAACCTCTCGTGATATCCCATTCCGCCCGCACCACGATTCCATGTTTTCGCTCCCACCAAGCCAAAGGCCTACTTCCTTTTCATTCTCATCTCCTCGGCCTACATCTTCTCATTCTAAAGCCCCTTCAGGATCTGACCAGCGGTTAGCCTCGGAGCAACAAAAAGAAGTTGTCTCTACGTTCGAATCTTCCTCATTCCCAGTTGTTTCATTTTCTCGACAGCCATCTGCACGCTTATCGAACCAGCGATCGAACGTGCCTATTCGCAAGTCGAAAAAGGATGATGCCAAGATTGGTGACAATCCTCTTCCACAACTTCTATCTGAGTTGAATAAGCTACGTAAAGAGTCCAGCTTGGTCCATGAGAAGCAACAAGCTATTCTGGATGAGCTACGGAGAATGGGAACTGAAGATAGGATATTGGAGCCCATGTTTGCGGTGATTGGCATTCGAAATGAAGCTGATCATGGAATAAATGTGGATCCGGAGGGTATGTTGTTTGTTCTTCTGAAAGCTCCCGGTCTTAATCAATTATCATCAGCCGCAAAGACCCGCTTACGTGCAATTGAACAAGAGATAACAATTGAGCGAAAGAGAAGGAATAAGGCGATGGATGAACTTCGGACCATCGAAAGGGAGGGAAGAGATCCTTTTGTTGTCCCGGCTTTGTTACATGCCTTCATCTCGCTTTCGAAATTGACGACTGACACGAACTCAAAATTGAAAAATGACTATGTCCAGGCAAAATGATGAATGAAATGATTTTCGTCAATAGAAATCATCTTGAAGTTGAATGAACTATAGTCGTTCGGATCGCTCATGCAGAGAGGCGGCAAGCTGTCTTCCAACATGCTCTTTACCTTGTGTAGGAACGTGTACAAAACCCATTAGGTGAGTACATACATAGAATCTCTAGATTCTGGCCTCTTGACGTCCTTCCCTCGTCGCGTGTCTGTTCTGCAGTTTTCGGTGCTCATTCTCATTCACTATATCGTATTCTTAATTCATGAGAAGTCTGCTACCTCTGCTCATATTTTTTCCGTCCATTCACGAGTTCAACCAATCCCCACGAAAATCACGACCCACCTTCCCGAAGACTCATTTTAGCGCCACGGTGTTTCTGTGATCATGTCATTGACATACACTAGACATACATATCAAACATCTTCATGAAATACCAGGATTCGATTGCGATTATCCAGAAGTAGGCTAATTAGAGTTTGATATTATCATTGGACGCGAGAAGCTAAAGACAGCTTTTCAAGACTCCAGGCTACAGACTCCGACGAGGCTCGGTCTTTTAATCACAGCCAATCGTACGTAGATTAATGGTGGGTATAAGAAGCTCGTGTGCATCGAGGTGTTTGATTTGATGGATTTCATTGTGTGCAATTTCCCGCAACTGTCGTCTGTGAAGTAGTTGAGGGCTAGAACTTGAGAAAATGTGAACTTGATAATCTATCTATATACATATTTGAGCCGAATTATCATCCCATAGATCCAGAAGGAGGTATCAAATAAACTTGCAGCAAGATCAATAATAATTGGGTCGTGTTCACTGCAGTACAATGAGGGGGGACCGCGTGTAGAACGAGATTTTCAAGTCGCCTTGTAGGTTGTTCGGTCCCAAAACAGTGAATGTATATTTACATTGAAGTTACCTACTTCTCTACAATGAGGTACACATGAAATGATTATAATAAATCTATGTAGTTAGGTGTGCTCGTTGGTAGTTAACGACGAATGAGGAGGCATGAAACAACATTGAAATCGGGAATGATGATAGAGAAACTAAGATGCAAAAATAAGTAGTAGATTATAAATGTATAACAGATAAGGGGAGTATGGATGCACGCCACCAGAGGGTCCCCGTCAGTATAGTCAAAGATTGAAGATTGCGAAACCACAATAATAGGCACTATTGCACAAGTGCATTGATACTTTTCATTCCTCTATTCGACAAGTGATCAGATTTCCAAGCTCCGTGATTCAGGTTCACGGTCCCTCCTGGCGGATACATATCGTGAAATCCGGACATTGAGGAAGATTGATGCGGCATATAAGTCTGAACAGGCGACAGGTCCTGCCTTTCCTGACCTAAACCATACACTGCACGTCCATAGCGGGGTTCATCGGGAGCATAGCGTGTCTCGTAGTGGGCATAACGATCAGGATAATCACCTCTACTTGAGGGTCTCCTCTCATACTGATCACTGATGACGCGGCCCGACCGAGACATTACTTCCATAGAGTCATGCGATGTAAAGCCATGGATAGGCGCAAGGACGGGCGGCGGTGAGTAACGACTCAGCGAAGGTTCAAGGATCGGGCCTCCAGGATGACTCGACAGAGGAGGCGAAGTTTGGTCATATGGTGATGATTGTCCGCTTTCTGGGTCGTAGGTTGTATACCCATTGGGAGTAGGAGGTCCAGAATGGGATACAACAGAGTGGGAAGTAGAGTGTGATGAAGCGGGAGACGGTGGTCCAGTGCTCGGCCTGCTATTCATGGAGGAAGACATCATTCGTGGATAGGCTGGATGAGAGTGAGAGATATGTGAAATCGAATGGCGTGAGTTCACGCCTGTCAGAGATGTGTTTGAAATGGCTACCGACGGCGATGCTGATAACTCATCCTTGGGAGCAAGTGTCTCTATACGCGGTAGAGGATATTGATTACTTGTATAGCCTTCCGACGTAGCCTGGTAGTTTTCTGACGTTGGGCTTTCGCTCTGCCCATAAGAATATGCAGTACTAGTCCCAGAGTGATCCTGATAGGCACCATTAGTACGAAAGCCGTATGTGTTCGACTGGGTAGAAGTCGAGGGGTGCACGGAGTGTACTGGTGCCAATGGAGGCGGAGAAATCATATTTGTAGAAGGAAATGAAGTGCTTTCTGGAGAGGAAGTGGCACTGGATGCCGGAGATGCCCTCTGGTGGCCATGGTATGCCACAGTCATTGTTGCATGGGCTAGTGGAGGAGGAGAATCCGGAGGCGGACTATATCTCACATCCGTGCCGGTTGCACGAACGGACTGTAATGGTGGAGGAGATAGTGATGGGGCTGGAATAGACACTGGGACTAGAGGAGGTGGCGAGAGTGGCGGCTGTTCGGAGGCTAAACTATAATCTTGCTGAGAAGCAGGCGGAGAAGCATTATTATCTGTTGTCCCGCGCCTTCCACGTCGGGAGGCAGATGACCGTGAAGATGTACGCCGTGACCCAGGAGATAAATGGATTCTATAGCTTTACGATAATGGTCAGCACGTAGGAATGGTAATGAATAGAGAAATACATACTGTTGTTGTAGGTTGTCCTGTCTCGAACATCGCGTGTCGCAGCCGGGAAAAGGACACTTGTGGTTCTTCTCTCCTGTATGCACTCTGGAGTGGCGCGCGAGGTGACCACTAGTTGTAAAGCATCGTTCGCAAGTAGGACATATATGTCTCTTTCTAGCGGACTGACCCTGATTCGGGGTCGAAGTTCTACAGAGCCCTGTCTTTAAGCCACCGAAGCCATGAAAAGAAAGATTGAGAATCACTTACGCGCTTACACTCTCAACTTCTTCCTCTCCGTTCGATTTTGGGTGAACGCGGGGCATGTTCTGCACTGCACTTAGGTCTTGCTGGAACGATGATAAAGAATAGTCAGTCGAAACGAGGAAGCAAAAATCTGTCGTTATGTTGTAAGCGGGTCGGTTATGAGGAAATATTTATGTTTGCCTGCTTCTTTCTTCACGTAAGATCTTGAACACAAATAATACAAATATATGTTAGACTGTGGCCAGTCCCCCGGACTCGGCTGTTTTGATTGCATTTGGTCCCCGTTTGTGCGTTTGTACCCTCCGTAAGAACACGTGCCAATTTTTTTTTGCGTGAAATTCTTTGCTTCCTGTGACTTTGACCTGTAAAGGTCTTCATTCTGCAGCCCATTGATTTCTGTTCAAAAGAAGCTGATTGTAGAAATAGGAAAACGTAGCAGAAGGTAGAATTATTGTTACTGGCATCAGGCACGTAACACATGAAAATACGTACTTACAACTTAGAGACGTAAGTCAAGCTTTATTGAATTATCCTGAGAAAAAGCTGATCCAATTGAGATCGGATTTCTTTTTCCAAAAATATGCAAATTCAAAGATAGCGGTTCGACGATCTGTTATTTTGTGAATCTCAGATCTTCGTTGCTAACCAGTCTGGAGCTATCGAGTCCCAGAAGGTCCCAGATCACTCTGAGCTCGCTGTGTGCGATGCTTATATGCGTGATTGGTGTCCCGCAAAAAGCATACAGACCAGACGAGCAAGTGCATATCCGTACAGGACTGAAAAGGATGGACACTGCGAATTTGAGGAAAGACATGATTGGTACTTATTACGGTAGACGCCCAAACGGCTATTCTCGACTGTTAGTCTCTGTTGGCACTGTTGGCTTGTCCAGACAATCCTCACCTTGTTCTCAGGGGTCGGTCTTTGGCCTGTTTATATGACCTCTCATGACACTGATGTGGAAGCTCCTGGAACTTCAGGAAGCGCCCTTTGACTGGATCCCGCTGGACTCCGTCGGCCTTTTTCATACTGGAAAACAAGGAAAAACTAGAAGAAATCACGTTCAAAGCTGTCCAAAGCTGGGTTTGAACATCGTATACCGTCGGAAGAAAGGTAAATCAGAGGAACATCAACAACGCCTGCGCACTTACAGCGTATTCAAAAAACCTTGTCAGTAGCGTAAAAAATGAGAAAAAATAAAATAAAATCGAAAAGGTACCCGACGTTTTAGCCGACCACTTGGCGAGTGGGCTGTCACTCGCGCCTTTCGACAATGTAGTATGATTGCGGTTCTTTTGCTTCTGAGGTAGGACTAATAGATGCTGATGCTGCTGGAGAGTCCAACCATGCTGGGAGGAGCTCCATCCACATTCAACTGACAGCACTGTCCAGCTGGGAAAGTGCTCCCAGCAGTACTGAAAAACTGCTGGGGAGTGCTTTCAGTGCTGGACAGCACTCTCCAGCTAGTACCCTTGCTCTAGCGAACATCCAGGTTCTGCAGATGCTCTTCCACCACAGAAGATCATTGGCAAAAGGCGCGAGTGACAGCCCGCTCGCCAAGTGGTCGGCTAAAACGTCGGGTACCTTTTCGATTTTATTTTATTTTTTCTCATTTTTTACGCTACTGACAAGGTTTTTTGAATACGCTGTAAATGAGTAGAGGGAAAACGCGTTACAATCAGGATTGAAGAGCTCAGCTCGCTCTGTCCTTTCAGAAACCACCAATAGGAAGAACTTCTGCAGACTCTAAAAGCCCAATAAATTGGATGTTTATCTTGTTCAGTCCAAAGCTTCCAAAGCCTAAAGCTGCTTGGCGATGATTTAACGGGGACCTGAGAGATCTCGAACGCACTGAAGATGGATTTATGGAGTTACTGGAATGACGAACGTCGGACCTCACAGCGTCGGAGGGGAAGGAGGGAAAAATACCGTATTCAGTAAGTACGTGTTTCAACAAACCCGAATTAGGATGAAGTCCATTTGTCCCGGACTTGAGCATATACTTGTCAAGACTTGTCATCGCCAACTCTGTACTATATGATAAGTACACCAGGCAACGAGCATTCAATCACTTCATTCTATAAAGATGATACAACGGAAAATCAACCAATCTACTTATGTACCCATGGTAAAATCAGTGATGTGTGAAATGTAGTCATTAGATGACCGGAGCCCAATGCGATCAGATATACCTGGTGATACACACACAATTGACCATAGATATCAAGATAAATCTGCAGTGTAAGAAGCATAGGTATGGTATATTATTGTGAGCAGAAATATTCGAGACGAGAATATCACCGTCTGACATAAACTCCAAATATTGATCAGAATGGAGTGGAAAGTGAGCTAGAAGTTAGATGTATATTGAAGACATGGAAGGAAACTATGAACATCAAGACTAAGTTGCGTCGATGATGGTTTAAATTGCTCAAATAATCATGCATACAGAAAGAGGGCGTAACTGGGGCGTAAAATTCAGCGAAATTCTCGCATCCATCGATTTGTATCGCCATCGAACAGAAAGACTTGATCAAATTTGCAAGCAAGATTGCAAAAAGTGCGAGCGTAAATACTAGAATAACACTCACTGACTTGAAGGTCAACGATTGGATGTTGTTTATCTCGATCCCCCGAGTTCCGGAAGCTCAAGGACTTACACAGACTTACACTAAGTTGTGGGGTTGCATTATGTTGGATTGATTCTCGAATGTTCCAACTGTAGCGATGATGTACTGATACGCCCTTATGAGTCGGATCAGTATGGTACAAAAACAGTTGGCGGTAAGGCACAAAGAGAAGAAGGAAGCAGCACTTACGAGGACTGTTCAGAACACCATTATCACCGTCAGAATATAACCCGCCGGGATTACATTATTAAGGTTTTTCCGATAAAAGTACACAACCACCTTGTCTGGAGCGCGTCGTGAGTTGAACTGGGCAGTGGGCAGCCCATTACCTTAATATCACCCAGGGCTCCAAGATGATTATCCGAATACGAGGGACCATAAAAAAGCGGCACCCCATCTCACCCCATTCCATTCATCAAATGGAACTCCAGGAAAGTTTTGCGATGGTCAATGTTCGGAGAATGACAGCACGTCACTCAAATGTCGATACGTGTTCCTTTTGTTTACCTACAACAGTTAGCGCGACAGAGAAGATAGGAAAAGGAAGGATGACTTGACCTCCGGTCCATAAATCCATACATAACTAACCGCATGAAGTCGTACAGACTGAGTCCGCATCCGAGTCCCGGTCCCGCATTATAGACTAACACTACCGATCGTAGTTAATTTCCATTCCGATTCCACTAACGTAGTGACAATTTGAGATGGAGGAATGAATGCTTGACAATGACTTGACGTTTCAAGGAAAGAATTATTTCGATCACACGACGTATAGACCTACAAAGAACTGCTCAAAGAATGCAATGCTTTAATGGAACACAAAGAGGAAAGTATATTTTCACATTACGGTCCCCCTGGTTGGTTTGATGTTTTATACAGCCTCATTGAATGCGCTCAGTTAAGCGGGGGGCGTCAAGCTTTGCCACTCTCAAGTGACCGTCATAGCAGTCAGCGCGTGTGCTATCAGTGTGGTGCTGTTCACGCCCTCGTGCAGCCTCGTGCCCCCGCATGATGAGTCTGTCCTTTTGGACGACTCAACTGCTCAAGCAACACATTGGAGCTTTGAAATTCGGAATAAGCATCTAAAGGGTTGTAGATAAGTGTGGACCATTCTAAGATCAAAGACTGGCAAGACTGCTTACCGAAGAAATCTGAAAGGGAATAAAGATGCGATAGGATGCAATAGTAAGCATGCATGCATGATACTAAACTGGAAAAGGCGAGCTTAGACTACGCACTGCGCACGATACACCTTTCGGGCGTAGTGGAAGATAGTTATGTATGATTGTCTTCATGAAATGACAACCTTTTGAAGGCTGGCAAAACCGTAACTGAAATCGGGGAGCGTAGATGTGTTGGCGTCGGCGTTTGAAGGGTTTTGAGAGAGGTACGGTCGTTTCCCACGCCTCGCAGCACACTCTCGAAGCAGTTTACCGATTAACCAGTTCAAGACTTCGAGTCAGTTTTTACACTTCGAAGTGGCCATAGTACCGGTAAATCGACGAGTTTTAGTGGAAATCTGCCGCCGCAGCACAGTGTAATACCTAAAGCTTAATCTGAGTATAACACAAACACCACCTCAAGGAAGCGGAGCTATTTGTTAACACTCACCATGAACTCCTCCGATCCCAAGAAAATCCCGATAATATTCGACACTGACCCAGGTGTTGACGATATAATCGCGTTGTAAGTCATTCCCAGACTGATCTAGCACAAGCAGTGACTAGGATTACTCAGGCTGCTTGCTCTTTCTTCGCCAGAGCTAGAGATCTTGGCAATCCTTGTATCGTATGGTTCGTTGTCGTCTTGGTGGAGTCGTTATTGAAACTTGACTAATACATGTGCAGGGAATACCGATGTTGACTCCTCGTAGTAAGTCCAAGAAATCAGGACCCTCCTACCTCCTCCTCCTCCACGATACTCAAGTCTCTTCTCATCTAGTGCGAATGTGTTGAAAACATACCAGGTAATACAGAGGCATTTAGACCTCTATCCTGAAGATGCGGTTCGATTCCCAAGCTTCTTCGATAACCTGAGAACAATCGTTTGCCGTGGAAGTAAGGGCCCCCTTCAAGGTCCATTGCATAGTGCTTCTTATTTTCATGGAAGGTGAAAGGTTCACTGGCTCTGATTCAACTCAAGAAAACTAACTGAAGTCTAGGGATGGATTAGGCGGGATTCACGAACGCCACCCGGAATTCAATGTCACTTCGAATCCTGAAGGGCTCCATTACACCGACGAATCAGGTATTGATGTGGCACTCAAACTCTTGAAGGAGCATGAACCTCGGAGCATCACATACGTTGCGGTTGGTCCTCTTACAAACCTTGCCAAAATGATGCAAAAGGATAGTGAGCTGGTCTCTACCAGAGTGGGGCGAGTGATTTGCATGGGTGGTGCTTTGGATGTTCCCGGCAACACGAGCCCAGTCGCAGAATGCAAGTACACATTTTTTCTTTTTCCACAAGCTGTTTTTTCAAACCGAACCCCATTAGTTAATTTTTACGCAGATCCTTTTGCAGCGCGAAATCTACTAGGTCCCAAGCCGCCCTACAAATTTCCTCTTCCATTAGATCGATTCCTGCTACTTCCTTTGGATATCACCACTCCTCATCAGCTCCCATTCCCACTGTATCAGAAGCGCGTTGATTCATGCTTCGGTTCTTCTCAAGCATCTCCTAAACCAGTGACACGATTTTCGTCCTCTTTCTTGACGCACACTCGCCAAGTCATGAACGAGTATGAACAAGACGCCATGGAGTTACACGATATTGTAGCCATATGGTGTGCGATCTACTTTCCGCCCTTCCCGAATGATTTGCACATAGAAGAAGAGTCCGTACGAGGATGGAAAGTTGCTAAAAGACTTTTTGACATCGAATGGTAGGTACTTAATTTGAATCCTTCTGATACGTTGGTTAATAATGGTTGCAGTACAGGAGAGTTAACTCGCGGTATGGTTGTCGTGGATAAGCGTCAAGATAAGACTGCATATGCACCAGGTGCTAACAGAGCAGAAGTCCAAGCACAGTTGGAACAGACACGTTTCTCGAGTGGCGGCAATTTGGAGTCAGTCGCACTACCAGTACCAGCCCAAGTCGAAGTCGATTTGACATCCAAGATGATTCACAAAACAGATGGTGATCATCGTGGCGTTTGGTGTATCACGGAAACTCCTGGACCTGACGCTTTACTGGAGACCCTTCTGGCAAGAGTGTGGGGTGTGCAAGGGTGCGTATGAACACAAATCGAAACAGTTTGGTTGTACATAGATGGGTACGTAAACATTTACCTTGCAATGCACTAGAGGCTGAGCCATGATCACCTCAGAAAAACACAGTAGAGCATAATCTTGCAGGCTCATAGATCAAGGTATACATACGTAGTGAGTGTAAAGTAATAATCTTGAGCTTATAAAGGAGGCGCGTTGGAAGATCTCCTTAATTAGCGAGTGAAGCCGAGCGGAAAGATTGAAATCGTTCATACATATGCCTTGTTCATTTGCGCGGTAACTGTGGTTGGAGAAAATGTGTAGAGTTTAATTTTATACAGCGGACGTCCGCGACCCTGAAATTTTGTCTACGACCTATGTTGGCACTGTCCGTAAGGCATGTCAATGCATCCAGAGCTAAAAACCTCACTGTGCGAATACCGGGTAGTGACAGTACAGTCCCAATAAACGGTAACTGTCTCATAAAGGTTATCACCACCGGGAAAAAGTCCCTGTTAACAATAGGTAAGTATGAAAGATTGCAGTACCACACGACACGTACCCGAAAAGATTTAAAAATCCAAAAGTTTCTATGATCATCCCAAAGAAAGGCCACTTGAAGAATACCATGAGTATTCCTCCAATAAAGCATATTGTCCCACGGAGTTTCTCTCTGCGCGCAAAAAAGTAGAATGTCTTGCGTGGACCAATAATGAGGGTAAGGCCGGAAACGAATAAGATCTGAGGGAACAGGTAAGACGCCCAAAGAAGTAAGAAAACATACGACTGCATACATTACCGAGAGCCAGAAGAGCACCGTCGAAAAAGAGCATAACACCGAGAAGCATGAAAAGAGCTCCAAATGTCGTGAGGGCGACACCAATTTCTGCTCAACTTGTTTGGTTGTCAACTCTTGTATAGAAGGTGTAATTAACGTACTTTGTCCATCTGTCAGCCACATCTTTACAAAAGAGCAGACCGGAACACGTTAAGATATTGAAAAATAGAAGTAGACCGAGCTGGAAAGAGATTGTAAACGAAACGCGTTGTGTATGTGCGCCGCTTGCAGCGTGGAAGTATACTGCCACGTGGAATGGGCGTTAAACAGCTTTATCGGCTTACGTATTATGTCACGCCAGAAGTACGAACGACGCTACAGCCTACAGGGTACGGGAATTTCCTTTAAGAGTTATGTATTTTACATGTTCGCATGTACTGTATGTATTTGTCGGGGGCCTTGCCTTCTACAATGTGTGATTCAACGATGAGGAGTACCTGCACATGCTATAGCTAGTCACCATAGAATATCATGGAATATGACAGAAAGAAACGACGCCAGACACGCCACCCGCCCGCAACCTGCAGCAATAGGCTACAGCCGCTACACCTTGCTAATGGGCGGGGATACCAGATCGGGACGTGGCTGTGACCTCGTGGGATTAACAGCATAACAACTCGTGTCCTCTCTGGATTGCTTTGGTCGTGCTTGCCAATCATTTCATGTCTTCTGGTTGGCTGAAATTAGGTGCCAATCAGCGCATCATTGTACGGGTGGGCGGAGCACAATCTATAAATTGGCGAAAAAGTCAAACAGGGTAACCCCGATTCAGGGGACCGGAGGCCCGGAGCCTGGGAGGGAAGGATGATATGACATAAACACCAACTACCAATGCTCATCCGTTTACCCCTATGTTGTTCGCGGTCGACGTCAGCTCGTCGGCATTAGACTTGGATCAACGTATATTTAAGAGAGGAATAACTTCGAAACTCTCAAAAATCTCAAATGGGCCGTCTTACCTTGTGGCGTTTTATTTGCGAGCAATACCAGACGTTCAAGCCAGTCGAGAAAGTTGACCTGACGGGCAAGACTGTCATCGTCACTGGCGGAAATGGTGGTCTCGGCTTCGAGGCTGCGAAGCATTTTGCCACAATGAATCCTGGTCGTTTGATTATTGCGTGCCGGAGCGAGGAGAAGGGCAAGGCAGCTATTTCCAGTAAGTTACATATGGCACATCGAATTGGTACCATGTTGATTTTCCGAACCATTCTAATCTTCTGCTTTAGAGATTTCGCAAGACACAGGCTATACTAAAGCCGAAGTCTGGATTCTTGACCTCGCCCGTTTCGCCTCCGTGCGTGAATTTGCAGATCGGTTTGAACGTGAAGGCGGGCGACTCGACATATTGGTAGAAAACGCCGGTATAGTCGCTTTACCTGTATATGAAAAAACAGAAGATGGATACGTCTCTATGTGAGCTTCTCTATTTACACATAACGAATCGCTTCAAGCCCTCATACTCAATAGCCTTCAAACTAACGACATATCCCCGTCTCTCCACACGCTTCTGCTTCTCCCTTACATGATAAAAACCGCGGAGGAGTATAACACGAAACCAAGGATCGTCCAGGTCTCTAGCGACGTCCACTACTGGGCCATGGACAAGACGAGTAAAAAATTCGTGAATCAACCCAACATGATTGACGCACTGTCGAGTCTTGACTATCACAAACAGGCGTAAGCTGAAAATAGTGACATTGTTCTGTGCGCTCTATCCTGACAGTGGATGATTCTTCAGGTCTCTGGATGCTCATTATTTCGATTCCAAACGCGCGTGCAAAGCATTTTTGAAGTAAACCAATTGACGCTGATTGTGCTTTTAGTGCTCAACGTTTTCTTTGTGCGGGCTCTCCAGGCCCGCCTCGGTAAATATCCCTCTATAATCGTCAACGCTGTCAATCCAGGATATTGCTACAGCGGATTCCGCACGAATTTCTCAGGAGCAAGGGCCTTTGTCGATCATTTAATGGAAAAGCTTTTTGCAATGACGACTGAGGAAGGTGGCCGTCAACTTGTTTGGGCTGCAGTCGGCGGATCTGGAGCAGAGGAGAAGCTCAAAGGAGGATACGTCTCGTTTGGTGAAGTCGTGGAGCCGAGCGACTTTTCCATAAGCAAAGAAGGACATGCTCTTGAAGAGAAATATTGGGTTAGTAACCAATCCCCTCGGCGTAAATGACTTTAGAGAATCATCTTTGTTTCTTGCAGAATCAGCAGCTGGACATCTTGAAAGGAGTCGATCCGCGTGTAAAGCAAATTGTCGACCAGTATCTTCAGAATTAAGGGTATATTTAGATCGGAATCATAGTTCTTATGTGTATAATGGTAATTATATCGATAACATCTGCAACTTGGCAGTCGAAGAAGATGCGACGCAAGTAAGTATTACTGAAGGAGGGACCGTCGACACACTAAATGACTAGCATATCGTAAACTTCAGCCAGCCGGTGCAAGGGAAGACCTGACTCACTGCTAAGGATTGTGCCGGGCACCGTATTCCATGGAGAGTTTTACCTCGTGGACCTCCTCGGTGGCTATGGCTGGATATAAAGGTTGATCCTGCCAAATCATATCTTCATGGCGAGCCTCACAGATAGATAGATATGAGAATGCGTTGGTTCATCCAAAATCAGTAGCCATGTAGAGAAACGCACATGCATTATCCTGCGGCGGAATTGCCATGTTTATAGCTGTAGTCCCCTTAATCGACGCCGGCCTGGCCTTAGCCTATCCAAATCTTGAGCAAGCGATGTCATGAACACTAATTTCAAACTAAATGAATAGTGAACAAAGGAGAACGAAAGGACTAACTGATGAATAGAAAATGGAGAATACCAGAAATGTCGGAGCATGGTTTCAGCCCCAAAATACTCACCCGCCCCCAAGGTCCAGATCAAAATTCTGAGAGCATACAGATACTTACACGACACTCTTGAGTGTTCGGACCTGGTTCGGACACCCAGAGAATACCAGCTAACGTGTGCATAATGATATATGTACGGCCAAAAACGATGGAGAATTTCTATTGTTGAAATATTCGACAAGTGCAACCTAAATGCGCAAGGCAAAAGGGGAGGCAATATACAGTGATACAATAATAACAATTTAAGTATATGGACCTAAGTAATCAGGTGAGTCTGAGTTTCTCCGTGAATTGAGAGAACAAAACTCACATAAAGAATCAAGGAGGTAGTAGATATGTACACAAACAAGACAAGATATATTCACCACTATGTCACCGTTGAGAAAAATAGTCTTCATCTCCGAGCCATTAGTTTGGCATATCTAACACGGTCATAGCTCTCGCGAAGAGGTGTTCGATGGGCCAAAGTAGTCAAATGATTGGTCAAATAAGGGGGAGGAAGAAGTGAATGGACGCCCGCCGTGTGAAACTGAGGATGGCTAGGTGGAGGAAATACGACGGATAGACGTTGCGGGCTTGGTGGACGCGTGGCAGGAATGTGAGCCAAAGAAGATATCGCAGCTGAAGAAGACGAAATAGAGATCGTCGAGATGGTACGGTTACGATCCTTTCCTTGTCGGGGAGGCTCGCGAAGAGAGTGGGCGGGGAGGGTGGCCACAGAACGAGCAGAAGATATGGATGTACGCCTTGATGGAAGCTGATGATGCAACGAGTTGTGATTGTTAGAAGGTGAAGGTGGGGAACCAGAGATAGTAGTAGCAGGGGAAGACGATAGCGGGCTCGGGTGATGCCGTGATTGTTCGATATTGACTGGAGGAGTAGAAGATAATTGCGCCGAGGCAACATCAGAGGTCATTGCTAAGGGAGCAAGTTTGTTGTTAGGAAAGCCAAACGATTGGCCTCGGATTAACGGATGTGGTCGCAGGGGCTCATGTCTGCTGGAGATCGAATGAGTAGACGGAGGACGAGTAGATGGACGCCGTTTATGCGAGGGTCGAGGAGCAACAGCAGGGGTGTCGATTGGCGATGGCTCGACAGAGTTGATCATTGTGACCATTGGAGGTAAACTAGCTCGTCTATCGTAATTCTGAGAAGCTGCTGGTGGAGGGGGAGGTGCAGGACGCAATGAATCTAATTCTGGCTCGGCAGGCAGTTTGCCTCGAGGCAGCTGAGGGTCAAGTGTTTGCGGTGGACGTGCGATATCCACGCGAGGAATAGGTGTTACCCCTCCATCGGCTCTTCCTCTGTCCTGCTCTTCCACCATCTCTTTCGTGGCGTTGGATTTCGTCGATGTTGGTCTTTCAAGCAGCTTGGTCATTTCAGCGGGCGTAACCAACTCGGATTCGGCACCTGAATCAGAACCTTCAACGTAGTTGGGCGTAGCTGCCCCACTTTCACTGGAAACCCATTCATCATCGTCTGCTTCGTCGCTAGGACTAGAAGCAATAATAAAACCTCTCTTAGCCTTTGTTCCATTAGCCTTTGCAGTTGCTGTATAGGTTGGACGTTTTGGGACTGGTTGAAAAGGTGGAAGTTGGTCTTTCGAGGCTATCCGGTGAGAACTGTTTACTCTTTGAAAAGTGGAAGTTCTTCCATGATTCTAGAGGACATTGAGTACAAAGTGCTTTGCGTGAAACACAGCAACCTACGTCGTGTGTACCCAGAGCATTTTTCTTGCTTTGCGCAGGCTGCGGTTGTTTATTGGTGTTAAACTGCGGGTCTTTCTGTGTGAGCTGTAAGTTTGCACCTAGTCTAGTTGCTGAAGTGGTTCTGGAGTTAGGCCCGAGTCTAGAGGAGCTGGTTGTACGGTGGTGGACCTTTGGTCCCATAGAGGATGGTGGTGCAGGTTTATCTGTGTGCTTGAGCTTCTTTGACCGTACCGGTCCGATACCGGCCGTCAACACAAATGGCACTAACTTTTTTTTTACATTTGTTTGTACTACCAGAACCGTCAACTTTCACTCAACTGATTTTCAAAGATCTTCACTATGGAGCGAGTTCAATTCCAACAAGAGCAGGCAAGACACAGAATGCGAATTGAGACGGAGACACTTACGCTTCTCGTAGATGCTCGATGAGCTCAAAGATCTTGTCGACAAGAAAGTATTTACAGTTGTAAGCAAAACTCTTCTCGAAAAGAAGTTTGCACTGAGTAAAAGTATATAGGCTGAAACGAAACAAATAATGAAGCAGCGGTCGATACATGAAGCCACCCTTGTTCGTCGCGTTGCGAAAAAATCTGACTTTTTACGGTATGCATCGTACGAGATGGGTTTAGAACATTTACGAAGAAAAAGAGTGGAGCGTCTAAGTATGTGTCGAGTACAGATGGATAACCTATCAATGCTGAACGTTACTTCAGAAATCCCGAAAACACCTGTCACCGTCTCGGATTTCGCGCTCGTACGCCGACAATTCCATATCTTTGAACGGGCACTGAAGAGGTTCAAATCAGATGTCGGTCTCTGGATTGAATACATCCAGCTTGCCAAGAAGGAAGGTGCACGCTCTTTGGTGGGAAGAATAACTGCACGGTCTGTCTTGCTGAATGCCTAGTCTTTTTCATATCCTGATCACCATCATCGTTGGTTGTAGTGCCCTACAATTACACCCTAATGTCCCCTCGCTCTACATCCTTGCCGCTTCACATGAGTTAGCTCACCTTTCTCCTTCGACTGCACGAACGCTCCTTCAACGCGGAATCAGACTTAATTCAAGCAATGTTGAGATGTGGACAGAGTATCTCAAGATGGAGCTGGGCTTTATTGAGAGTCTCAGACGAAGATGGGATGTGCTAGGGATCACCAGAGAGGGGACGGGTGTTTCGCAAAATGTCAAAAACATCGTGTCGGAAAAGGATCAGTTTTTGGATGTGGATATGGATGAAGGCACGACAACGGCGGGAATCGAAAAAGCCAGGGACGCTGAGTTAGAAAGACTAGATCAAGAGGGAGACGAAGGGACAGCAGCTAGAAAACAGATCCTTGATGGCGTGATAGTAAAAGCTGTTATGGACAGTGCTGTACAAGGTGAGCTGTTCCTATCCATGCTGCCTGTTATTTCATTTCCCACCGCTTTGAGAATTGGGGTGTTTATTTCAAGAACGTGTGTCGCACCTGCTGTTTGAAACCGTCACTGTGCTGGTTGCAGTTTCAGCGCCTCCCATCATCCATCATCATCTAATAGTGTTTTTTGATATGGTCGCTTGATGACCTGACTCTGTCCACGAATACTGATATCCAGTTTTTACTTCGTGTAGCTTTGCCACAGATTGAACTCTTTGAATCATTCAACCGGCTGATTACCATATATCCCTCAAGTCCGACCTTACGGGAATCTCTTATCGAGCATTTCGATGCTCTGCTCCGGTCAACGCTACCTCAACATCCGCGTGCAATTGAAATTCTCTACACGCGTCTGCTGACGTCTGCTTCGGACTCAGCATCACAGGCTTCCTCATCATCCAATCCAAGTGTCGAAAATCTTCGAGGGCGAGCCCTTGTTGAGGGGGTTCGCCGTGCTAATGAGATGCTGATTTCAATCATGTCAGACACACAGGAGGAATCAGTTCGTCAAGTGTATGCTCAGTTTGCCCTGGAATGGTGTCAGAAAGACTCCAGGATCAATCTGGACGAGAATCTGGTGAGTAACGGTCGCAATTTACTGCATTTCGCAGCTCCGCACGAATTAAGATGTGCGGAGTCCTTCTTATTGTACTCGTGATTCTACCGGAAGGGCCCCGAAGGGGAGTAACCTGTTGCGAAGGATGCAATATTCGTGACTGCCGCTTTTCCATTATCATATGTGTCAAATGGGACTAGCAGACGCTAACGCACAATCACAGAAACTCTATGTGATATCATCATTGCAGGCACTGATCCACCGGCAAAAGTCGAGTTCGCCATCCTTGTTGTGCGCTCACATCAAGCTGGTGACAGAGGCCGCTCAAAGAGGGACAGTTGAACCTGCCAAGGCTTTGGACACGGCAAAGAGGTATACATCCAGAGTTCCCGAATCCGCGTCCGTGTGGATAGCCCGGCTAACGGCAATGAAAGCATTGGATGAGAATATCGACGCCGTATGGCGTGAGGCCAGGCGATCAGTATCCCCAAAGGATGAAAACTTTGCGCATGTGTGGACGTGGGGTATATCAGAAGACATGGTGCACGATGAACGGTTGAGAGTCTATGAGGTAAGTTTTCGGAAAGAGTCCATGTAAAGAGAAGCGTTGTGACAATGTGTTGCTCTTAGGTTCTTCTAAATGAAAGTGTAGGCGACTCTTCGCTACAAGAACACCTGCTTTTGGGGTATGTTGCCGCTCTTATGGTAAGCCGTAGCACACCGGTATCCGGAGATGACTCGGATCAGGTTGCGAACAAGTCGGCGAAGGCGTTGAACTTGCAAAAGTTACGCCATATGCAGGGCCGATTTCTTAATACCGGAAAAGTATGGCAAAAGATGTTTCATCTGGAAGCGGAGGAAAATGGGAGTGCAATTGTGCTCGAGGAACTATATGAATTGTGGCGAACAGCGAACGTGGTGGAAGCGACGATTGCATGGGCGGAGTGGCTATTAAAGAATGGGAAAGGCAAAGAAGCGAGTGTATTGATTGTGAGATCAAAAGGCTCGGTAGGGCAAAAGGAGCAGGAGGAAATGGAGACACAATGGGTGAGAATAATGGGGTAAATTAGTTGCGCAAGATAAGAGTTCAAACGGCTGTGCTATGTACTTCCAATATACCGTTTCTACAATGAAGTGAGAAAAGTATCAGATAGCGAATCAACGTGTGTTTTGTTTGGGTTTGACATGATAGCGCATGGTCGAGAACCGCTCGAGCACATGGTCACAACTTTTACATCCCAGCCACAGTTCAATTTCACATCTTTCTCCTCCTTTTCCTCTTGCCTCTAAGTCTTTGCTAGTAAGTCTTCTTGCCGCTATATATTCACACCGTCAAAACCTCTTTGCTCGTCGCTGGCAACGACGTCGAGTTCCATTTCGCTTGTTTTGCCCGCTGACTCAATTAGTTCCTAGATTTTTCTGTCCTTGGCCTTGATATAATTCTGCGGCGTTGCCGGGAACGTCGTTCATCCCCTGCTGCTGTATGTGTCTACGCCTTGACCAGCTCAGACTCCCAGCCGGTCTCGTCTGAAACGGACCAATTTGCTTGTACGCTAAGAGCCAGAGGCCTCTGTCAACTTCCTGATGTTGCAGTACTCCACTTATCCGTCGCTCTCATCACAAGCATCCACGAAATCTGCCATCGGTAAAGACAATAGTGATTATTTTCGCCATAATGAACCTTCCTCTACTCGACTTTCCTCCTCCGTGAACAACAAGCGTGTCCACAGAGACTCTCTCTCAAACCGCTCCTCATACGCCTTCTCCAATCCTCTTTCAATTACTACTAATCTATTATCTTCTCCTACTGCTTCTTCTCCTTCCACCATGTCTTCAAAACCACCTAGAAGTCCCTATATTTCTTCTCGTCAAGCTCTTAGTCCATCGCCCAGTGCTCATCCCTGGTCATCTTCCTCTGCGGCCAAAACTCCTGTCGATTCCAGACCTACTTCGCCCACGCAGTCTGTCAATTCTATGGCGTTGGAAGATGTCCTTGCAGCTGGAGATATCGTTGGTGAAGGTGCCACTTTACAAGACGAAACGATTACACTGGTTTCAATTGGCGATCCCGTCTCTGTTCGGTCAGAAACGCCCGACTACGAGCAACCGGCAAAGGAATTCGAAGTGGTCAGACGTCTTGGTGCTGGGAGTTATGCTGTTGTATATTTAGTTTGTGAGGTTTTGTATCGTCCCCCTCCATCTGAGGATGGTCACACGTTTGGCACGTTGGACCTTGACGACGTGTCCAGCCAACGTCCCAAGACGGTTTATGGACGTGAATATGCGCTCAAGTGTCTTTCGAAGGCAAACCTTGACGAGGAAGCTTTGGCGGCACAAATGTCAGAGGTGTGTTATCTTCAGCGAATGATGTGTCTTCATTTGTTGATATAGTTTTTCGCAGGTGACGATTCATCAATCCCTCCATTCGCATCCGAACATTGTTACTCTCCATCGGACCCTCGAAACGCCCTCTTTACTTCTTCTTCTTCTGGAATACGTTCCAGGCGAGGACTTGTTCTATTTCCTCGAACAAGCTCGCGATCATTACGAGGCCGAGTCCCCTGGCTCTACTGACTCGTCCTCATGCTCTTCTCGTACTCCTCCCACTCCCAGCCTTCTCTCCAACATGAATCCTGCTCAGCAGCTTTCCCGTACGCGGCTTCGTCTCATCTCATCAATGTTTTCGCAGATGTGCGATGCTGTTGCAGCTTGCCACGAACAGCATGTCTTTCATAGGGATATCAAGCCTGAGAACTTCATTGTTACCGACGGCTGGGATACGCTCCCTGACGGGACCCAGGAGCGCAAAGTTGTTGTGAAACTTACCGATTTTGGCTTGTCGACAACCGACGCTCAGTCGTCCGACATGGACTGCGGCAGCGCTCCATACATGAGCTACGGTACGTTTTTGAGCCCATTTCTATCTATTATGTGTGACACTCATGCTTCTGGGCCTTATAGAGTGTAGAAACAATTTGGCGCCGACATACCGTCCTCGTGCAGCAGATGTATGGTCTCTTGGCATTGTATTGATCAACATGTGCGTGTGTCTTTGAGTCCTTCTTTCCTTTCCCGTGTATTCATATGCATGTACCTTTTTAATACCAGGCTGTACCACTGTAACCCTTGGACAGACACCGCTCACGGAGCCTGCGGCTCTTTCAGCCAATTCCTTCGAGACCCAGTTAACTTTTTTATGTACCGCTTTGCTGGTATGACTCAACACGTAGCAGATGTACTAGCCCACAAAGTGTTCAACATTCTTGACGACCCCGAGGACGACTCGAAGCGCATCTCAGCATCTGGTTTTGGAACTTGGGTACGCGACCTACCTGACCTGCTTGCTGACGACCCCAAGCCCAGGAAGGGCCATCAACGCAATGTTTCAATCAGTAGTGCCACTCAAGGCTTCTCCATTTCCGCCTCGACGCCCATGTCTCACCGTCCCCAATCCCGACAAGCGTCTGGTAGTACGACCGTACGAACACCAGCCATACCTTCCCGTTCGTTGTCTCGTGCTCCTTCCCTCGGTCCTGCTTACGAGCATCCGGGAGCTTCTGAACTTTCGACCGTCTTTGATCAAGAAATTGAGGTCGAAGAGGTTGAAGCCAGGAAATATGAGGATCGGGAAGAATGCGCAGATGTAATTTCCGAAGAAGGTCTGAACTCTAGGTCTCAATCTGCTCACAAGCGTAGGAAACGCGGTGCAAGGAAGGGCAAAGGCGCGGCCACGGCCCCCAACACACCGAAAGATGAAACGCTAGCTACTCTCGCTGTTGCCTCACAATCTTTGGCGCGGGAGATCAGCAAAACGTCAAAGCTTTCTGGCCGGACTGGCTCTTCTACCTCTTTGTCTGCTTCGGCTTCTTCTCGAAGGTCACGCCCATACGAACCCGTGTCCATGTATCCTTTACCTACTCCGCTGCTCAGTTCTACTAAGCCTTTAGTTTCACGATATCCGCCTACTTCTGCTTCTTCGACGCCTGCCGCTCCTTCCAGTGCCCCTGCTACCGCTACTTCTGTCAATAAGAAGCCGTCGAAGTGGAAATTGAGCTTTGGGAAGGCTAGCGCTGCTGCCCTTGTTCCCGGAGGAGCGCTGCATGATGATGCCTCTTCCATGCTGTCTACGGATTCCAATTCGCCCATGTCAGGCACTGCGAGCAACGTAACGTCTTTAATAATGGCGTTGGAAGCTCCTGCGATCAATTCTGCCAGTATCACTAATCTGAACGACGAGGACGGCTTATCTACCTTTAACCGTGGCAGGCGCGGTCGCGGATCACCTCCTAGCTCTTTGTATCATGATGCTCATCATAGCTCACGTTCTCCTATGCCTCCCCGCAGTCCCAACCGTGATCGCTGGGACGATAGGCGCTCTGACCGTGCAATATCTCCAAATAGTACTCGCAGTGGACGTCCACTTGCTTCTAGTGCCAGTTCCGTCGTGTCAAGCAATTGGCGCAGCTCAATGAGTACGAATGCCAGCATGTCTAGTTCAGCCTTCACACGGTACAGCAACTCCAGTATCCGCAGTGTGTCTACTGCCGCCACTAGTGTCTCGTCGAACAGCTGGCGCACGAATGGGAAATATGCAACTTCTTCGACGTCTTCTTATCACGCTGCCCACCCAGGGCTTCCCAAGAATGTCAAGAGTGAGTCGGTCAAGGCCACGTTCCGTATTTTTTAAAACTGATAGATATCATAGTAATGGACGGAGTTCCTTGGGAGTTGAGCGAGCTCCCGCGTGGTCAACGTATAGATCCGGTAGGAGAGATGTCAAATGGTCCTCCTCGTAAGCAGCGTTCTCGAAAACCCAAAGAACTCTCCCTGGGTACTATCAGTGAGCGTCCTCCCCATTCGGCCAACAGCCAGAGATCTCCCGGCTTCGTTGGGCGAGACGCTGGCGCTAGCTCATCCGACTTAAATTCGGCGTTGAGCACTAGTAGCAGTCAGGGTGACGGCGATGGTCCGAAAAAGGTACAGAAAGGACAAATCAACGCCCTAGCGAAGATGCTGTCCGCTTTGAGACGGTAAATTTGTTCTCCCACAACGACTACAACGGTCATGGACGTTTTACACGGAACGAAAGAAGAGTGAAGAGAAGGCTGTACCATGCCCGCTCTTTGCTGTCTGTACAGAGGTCCCTTCAGAAGAAGACTATGAGTCCCCCTTGTAAACGTTGGTACAGTAGCTCTTGTGTCGCCACACGGTGACTAATCCTCCCCACTTGCGCAATCATGGTTTTTGCTATGGTCAATGCCTGTCGCGTGCAACTAGGTTGCCTGGAAAACTTCGTTTGTTTGGCTGTTGATCACCATGCATCGACCGCTCTCAGAATGGACTTGTAGAGTAGATACATAACACTCCTTCTAACCTGGCTTGTATAATTTGCTTTGGCGCGAAGATCTGAAGTGTATTACTATTTTCATCTTCGCCACCACTCATTCTTTGTCGCTGCAATTTTTTCCTTATTCCATCACCCGCATCTTTCACAAAAAAACAAGCAATCCACTCCCTCATCCATGTTCCCTCTTCATTCAATTGTGTTTTTACAAGTATACAAGTAGTTGTTACAGTATTTAAGTAGCTTGAGACAGGTACATGGTAATCATTTGACTGCCATTACGACTCTGGTTCTCTGTTTTGGTTCTGAAGTGCAGCAAAAGCCATGTTCTGCTCGATTGTAGGCCGACGAGGAACATCTATATTGGGAGCGACAGGCTCAATGAGTATAGCTGATGGCTCATTTATGGATGGTGAGCGCGAAGGTAGAGTTTCCATATCGAAGTCACTGCTCCCAGAAGATGATGAACCTTCAGATGAGTGCGTTCCTGCTATGATGTACTTGGTAGTGCTGTGAGTTCGGACGAGGTTGATGTAATACTCTTGCAACAACTCTCGAGTGCACTATGCAGTGTAATGGATTGATGACAATCGCACAAGGTGGAAGAGAGGCGAAACTCACTGTGATAGTCCATTCGATCATCCGCAGAAATTCCCGTTCGAGAGTGTTAAGCTCGCCTACGGATATGCCGCCTACTTTAGCGTACAGCGCGTTATTACAAAATACATCACACAGCCCTTTGCTTGAGACCGTGACCGCTGCGATGATGAACCGATGGCATGTGAGAGACGAAAGTATGAAAAGAGGGACTCGTGCACAAATCTGGTCGATGTAATGGAGAGTGATTAAAAGACATGATTTCTGCGCGACTGCCCTGATGAATAAATAACACTATGAGTTGTGGATACATCAACCCACCTCTACTTTTGTAAACCTGACGATACGTTTCAAGTAGTCTAGGACACTAATGGCAGGTGCAGACTGCGAATGAAATTGAGTAAGGTTTTCCCTAGCGATTGGACCGATCATCAGCGTGCTAGATGAGGCTTGAAGAACAAAACATAGAGTATTACGGTCGTAGGGGGATCCGGTCATTGTGGGACATCAATCGTTCTAGCATGTCTGCTGTGAATAAATTATTTTGGGGTAAGCGCGGAGTATATAATTCCTAGCGATAGAGCTTACCGATTAGTTCAACAAGGTCATTCATGGGCACATCTTCGAATGCAGGCGGGAGCTCAACCCTTTCTGGAACCGATGGTTCCATGGACCCATCGCACTTGCAGCAAGGGAATTTCTCAAATCTAAGGAAATGGCCGAAATGAAGAAGAAGATTGGTTATTCACCTAAAGCGGTAATCGAGATGCCGCCAATCTCGTTGCTGACACAGCAAAGTTAGACGCACATACACGTGGTCCTATGCAGTTTTCCCAAGCCACTGAAATCCGACTTGGTCACTTTCTTATCCGTCCTCATTTAACGCGAAGCATTCCCCCCCGGAACAATGGCCCCAAAACTCGTAAATATGCGCTCGAACCCTTGTGTGCTTTATCTGAATCGTCGCTTTGCTAGGACCCGAATGAAATCAAGATAATCTATCTTCGGGCTACTGGAGGAGAAGTGGGTGCATCTTCTGCACTCGCACCCAAGATTGGTCCTCTGGGTCTGGTGAGTATTGGCGGGTCTCAATCCCATTGGTGACTTATGAAATATCTTGCTCTCTAGTCACCCAAGAAGGTTGGAGAAGATATTGCCAAGGCGACCGGCCAGTGGAAGGGTCTTCGTGTTACTGTCCAACTTACGATACAAAATCGACAAGCCGCTGTCTCCGTTGTTCCCTCCGCCTCATCCCTCGTCATCAAAGCCCTTAAGGGTGCGCTATCTACTGCGCTTTTACTCTATCCTCATACTGACTTAAATATATCTCAATCCAGAGCCACCACGCGACCGTAAAAAGGAGAAGAACATCAAACACTCCGGAAACATCCCTCTTGATGAGATATTCGATATTGCCAGGACTATGAAGTCAAAATCTTTGGCCAAGGAGCTGTCAGGTTGTGTGAAGGAGATTCTTGGTACTGCACAGTCGGTGGGATGCACAGTAGAGGGCATTCCTCCTCACGATGTCATTGACCAGATTAACTCGGGAGAGATTGAAGTGCCAGACGAGTAGACCAGCAATCTAAATTCGCTTTTCTGTTTGAGTATCACATCTTTCTTTGCATGTATGATCATGAATGCTTGCTTCGATGCGTTTTCAGTCGAATTGGGGTTTTTTTCCTTTTGACTGTGAATGAATGCAGAATTCGAAGGCTTCTCTCTCATGAGCAATTATTTGCTGCCCACATGATGATGCGTTGGTGTGAATGGCAGGTGGATGGTAACACAAATTACACCACTCTTTCTTCGCTACCCTCATGGACTCTGAACTCATCACCTTGACAGCTGATCCAAGATTCGCCTTCTATGCCCATGTGCCCAAATCTCATACGCCCAACGGCCCTCATCTTCCTCTCGTCGTGATTATTCATGGAATAAATCGAGACGCGAAAGGTTATCTCGAATCCATGCGAAATTTTTGCGAACAGCACAGTTGTCTTCTCATCTGTCCTCTATTCCCCGAGGGTGTTCCGAATCCTAAACAGCATAATAGTTACAAGGAATTGTCCTCTCGTGGGACTCGGTTCGACACCATCCTGTTATCGATGATAGATCAAGCTGGCAGAACATGGCGCATACAGACAGATCGTTTTTACTTGCATGGATTTAGCGCTGGAGGACAATTTGTTCATCGATTCGCGTATCTCTACCCCAACCGCCTTGCAGCAGTATCTATAGGTGCGCCTGGTCGGCTTACAGCTCCAGACACGCAGAGTCCTTGGCCTGAAGGTGTGGGAAACGTCCGCGAGATATTCGGACTCCCCGGTATCCCAAACTTTGCAGCAATGGCACGATTGCCTGTGCAGTTTGTTGTCGGCGAGAAGGACGTTGGGACTGGCATGATAGAAAGTATGAAGAATCCCACTAAATTTGAGATTGAGGCTGGTAATACAAGAGTGGCGCGTATCAAGCGGTTGAAAGAGGCTTGGGAGAGGATGGGAGTTGCTTCGGAGATGAGTGTGGTACCAGGTGTTGGACACGACGGGATTGAATGTCTCTCCGCGGTAAAAGGATGGCTTGGGCATGAGTTGTTACTTTTGAGATAGGATGCAAGTAATTTTGAGTTCCTGAGTTACAGACTGTTACAGAACATTTGAAAGGTTATGATCTTGGACAACATCTTGAGTCTTGTAATAGTCGAAATATTGGGCCCATCTTCATTGAGCACACAAAGTCCAACTCTTTTTATCGCGGCTTGGAACTGTGCATGGCCACGTCCCCGCATCGTTCCTCTCATATAGCAGCAGTCTTTGTTTTTGTACGTTCAGTGTAACGTTTTTATAGAAGGACAACCAGTACAACAAAATGTTTCCTAGTAGAATCCTCCTTCAACGTTCTGTACTAGCCGATCAGTTCAGAAGACAACCAAATCACAAAGAGAACGCTCATTCTCCCTTGTTACTCCTCCTGCTCCTCATACATCCTCGGTCAATGGGGCAATTCTTCTTGCAGGCGTCACGGGTAGTGTGATTAGTGGCCTCGCACTTTTCGGTGCAGGTAAGCCGAGTCGAAAACAGCGTTGAACACAGTGTGTACTAGGAGAATCGAACTTTACTAAGTAACCCCTACAGGATACACTAACTACCAGTTTTCTGCAATCAAACGCGATGTAGATACTTTCCAACTATCTCCGGTCTACATTGAGGAAAGGGCTGATCAAGGTGTGGGCAGCTGAGGGTTTATCGGGAAATGGATGTAAGTGCTTTCATATGACTTGCGTCTGTGAATGCGTATTCATGCGTTGCTACAGGAAATAAATGAGGGTGTATCAATTTGTACTACCTGCAACAGGCTCTTGATACCTACTACCAACTGTTGCTAAACTATCTTGCGACGACGGGAACTTTATATCCTCCATTCTTGTGGTTACCGTAGCCTGTTGGCCCTCTTTACCTTCCGCAACCGCCTCCTCAAGAGCGCTGTCTGACGAAGAACCATAAAAGACCGTCCTGAGCTCCCGACACGCATCTCTATACATTGTCTCGATCTTCGGATCCCAATGCAACGGATTGGGCGTCTTGTCGAACGCATGTGTCACTCCCATGACTTTCTTGTAAACGACTTTCTTTCCGAAATCGTTCACGAGACGATGGTGGAACCGATCCGCCTCCGCGCACAGTTCGTCCCATTCGCAGGTGTAAAAGACGATATTCTCGGGCAGGTCCTTGATCATCTCGTTTGGCGCGATTCCGGGACTGAGCCAGGGTGATTTGAGGTCGACGCCGTTCACTGGGTAGAGGTAGCTGGAATCGAAAAGGTTGGTGAAGAATTTGGGAAGGTCTTTGTCGCTGCGGACGTTCGTTTTTCGACGCTCGTCTCGTGTGTTGGTGTAATCGATGGATGGGTACCAGGAAGAGATGGCGATTACGGTACCCTCCTGTGTCATCGCACTACTAGTGTCTGAGCCAGCATCCCTCTTGGTTTTCCGAATGCGATATTCCTCGGCAAGCCGGATAGGTACACTAAACGACATGTTACCTCCAGCAGAAAAACCGCTGTATGCGATTCGATGAGGATCAATCTTCAGCTCCTCTGCATGCTCGATGAGGTATAGTGTGGCGTCTACTCCATCCTCGATGGCGATAGGGAATGGATGCTCCGGTGCGAGTCTGTAATCTACAGACACTACAACGGCGTCAGCATAGTGCACTACAGCTCTAGCCCACCGCGCATCATCTGTTGCGCGTCCGATAGTGAACCCGCCGCCGTGGAAATTAATTACAATTGGAAAGACACGTTTAGTTTGTGTGGTTTCGTCTGAATTGTAGGATTCTGGAACATAAAAATGGAGAGGAATTTTTCCTGGTTTGGATGCTAGTTTGGAAGATATATTGATTGAAAAGGAAGGGGAAGGTGCAGCAGGGGGTGCGAGCATATGGAGGCTGTTTGGGATATTGGGGGGGGGAGTGAATAATAATTGAATCGATTGAAATTTATTTTACTGACTGCATGCCAATATCCATTAGATTGCGCCACATTACAGCTTGGGCTTTTAAAGCCCATCTTCGACTGGAACTAGGACCCATGGTAGAAAATGAAAGAGAGAGAATTTGGATTCAAAAAAGTTGGAGTTACAAGTACTTTTTCAGACGCGTCAGTGACGTCATTCAATCGTCGTATGTGGAAAGGTACTTGCCTATTTTGGAATACATATCCCTCGATAACCTTGAGCGCTAATTAGCACTGACACTCAATAGCCCATGGTAAAACTGACAAGTGTACAAGAGTGATTTCAGTAAAAGGCAGTGAGCACCGTCAGCAAGTTGTATAGATTGAACGAGAAATAAGCAAGGAGAATCCATGGAAAGTCTGAGAGTTCAGGTAAGATGGCGAGTAGGTATCAAGGTAAGGACCAAGGTACCTTCAAATCTGCCATACTCTGCATACCCTAGGCCACCAGTACAAACTGCGGCGCCAGCAATGGGTACTCTAAAAGCCCTCGCAACGAATCTGGGGACAGATGAATAGGACAATGATCTTGCATGAATTCGACGCATGACAGCCAGTAGAGTTGCAGAGCTAGATCTTAACGAACCAGCAGCTAAGAAATGGCGGATGAAGTAGTACATGCTCGCCCGAGCCATTTCAAGGAACTTGCAAGTTAAGCCGTCGAGTTAAGCTAAAATCCTCCCAAGTTGTGAGAGAAGTGTTGGAGGAGTTGAGGACATGGATTGCGATTCAGGGATGATGCCGATGGGAAGGATGTCAAGCGCAACCTTGTGTCCTTTACTTATAACGAAAAATTTATGATGAATAGATATAGATCTATGCAACATCAATGTCTAGTTGGGAGAGGATCGTCACAAGCAAAAAAAATAACAACAGAATTTGTTTAATGGAAGCACCGAAGGTACCAAAAATGCAATCCACCCATATTCAAGTTCGAGACATTACTGTGCCTTTTTCTTTTCCTTTTCCTTTGCCATTGCCGAAACTCTACCCGACCTTATTTCCTCCCTAAACCCATGCCACTTCTCCTGGGCCAAATCCCCTTTCAACCAACCGACCTTCCGGAAAAGCTTCAACGCACGATCAATGTAATCCAAATCCAGGTTTTCCATATCAACTGGTGGTCCAACTTCTGCTTCGAGTTGAGAGCTGCTGCGCAAGATGTCAAAGGTTTTCTGCTCGTCAAATTGACATTTTTCACAGAAAAAAAATGCGTCCTGGTTTTGGAGCGTGACATAGTATACAGCCTGAATGTGCATCTTCCATTTTGGAATTTTCGATAATGATGGCTGAATCAGCGTCATTGTCTTTTCCAGAGGTCCAGCAGCAGCTTTATCTGTAACATGCGTAGTAGCTGCAAAGGCTTGGTTTGATCCAATGATGAGAACGACTATATCATCCATTGAGATCCGGAAATTCGGGATTCGTCTCCAGGAGGAGGGGTTCTTAACCCCAACCCTCAGTGTCCACTTGGAGGAATCTTCCGGTTTTGAGTGACCGAGTACCAGATCTGAACAGAGGAAGCAAGCATCATACTGGTTAAGCAAATATGATAGAGAAAAAGTTCAACTACTGTTAACTTACCCGTGGCCTTAGAAAAGCTAGGCACAGCAATGACAACAGAAACTGCACTGAAGAACACAGTGGCCAATAGAAAATACATCGAAGTTTGCTGAAGCGGTGATGAGTGGAATTGGAATAACATAATGTCCTTGACGACAGGCAGTGAATCAAAGAAAAAGATACTCGAAGGATGCGAGCAACTGTTTAATAGATAATTTCATTCAGCGGTCAAGAGGAAACAGAAAAAAAAAGTTGTTCGTACAAGCAGTGAGTATTGATTCCGTGACCAGCAAATTTTGTCAGCAGTGGAAGAGCAGTCAACTGAAGTTGAGGTCAGAGAGATAAGGACATGGGGCTTAATGAGTGAGAAGAGACCTACCGAGCCAGCGTTGAGCAAAAAGTTGGTAAGAGGAGAGATGATGATGGGCACAATGATTGAACTAAGGGACAGCAGGGCTACCTAAAAGTATGTAGCTAAAATCGCTCCGTCGTCGACCGTCAGGCTCGCCCAGGATGCGACGTTTATGCCTCTACGTCGTGCAGCGAGGAAAGAGATAGGATACTGAAAGAACGTACGGGCCCCCCGACATAACAGCAGATCTCAGCAGATGCAACGCAGAAGACTTGGAAAGATTAGCCAGGTGTCGTAGCCAACCGAAGATTTAGCAGTGGCTGGGTTGTATATATCACCATCTTCGCAAAGTCACAGTAACCACATCGATATATCTCAGGGGTACGATAGAGATTGAAGGTCAAAGTTCATAAAAGCGCCCAGATGTTACCACCTTATTTCACGAGTCTATATCGACTGTTCCTACGAACAAGCTCTGCATCTGTTCTGCACCAAAGTTCCGCCGTTCGAAATATTCGCTCTCTCTGGCGACCAGTATTTACAGATGCTGCTCGTGTTATCAACAAACTACAAACCAACCCTTCGGATCTCGAGAAAAATTCACTTCAGAATCGGCTGAAAGATTGGGAAACACAAAGTATGTGCTTGGTTGGATCTATCACTAGACGTTGCAGTAACGATTCACGAACGACCGTAGTGGACCGAACCCTATCCCTTCTTTATACCTCTGCCACCTCTCGTGGTCTTCCGCATCAACTAACCCGCAATTTATCTCAATTATACCATTCAGAGTATGAACGAATGTCGAACCGAAAACATCCAGTATGGAATGCTCAGCTACCTCCCCGTTCTCATGAGTACCACATTCCTGCTCCTGACACAACCCCCAAAGCTCTTCACAAGGAAGAAAAGGCGCGTCAGGTGCAGTATTTGGAGGATCGTGCGTGGAACGCTCTTGGGCTTGCTGTCAGTATGGCGGAAGGTCATGATAAGTTATCTCTAGGAAGAGTAGTCGTAAAGGGGAAGTTGCGGCAGAATTGAAGTTTCAGCTGTTGCGATTCGTATAACGATTGTTATCCGTAAAGCTCCATCTTTGTCCTCAGGAGTTTGCCGCGAACTCGTTTCCAGTTTTTTCTTCTCACTAGCATTGAATCTGACCACTCTCTAGCTCTCACGCTCCATGTTTGTCCAATATAGAACGGTACTGGTGAGGCCTCTTTTATCGCGAGTATTTTCGAACCGGAATTTCGACGGTTTAAACGCTTTCAAAGGTTCAAGTGACTGAATGCCTCCAGGCTTCAAGGTTTAATATAAGAGTTGAGCAGGTTGCTCTATTCAACAGCAACGCAGATCCTCTCTCACCAGAAGGCTTCGAAGGTTCGAAACGCCCTAAAACACCTAACTTCATGTCCTGAAATGTGTCCTGTCTATTCAATCTCACCTGACGATAATTAATCCAAACTTGGCCTCATCCCTAGTCCTACCAGGGCTGCCTTAGTCTGTGTCATTGCCATTTTTTCTATGCGATACCAAATAACTGGCTATCTGGTTGACTTGCAGGCACTAAATCACTTGACAGAGAACTGTATAAATGTATTTTCTAGTTATTTATACTTGCTCCCTTCATTGCCCTTCCATCGAGACCACCAAGATCACCACCTCTTTATCGTCTCTTTGTGTTAAACATGTCCGAAAATAACTCGTTGTCGTTGGACAAAGGTGTCACTGCCAAGGTGTGTGCTCACCGCGGTGCTTGTGTCTTTCTTGCGCGATATGGCTTTTACTAATCTATTTCCCCCCCTTTCTTCATTCACTCCTCCCATTCCACGTCGATTGCGCCTCGTCAGCATTCAAACACCATATTCATATTGAGGCTTCGAGGTGGCAGCTCTACCACTCAGTACTCAGCCACCAAGGCCTATCAACATTGACTACGCCATGCTGCTTGTAAACACTCTCGGCCTTGCAGCAGCAGCTGCACAGCTCGGAGTGAGCGTTTTTTTTTTTTTTTTGAATCCTGTTTATACACCGTCGTGCGGGAGCATATGGTAGTGTATACTCTACTGTAGGTGAGCGTTTACACTCTGAGAGCCATATTGAGGCAAACAGGTCGTCCCGTCTAAAGTAAGTCGATTCAACTCTTTTCGATTCAACTCTCTGTTTCCCCTTCAACTCCTCTCTCCTCCTTTCACTCTCTCTTGTCATTTCGCTGAATTGCTTGTGTCAAGTTCATTTCCGCTTCTGGGGTCGTTGCCAACATCTTTCTCATTGTTCGCTTCTCTAAAGCACTCAGGCTGGCTGACCTTGTCGGTGATAATCGCAGCCAGAATGAGCCAATAATCTCCTGTTGGGGACCAATGAAATGGCTGCCATAGGATGTCTCATGTATTAACATTGTATAGTATGAACATAATAACAGGATCTGTGTCACCGTTCCTTTCCCTCATACGACCAGAGACCTTTCCCCGATTGACAACTGCAGTAATGAAGTAAATATTGTTTTTTGACATGCAGAATCCAGAGTACTTATGTGGAAGGGTACTTGCCTATTTTGGAATGCATGTCCCTCGAGGGGATTATTTGTCCTCAGTGCTTGGTTCTTCACTTCGAGTGCCGAGTTGTTATCGGCGGCGAGTAAGCACTCGGTACACTCAATCTATCTATTTCAGAAGAGCTCTGAGGAAATCACATTATGATTTTAGGATACAAGAGCTCGGTCGCAGTCGGGGATGCTTGATTTTGCAAACATCCATTTTGTCGTAACTCAGCTGAAATTGAAGGTCGTCCTCCTATGCTCACTGCACCATCAGCAAGCCGTGAAATTGTGAAAGCTGACAACTCCTGTTCCGGATTTCGGTGGGTAAACGGGACATGGACCATAAAGCTAAGTTTGTCGTTAGTGATGAGTAATTGAGCCAAGGACCAGAGGTATATACCCGATGACAAGAAACATATGTACTACTTGCACCGTGTCGGAAGGAGGTAGGACGCTACTCGCGTCGTATAAATAGTCCGGGGCAGATTGAGAAAAAGACAATCACTATTTCACCCCATGGCTACCACTCTTTCAACGTCTCTCACTGGTGTGTACTCGAGTTTTCACGCTATTGATAGCTAGTGTTATAAATATCTGGGTTTATCAGACAAAGTCGCCATTGTCACCGGTTCATCTCGTGGAATCGGGGCAGCTATCGCTCTTAGGCTTGCAGAAGAAGGTGCTAAAGTCGTGGTCAATTGTACGCATACATCCTTATCCCATACCCGAGGCTACATAGACTCATTTTGATCTTTCCAGATGTCAGTAATTTGCAAGCTGCAAATGAAGTCGTCCAGAAAATCAAACTATCAGGCAAAGGAGATGCAGTTGCGATCAAGGCTGACATTTCTACTGTTGAAGCTGGCACGATTCTTATCGATGAAACTCTCAAGCTCTTTGGCAAACTAGACATCCTCGTCTTGAATGCCGCCGCCCTGCAGTATCAAGTTCTCGCAGATGTAACTGAGCACACATACGATACGCATATGAATACTAACGTCAAAGGGCCATTATTTCTGTCGCAAGCTGCATCCAAGCACTTTCCTTCCTGTGAGTGTTAATCTTGCTAGCTCGATTCATATCCTTGTGCTTAAAACACAAATATTGTATAAGCTGGTGGACGCATCATCTTCTTATCCAGCTCCGTAACGAGTTTCAGTAGTATTGGTCCCAATTATCTTGAATATGCGATGTCGAAAGGTCAACGAACTAGTATTATCTTGAAGCTGAACGTGCACTACTGATTCTTCGCTGTCTATCAGGCGCCGTCGAACAAATGTCTCGCATCCTCGCTAAAGACCTTGGCTCAAAAAACGCTACCGTAAACACCGTCTCTCCTGGCCCAGTAGACACAGAGCTTTTTCGTGCAGGCAAACCTCAAAGTCTCATAGACTCCATTGCTAGTCAAAGTCCCAGTAAGCGCATTGGCAGGCCAGAAGAGATTGCTCCTGTCGTCGCGTTCCTTGCGAGCGAGGCAGCCCAATGGGTGAATGGACAGAATATTGGAGTGAATGGGGTAAGTAGATATTGGGTCTGAAAGATGCTGAAGCTGATGTACCTGACAGGGTTTCATCTTGTAAGCGGTGAAATCAAATTCTCTCTTTAGATGAAGAACTTGTATGAACGTAGAACGTCTGGGGTGTGGTAGTAGTACTCAAGTTTCCCGAAAATGAAATCATGAGTATTTGCTGTGATAGAAAATATTTCAAATACACAATTCCGAAATACTACTTCTTATCCTGTTCATCTTGCTGCATGCTCATCGCAATTGCTCGAGCAATAGCAGCCTCTTCGTCCTCGTCGTCCTCATTCATGGGTGCATCTGTCTCTGAAGGTTTCGTCGTACCTGCGCTCTCCATATCCACATCTTCTTCAGACGACATTTTGATTGCCTGAGCAAGAAGAGCTTCTTCTTCGTCCTCAGTGGATTCTGCAGGAACCGTCGAGCTTGTTGTTGCAGGTTGCGAGGCGTCACTTGAAGACGCCTCGGTTGACGCGGCTACTTCTCGAGCTTGGGCTTCTTGCATTGATATACGGAGAGCCTAGAGATGATAGGAGATATATAAATAGGTATAACGTGTGGGGGTATGGAAAGACCAAGCGACACTAACCATTGCCAATTCAGGATCCAAAGAGGGGTCAACACCAAACTCGAAGTCGCCACCAGAGGAAGCACTTGGACCATCGCCGCCTGTTCCACCTAGCTCAGTAGGGATACTCGCGCTGCGATCGTCGGAGAGTATGGGAGAAGATATAAGAGCATCTGAAATAAGCCGTGGACCTGGAGGAACGACGACAAGATGGCTGATTAATCAAAAGTTAGCAACTGCACTGAAACGGGAGGAGTTGAGGGACATACGAATTATCGCTACTGGTTGCGTTTTCCACGAAAGATTTCAACACGGATTTATCCTCCTGCCCGGACACTGGTTCCTCTATGCCATCACCAAAGCACACGACATCCACCGCGACGTTGTTCTTCTTCAATTTCTTGGCTAATTTCACCATCCCCTTCTCGTCTGCGGCAGGTCCTTCTAGTGGTGATCCGACGAACACGATGATACGCTGACGGAGGTTCTTGTTCTCTCTGTGTTTCAGAGCAAGTTGTGCGACGGCAATAGCAGTTGGTATATCGATAGCTCCTCCGACTTTGGATGAAGTAGTGTGTATGGCTTTCAGGATCTGACCTAAGTCTTTTGAATGTGTCACTAGGACTTCGGGTCTGTGTGGCAGCTTGAGTATCCATTCATATATTCTATGATTGTTTATGATTATCGCACCCCTTTCCTGCCATCGACATAATCCCAACAGTATTCTCCGGATTTGAATCGATTTTGGTTTGGAAGACAACGTTAACAGCGTCAGCTTGGGCATCAAACCTGTTTGGTTGATAATCTCCGTTACGCATGTACTCGGAGTTGTCAATGACCATCATAGTGGCTTCGAGAGGCATCTTGGATGAAAGAAAGTAAGGTGGTGAAGGGTTTGATGAAGCTGACGCGTAACGCGTTCTGGATTTGGGGATTTGTAATTACTAAGCAATTCTCCATCACGTTAAAAATTTGAAATTTCCAGGATCGCGTTTCTTGTTTTGTTCTCGCAACACAAGTGCCGATGGTTCCTTTTACTCCTATGTAACGTCCAGCCCATAAGACCACAAGCTTCTCTTAGCTACAGTCCGAGTCGAGACACAAATCTCCCTGCAGTGCTCGAATATCTTGGAGTTGCAGCGTGCCATGCTAAGGCCAGGCCATTGAATTCTGTCAGCTTTTCTGCCTTTGGCAATGCGCATGTGGCCACACACCGATGCACTCAGGGTGTATACGCGGAACATGAAGATACGAAATAATCCCGTTCATGATGGTATCTTCAACTTCAAGTCGTGCCGTCAAACTGCATCACTTAGCGCTTACCTTTACCTACATATTTCTACCTATGTAGAGGCAACGTCACGATAGCACGATTTGTACTCTGCCTTTTGACCAAAGAACACGGTGTGTTGCGCGTTTCCTTACTTTTAAGCTTTCCTCATGTTGCATTTGAAGTTGACCCACATCGTTCAGCTGACCAGGGACGGTAGTGCCCATGGGGATGTATGACCTGTTTTTTTGCGATTTTTTGAATGATCAGATTCGTAGGCTCAGATGAATACGATGGTCTACTCGGGTGATATGTACTAACTTTTATGCCATATCCTTTGTAGTGCGAATGACCAAGATCACGGAATGCTTCAATTGACAGTTACCTACCCTATCATTCGCTCGACCTGAAGATCATGCCTAGGGTAGGGTAGATTGAAGTAAGTTTCCATCATGCAGTGCGCCATTTCGTGCCATGTATTCAAATCAAGTCCGTATCGTGTTCAACGGAATCCGTATCGGTTTCCGCAAAGGTATCTTTTGGGGGATGCTTTCAATCTCATAAGTATCAGTTTCATCAAGTAACCACAAATAACTTAACTTTTTTTGATGCGGTTAATCCCTCGCGTCTAGACATTTTTTGGAATAAATCCTAGCGCTTCTACCTACACAGTTCTACTACACTTTCAAAAGAACGTCATATCAACCTATCAAGGTACCATATCATGAGATATAATATACAGCTCCGTCAAGGCACTTGTTCTTTCTGCAAGCTCCGTAACCACGCTAGCATCGCACAACAAAGGGCTCGAATTAGCTTCGGAATACATGTTTAATACTTATACATGTGGAGCTTCCCAAAGCGCTTCACGAGCATGACGGGAGAACAAACGCTAAATTTCGCTATATATATATTGTTGCGCCGAATCTCTAGCCGGACGTCCCTTTTCTGCGAAAATCTTTATAAGGCCTGTCACCCCATCGTCTTTGTGCATCTCATTCCCTCCCCTCTCAGCCTTCTCAGCCCTGTCATTGACCCTAGTTCCCACTAGTGAACTGCCAACTTAACAATGTACAACGGGTCACTTCCCTTTGTTTTCGAGGACCGTACCGGTCAGCTCTACGGATCAGACTTTGACGAAATGTATGACCGAATGTTCTATCGTGTTGCTCGCGATCCGCAAAGGACTGCGACGATGGTATACAACATGGGTCGACGGGCAAGCCGACATCGCGATTCGTTGCCCTTTAATAGCCGTCCGATCGCTATTCTCGACTTCAAACCCGACCAGTCGTTGGGTAATATATGTTATGCAAGTAACGGGAACGTTGCCGTACCCATGAACCGTTATCTGAGGAGGACGTCAATGTTTGGAGGGTGAGCCGCTTGAGCTTTTAGCCGACTCACCAGGGGGATCATCGACGTTCTGCTGTTCAGGTCGTTATCAAGGAAATTCACGGGGTCTGATGGGAGAGAGTATAAGTGGAGTCATAGAAGCATACAAGGACAAGAATGGACTGTAAGTTGGCACTTCTGATCTAAACTTTCGCTTCATACTCGTCTTGAGATTCATTTTATTTTCTTTCTCAGTGCACCACCGGCCCAGAAAACTTTCTTGTAGCACACTTTGATCTAAAAGCAGCAGACGTCCCAGCTTACGATGTGTCGGGGAACACGTTGACGATTTTTGAGCAATTCATTCATATTTCTGTCGGTGAGTACTTATCCTGCAGGATTCCGATCCTCCTTATGCTTTGTCGATACTTGGGTGTATTTTCCCTGACTATCTTTCGTTGTTTTCTTGTTTTTGCTCGATCAGAAATTTTAGCTTCTTTGACTATCATGCGCCATATCGCCCAGCATAATCTTTGATATACAACACGAAAAATGACTCGTTTTATACTCATCCCGCTACAGCATTTTTATCGACAACGCGTACTATATGTGGCATATGCGCAAACAGTTATCGATCGATATATGGGTGTAGTACTGTTATCTGCCTGCGTGATTTTGATCTTGGCAAGGAAATCTTAATCTTCCGTTGTATATTGTTAATTGGCTTCTAAAGACGTGAACCCTGTCGCTCTCAAGTTGGACCGAGAAATTATGGTAGTGGTGGCGCACTTCCTGCATGCACCTCTTGAGGTGCAAGATCTTCCAAATGGTCATAACTGTCATCTTCCGGGGTACACGTTAAATCACTATTCGACAGGAATGCTTCAGAGTCCCCTAGCCCCACTTAGAGTCGGACCGAGTACCACGGCTCACTGCAGCTTCAACAGGTTTAGCAAACGCCACCTTGCATGTCTCTCCTCATCTGCTACAGTGCCCTTTCTCTGAATCCAGAGTATTCACTAGTGGCTCTAGCGGACTCGAGTTACTGGGCGCAAGTTCCGCGCGCCGATTCACTATCATGAGCCTCGAGTTGTCTTAAAAAAGCACTTTAACAAAGACCGGTGCTGACAGATCACCATTCGGATTTCATAACGAAGAGAGCTTGAGGGAAAAATGATCTATGTGCTACTCAAACACATTTCTACTCAACTTGAAGAATCTTGTATGCGCGACTAAGTGTATAGCTGGCTCCTCCCCAATTCAATCCCAACATCGAATATCTCCGTTGGAACTTGGAAGCTTGATTCTTTATTAGCTTCAACATAGTTCAACATTCAACATTCAATATTCAGGTTCCGTTACACTGCGCCAGGCCTTGAATTTAAGCACACAAACTAAGCAGCCATAAATTACTTGTGCCTCTAGCCTTAGCTTGTCTTGCCTCAGTCTACCCAGGTCTGGGGCCTGGGGGAGACCTGGGGGAGACCAGGACACCTCGAAGAGATGACGTAACTTCCGAACTTTCGGCGGGATTGAAGAACAAAACCGTATCGATTTTGGATCTCCTTTGATCATTAAATTTTCTCTACATGGTTGAGGTCAAAAACAAAGTCTGTCTTATGTGAATCTTTCTTTATCTCACTCATCTGATAATGAATGTTACTGATTGTTCCACCTTCATTTCATAGTGTTCATGATGGATGGGGTATTGCGGCGAAGCCTGGCCTGGAAGGAAACGCCATCGAGGCGGGCACGACGACCAACATGGACACTATTGCCAAAGAACACAGTTTTCGCAAGCTGGCTGCTCATGGTACGGCTGTTGGACTGAGTGAAGGGTTAATGGGTAACTCTGAAGTCGGGTAAGTGTTTATCAACTTGAGTGATAATCGGATGTGCATCTGGTTCATTTCATTTTATAGTCATTTAAACATTGGGGCTGGCCGTATCGTCTGGCAGGACATTGTCAGGATCGATGTTTCGATCAAGAAGAAAGAGTTTCATAAGAATCCGCAAATTCTCGAAAGCATGAAGAGGGCAAAGGAGGGTAATGGTAGATTACATCTTCTTGGTTTGGTACTTGCTCAATTGTTTCCTTTTTTCCCGCATGAATACTGACTGTTGAGATAAAATGTAGATTTCCGACGGTGGTGTCCACTCTCACATTCATCATCTCTTCGCTCTCCTCGAAACCGCCAAAGAAGAAGGCGTCCCACACACGTATGTCCACTTCTTTGGTGATGGTCGTGACACTGCACCTCGTTCTGCCGCTGGATACTGTGAGCAACTACTCGAGTTCATGAAAAAGGAAGAATACGGAGAATTGGCGACAATTGTGGGACGGTACTATGCTATGGACCGAGATAAGCGTTGGGAGAGGGTCAAGGTTGCAATAGACGGTCTAGTTGATGGGGAAGGCGAGAAACTAGTCGACACAAAGACTTTTGTTCTGGACGCTATCAAAGGAAATTATGAGAAAGATGTCACAGATGAGTTTTTGAAGCCGATCATCGTAAACGGTGACGAGGGACGGATAAAAGGCGCGTTTCTTCTCTACAAAATAAGGTATCTGTTACGAGCAGAAATAACATTTGTCTGAAGATGGCGACACCCTCTTCCTCTTCAACTACAGATCCGACAGAATGCGTGAAATCGCCACCGTTCTTGGGTCTTTGGACAAGCCAATGGAAGTGAATATCCCCAAGGATCTGGTATGTCCTTAGCCTGTAATTCATCCCATCCTTCCTGCTAATATATTACTGTCATTACAGCACATTACTACTATGTCACAGTACAACTCTGAATTCCCGTTCCCTGTCGCATTCCCTCCTCAAGTAATGACCAACGTCCTGGCTGAGACCCTTGCCTCCCAAGGTGTTAATCAGGCTCACATTGCCGGTATGTATATCCCATCAAATCTCCCCAAGTAGCTCGTCTCGATCCCCTTCGAACTTCACCCAGAAACCGAAAAATACGCCCACGTAACGTTCTTCTTCAACGGTGGCCTTGAAAAGCAATTCAAAAACGAAGAACGACATATGATTCCTTCCCCCAAAGTACCTACTTACGACAAAGATCCGAAGATGTCCGTCAAAGACGTAGCTAACAAAGTCGCTGAAGTGGTCCGTGAATCAAAACACGAATTCGTCATGTGTAATTTCGCTCCTCCTGATATGGTCGGACATACTGGGGTGTTCGACGCCGCTGTCGAAGCTATCTCTCATACGGACGAGGCAGTGGGGACTGTGTACAAGGCATGTCAAGATGCAGGGTATATACTTTTGATCACGGCGGATCATGGTAATGCGGAGCAGATGAAGAATCTGGAGACTGGGGCTCCGCATACGGCGCATACGACGAATGCGGTTCCTTTTATTATGACCGGGGATACGGAGAAGTTCAAGTTTACGGAGGATAAGGATGATGGAGAGCAGGAGCCTGGAGCGTTGTGTGATGTTGCGCCAACAGTCTTGGATCTATTGGGGCTGGAGCAGCCGAAAGGTGTGTTGTGTGGGTCATTCCGTTAGGTCGGTGGATGCTGACCTCTGGCTTTGTGCCCGACTTATTAGAAATGTCCGGACGGTCACTACTTGCGAAGGTTTAAGATTTAGATACTCTCTAGACTGCTTGAATGATCCCAATTTTTACACGAAGTACTTTGAGGATATCGGATTCTCTATTCATCAAGACGCACTACTGGTTCATTTTCATATATTGATGTAAGATTCACTAGCGATAATCGTCTTGCGCATATGTTTCGAATTGAGAGTAATATAGTAGACCTTTAGATATTTCCGATCCACATATGTATGTTCCTAAATTTTATCCCACCGATGAAGCCACATGTCTTGGGAACTGTTGGGAGAAGCTGGGAAGGTGTTTTCGATCTTTGTCGATGTATGTACTTAGCAAGGACATGGGTGATAAGTCGTCTTCTGGGACGCGGTGGGTCATGGAAGCTTTATATGGGAGAAGTGCGTCCGGCCCGGGTGGATCTGGCAAAACCTCCACCACAACGATGACTGACTTTTGATCAGGCTAAGATGTTCGGAATCAAGTACGGGATGTGGTATACACCCCAACTTGCGGAGGCCTTACAGACCAACAGACCTTGTTGCGAGAAAGCCGTACCTGTTTTCAACAACTACTACGGGACCGCAAGCAAACCGGGACCCTTGGCGAGTGAAAATCTCTAGGCTTTGGTTGTTTACCATGTTCGTGGATGAGCTTTGTTGGTCTCACTGACTGATTGTCTTTCGTGGCCCCCATTTTCCGTTGAATTTGCGACCGCTAACCACGCATCGGACTTTCATCATACTTCCGTAGAAGCCATTGAATGTTTTTCATTCATTTGTATCTGTGGTGGAGGGAGCTCTACATCTAATTCAACAAGCTATGAGCCCAGAAGCAAGGTTGTCTCATACAACGACACCTCAAACCGATCGCATTTGGTAGGATATTCGCTGTTGAAGTAACCGTTGAAGTTGCCGTGTCCGTCTAGTAATCTACACTCATCGTTTTGGTTTTGACCGGCCTTGCACAACCCTGTCCGACCATAATTTTTGATTTCCTTGTCACGCTTCCTAGACTCGAGCCAGTAGCTTCGGATGTTGACACTTTGGAAACTGGCGCTCAAATGTCTGCCAAGAAAGTGATTCCGTATATCGCTTCTCAGCAGCAGACTAGTTCGAGTCTACACAATTCCCCACTTGGAAACTTATAAACGTTCGGAATACTATAGGACCCCGGAAGCTCCTGCCAAACCCCGTCCGAATTAGCGTACTTTAGGGCGCGATTTTGCTATTTTCGTTGTCCATAATTAGCGTACTTTAGGCCCCAAAAACCAACTCCTTATGCACTAGTTAGCGTACTTGAGCGTACTTTTGATGGATGAAACCGAAATTTTTAGGTAACTAAAGAAGCTCACCAGTGGTTCGAAGACGTACACTGTCATAGCCTGGAGCAAAAGACCGATCTCACTGTTCAACTTACAACGTGCAACGTTCACATTCAACCACTAGGCACTAAGTATGTCTGCAATCTTCCCGCCGGATGAAATCCAAAGTATTCAGAGAGCATCCCGAGCAGGCACAAGGATGATCAGGGACAGCGACATTAGCTCACTGCATCTTGACATCTTGATTGAGGGGGGAAAAAAGCTTAACTCTAGTATAATGAATGCCGTTGCAGCTCAAATCCAACTCGAAGCTGAAGCTCAAGGGGAATCTCCGGCATTCTGTGTTTTCTCATCCTGGCTTGGCCCACACCTTGGAATGAATGTAGAAGATGGAGCTGAATAGTCAATCTGCGAAGAAGTGGACTGCATTCCAGAGACGAGAGATGAAAGAAGTCCTCAAAAGTATTCCGGTTCTCAAAATTCGCATTCCAGCTAAGGTACAATGAAATACACTACGTAGAAACACTCGCAGGAGCACTCAGGAGCATTAGCAATATTTTTTGGAGTTTTCTGGATTTTCTGCGATTTTTTGGCATTCACGTGATTGTCCCTATCCGAATTAGCGTACTTGAGACCAAAAACCTCCAAAAACGTAGCGTACTTGAGGCCAACTAGGCGGATGGGGTTTGGTAGGAGCTTCCGGGGTCCTAATACTATGAAAGCCTTAGGAAATTCTCTATTGTGAGTTTCCTTTCGCGTTCAGCGGAACTTGTGCGCCCACAGATCGTCAGGAGTCGTAGGGAGTCGTCAGGTGTACCACTCTCCAACATTCAGCCTAAGCGAGGCCACTGATACTACGTCTACAGAATCTCCTGCATGAGCTTCGCTTGCGAATTCTCTGAACCTTTCTGACATCTGGTGCTTCATGGTCACGGTGCTTCTTTTACAGTCCTTTCGAAACAAGCTGACCTTTAGAAGCCTGAGTCCGAAAAAGCCTCAAGGCATACATGTGTTGAGTGTATGAAAGCGCAGTGGGTCGAGGTTTTGGTACGTGTATATAAGCCCTTCGCCTCAATATTGGTTAGTCTGATAGTAGGTTCTCTTCCTCTCTTCTTTCACAGCGGTATGAATTCTGACAATCCCAATGTAAGTTGTTTGACCGCTTGATCTCGCTATGACTACTCAAGTCATTTAGGCCTTATTTGAATCGTTGTTTGGTGGCGACAATAAACCCAAGAGCATCGATCCCTTGGTTAACTCGAGTCCTGTCTGGAAAAATTTGTACAAACAGCTCACACTCTGTTTTCAGGTCTTTTTTGAACTTTTATATGGCAAAAGCCCTTCGAAAGTTGGTAATACTACGGGTGGCAATATGGGACCTCATAAATCACCTGCATCCTCTACGTCCAGTTTTGCTCAGCTGTCCCCTGACCTCAGTCCGGGTCAGTTGCCGCCGTTGCCAAATGTTACTGAGGTTGTGGAAGACCAGAGATGTTGGATTCTTCTATGACTGTCGAATTTTCTCGGTGAGCAATAGAAAGAGGATTCGGAGGATTTGAACGCATACCATTATCTAACTACTATATAGGTGGACAATCTTCTCTTTCAAGTGCCGATCCAGCTTCTTGCTGCTGAATCAGCATACTTTCGAACCAGAATGGATCAGAATGACGGACTAAAGGAAGAAAATCCGATCCAACTTGATACGGATGTGTCACCAGAAGATTTTCGACAATTATTGCGGGTAGTTTGTCCTCCGTAAGTGATCCGATTATCAAACTGTTACGATGTACTCAGATTCTATCAAAGTAAAAGGTTCAACGCGGAGCCTGAAGTCTTTTCCTTCGGGCAGTGGATTTCAGTCCTTAAGCTCGCTAAGAAATGGGATATGAGTGAGGTTCGGGCTTACGCCATCTCTGCCATTAGGAAGCTGCCCGATATCGATCCTGTGGACAAAATCGTCCTTGCGAGGACGTATGACATACCGACTTGGCTTGCACCATCGTTCAATGAGATTCTGCAGCGATCACAGTCACTCACGGAGAGTGACGTCGATAAACTGGGTATCCCGACGATTGTGCGTTTGATGGAGCTTCGTGATCGTGTCCGTCCACATATCTATAGCCCAAATGGAGCATGGATCCTGGGTAGTGCGAGGATGGAAACTTCGGTTGACTTTACGGCGGTCATTTGCACCGTATTTCCTGAATCTCAAGTAGAGGGTATGAGTGACCCTATTGATGAAGGTATACGTGACCATGATCTGGATTGCAATTCCAGAGTAGTATCATCACCTACTCCAGTACAATCCACTAATGCAACCGGTCCAGTAGCAGCAGGCAGTAAAGCAGGATCCGCTAGAGCACTGAGTCCAGCAGAACTGCCTACAGTGGATCCTATGTCACAGAATCGATGTCCTACACCACTTGGTTCCTCCAGTAAAGCAAAACATCGTCCAGAGCCTGAGTCCACTCTCTCCCAGGATCCTAGGCCAGCTTCACTATGGGGTCTACACAAAGCACCATCAACGCTTGCTCTGTTCTATGGTGTTGCTACGACTTTAGACTCTTCATTAGATGCTTCGAATCCGATATCTATGACTGCGGGCACCAATATAAAAAATCGGAAGAAAAGTACGAAATAGATACATTCAAACTGAGTCAGATTTTCATGTACCTTTTACTTTACTCGCCCTTTGGCTTTTGATTACCAATTCAGAGCCCCAAATAAATCTTGCTCGGGTGGTGAATTGATTGGGAAAAGTAAAATTTCTGATAATAATGCCATATGCATTTCTGCCTGAGATTATTCCTCAAGTTTGCAAGGAATTTATCATACATTCATGGATGTTGGTGCAGGATGAATGCAGAGCCGAGCAGTTAGTACATATGAAAATGGTAACATTTTGGAGCTTTGAACTGATCAAACTGAAACCATCTTCAGATATTGTAAGTATCATTACCTACATACATCTGGAGCACCATGCTACACTTATCTAACCAAGTACTTGACAGATGGTAGCAACAAGCGATAGTCTGCCTTTTCAACAACGAATATCGAAGTCTTAGACTTGTCCTTTCTTCGCCTTTGTCATAAAGTACGCAGCCCCTATCATTTTCCTTTTCTCACCGTCTCGACGCCTTTACTTGTACGATACATCATCCCATCACTGTCAAACCCCCATCGATTACTGATCCACCTGACCCATCTTCTCCTTCTACTGGCTTCCGCCACCTTCCTTGTTCCTAAACTGTACAGTATTACATTGTTGTTTCTCGCAGACCGGATTATGTATATATAGCCAACCCTCCACAGCCTGGTCCCTTATCTTGACCTCTCTGTCATTATCTGGGACCAGGTATGTGCTTACTTATTATTACCTATGACTACGATACTCAATATATCTCTGTCATTATCTGGGACCAGCTTGCCGCCGTTCTGCTTAGTCGCTCCGCCTTGTTGCCTTGTCCAGTTGCTCCGCCTCACCGTTCTGCTTAGTCGCTCCGCTTTCCCGCTCCGTTAGTCACTCCGCCTCTGCCGCTTCGTGACAGCCTTTGCCTTTGCCTGATCTCTGTCTGACATTATTTTCTGCCTAACACAGGGCCAATTCGCAACATCACCTTTCAGCCCACCAACTTGCTTCAGAAGCTTCAACGCACGGTCAATATAATCCAGATCCAGATTATCCTTGTCAACCGGTGGTCCAACTGCAACATCGAGTTGGGAGCTGTCGCGCAAGGTGTTGTAAGACCTGGGTCAAAATAGGTCTTAGGGTAGGTTTTGGTATGTGGAGGTTTATGTTGTAGCGTGCTAGGAGCAGGCTGGAGCTCGAAGGGAGCTACGAGAACCGCGACCGAGGACGGGAATGACCTAGTAGTGGTTGGAACGACGAGATGGTGACCCTTGAGGGGTTCCTAGGAGGTCCAGGGAGGTCCCTAATGCGTAGGGAGGTTCGGGACGAGTGCGGGACCGTAAGATATTGCGTAGTAGGAGTTGTACTCGCTAGAACGTCAATATAGAGTCGAGTAGGTAGTTTATGCAACGGGGTCTCGAGGGTGTAAGCTCCCGAGAAGGGATATGCCAGGGAGGGTAGGTCCCTGGGGGCTAGGTTGGAGGATGGTCGTCCTCGAGTGTGGGAGGTGGTAACGGAGAAGCAGTACGTAGTTCGACGTGAGGGGTAGCTTCGACGTTACCTAGATCGAGGTCCCGAAGCTTACGAAGTAGCTAGGGAGCTCTGGGAGGTTTGGGGAAGAGTAGCTCACCAAGCGGGTAGGCGTTGGGGAGCTTTAGTAATGTTCGAGGGAGCTCGGGGACTCACTCGGAAGGCTTAGACTTGAAGTAAAAGCGTATATTCGATCGTACCGACGATCAGAGAGACAATAGACAGAAGTAGAGAGAAACAGAGGTAGAGAAACAGAGAGGAAAGAGAAATCCGTATGGTTAGCAGGTACAAAGGGACAGGGACTGGACCTATGCAAAAGGGTGTGTGTTCAAAATATACCAAGCTGGCGCTTGGAGACGTTACGGAGCTACTTAAATAGGTATGGGAAGTGAACAAGGGAACATCGGAACCTAGGGACATGAGGCAGTAGTCGAAGGAGACAGGTGATCGAGATTTGTACTTAATGGGGCTGGTGCTAAGGAGTTTCGTACGCGTGTCGGGAGGTTGTCAGGATAGTCTTGGGGAGGTGCGTATTACCCGTGGTCCTGTCTTGGGGAGGTGCGTAGTACCCGTGGTCCTGTCTTGGGGAGGTCGGATGTCTTGGGGAGGTGTAAGGAAGCATGTGGGATGGTGCTGGGACTGGTTGGTTGTGGTCAGGGCATGACAGGTGTTGAAAATTGCCTCCTCATCCAGTTCAACTCTAGTGAAAGAGAACTTGGTTTCTAGTTCCAGTAACATGTAGTATTCACCATTCAAGCGTGACATTCCTCGAGTAGCTTTTGGGATATCGTCGACTGGGGGCTGAATAAATGTTCCTGGAGTTGTGGCAGGATCATAACCAGGAGTCGTAGCAGCAAAAGTGTGATCTGGTCCCACGATGAGAACGGCTATATCGTCCGACGATGCTCGCATTTTCTTGATTTTTCTCCAATAATGGGTGTTTCTAATTGCTACCTTCAGGGTCCACTTGGAGGCCGGTTCCACTAGTCCATCTAAACAGAGGAAGCATATCATCCTTGATCATGTATATAAAAACAATTGACTTAGTACCCGTGCGCCGGGAGAGACTTGGCACGGCGTTGATGACAGTAGCAAGTCCACTGAAGAACACAGTAGCTAAAAGAAGACACGTGGAGAATCTTCGAGGTGGAAACAAGGTGAATCGGAGCAACATAACGTCGTCAGTGCGCAGGTGAATCGACGAATACTGAGAATCGTAGGCAAGTGTGCAATAAAAAAGTTCATTTTAGCATCGATAGGGTTCAGCAAAAAAAGCTGTTCCATTCACTTACAAGCGAAAACTTGATTTTTGACCAGCAAATAGAAAAGCGTTGTGAGCAGTGAAAGAACGATCAACTGGAGATGGAGATAAGAACATGCGGCTCAGAGTGAGAGAGAGAGACCTACCGAACCAGCGTTGAGTGAACGGGGAGATGATGAAGGTGGGAATGAGACTTAGAGGGGGCCCGTCGCTGCCAGTCGCTGCCCCACCAGGTCACCCCGATGACTGACAGGGGCTCATTTAAGCTGTGCCAATCAATATTGATAACATAATTCAAGATCTTGCAATGTGAATGGAAACTGATCAACACCTTGAGCAGCATATGTGTTACTCGACATGACTAACAACTGGACTGGAGGAGACAAAATGTGTTCAGGTGAATATAAGTATAACATGGAAATTAAAAAGATGAGCAATGAGTTGCATTATGATTTCAGACTGAGTGCAGGGCGTATGGTCTAGAGGTATGATTCCTGCTTTGGGTAAACCGTGCAGGAGGTCCCCGGTTCAATCCCGGGTGCGCCCCATCAAAGGTTCCGTTCATGCTAATTTTTATGCTCTGACGCTCGGTTGACTCGGCGCTTAAATTCCTTCCATTCTTTTTCTTACTTCAATGTCGACCACAATGCTTCGCTCTGCATTGCTCCAAGGTTCTAGTTCGTCAACTATTTCCCAAGGCATGTCGATAATCCGAAAACTTCTTGCCACGGACCAATTCCGCGTAAACGGCTTGACGACAGCTGAGATGTACAAACTCGCTTTGAAGGAAGCGCCTCCGTCGAATTATGAGGGACATATAATACAGGACAGAGTGGTTACGAAGATTCCGTATACAAAGTCTGGGGGAAAGAAGATTCCTCCCCCGGATCCTCCACATTTGGAACATCCTATACGGTCCATGAGGTGCGTGATTCTTTTGGGCATCAGGCTAACGCGTCCATTTATGTTTATCGGGGTTTCAAATATACAGGTACTTGAAGACTCAAATATTGCCTATCCTTCAGGGTCATAAAGAGATTCGAAAGGCTACGGGGAAAAGATTTCATGCGGTCCCTGAAGCCAAGGTCGATACGGGGAACGCGAAGACTAAAACCAAGGCTAAAGGCAAAGGGAATAGTAATTCGGGCATCGCTGGCCATTCCCAGTCATCAGCATCTACTCCCTCTGCACCTATCCCATACACCGTTCATTTATGGATGCCCACTCAGAAACCAAAGGTTATAAAGGACGCAGTAGCTTCACCAGCAATGACTGTGGATCTCGGAGCAGAAGTTGGAGTGGGAGCGGACTGGGATCATTTGAATAAACGTAGGCAGAGGGCTAGAGGTGAAAAGGTGAAGCGTGATTTGGGTATTGCGTCTCAAGTCAGGAAGAGTGAAAGACAGGAGAGGAAGAGGGCGGTGTGGGAGGTGTTAATGCTGAAGGAGGAGCAGGGGAAGGCAGGGAGTTCCGCGGCGCCGAAGGTTACGGTAGACGATGTTGATGCGAATTCAAAACCTCCACACCCAATATAGGTATAATGTCATCGCTTCGCTTCCAACTCATTCTTCATGAATGTACCAGTAGTAGCGTTACCAGAAGTTTGAATCGACTACGGTTTGGTGGAATCTGATAGAATAAGTCAAATTCAACTTACTGTACGACACTACAGATATCGGCCGACATTATGAAGATTAATATGGTTGAACTCCATCGTTTTGACAAGGCTAAACCGGAACTGGATTAGTGAAGGACTACATTTGTGTAAGAACTCTGCAGTATCAATGACCTAGTTCTTGTTGTTATATTCATAATATACAATGTTGATAGTACACGAGACATCCTACAGCGATTTGTTTGGTCCCGAACAAGAGATTATTGGCTCATTCCGGCTGCAATTATCCGAGTCACCGACAAGGCCAGTGCTTTAGAGAAACGAGCAATGAGAAAAAGGGAGGTAGAGAAAGGATCGAGAGGAGTTGAATCGACTTACACAAACTAGACGAGTACTAGACGGGACGACCTGCTTGCCTCAACATGGCTCTCAGAGTGTAAATGCTCACTCCGAGTTGTGCAGCTGCTGCTGCAAGGCCGAGAGTGTTTACAAGCAGCATGGCGTAGTCAATGTTGATAGGCCTTGGTGGTTGAGTGGTAGTAGAGCTGCCACCGCGAAGCCTCAATATGGTGTTTGAACGCTGACGAGGCACATTCGACGTGAAAATGGAGAAGGGAATGAAGAAAAGGGGGGGGAAATAGGTTAGTAAAAGCCATATCGCGCAAGAAAGACACAAGCACCGCGGTGGGCACACACCTTGGCAGTAGCACCTTTGTCCAACGACAACGAGTTATTTTCGGACATGTTTAACACAAAGAGACGATAAAGAGGTGGTGATCTTGGTGGTCTCGATGGAAGGGCAATGAAGGGAGCAAGTATAAATAACTAGAAAATACATTTATACAGTTCTCTGTCAAGTGATTTAGTGCCTGCAAGTCAACCAGATAGCCAGTTATTTGGTATCGCATAGAAAAAATGGCAATGACACAGACTAAGGCAGCCCTGGTAGGACTAGGGATGAGGCCAAGTTTGGATTAATTATCGTCAGGTGAGATTGAATAGACAGGACACATTTCAGGATATGAAGTTAGGTGTTTTAGGGCGTTTCGAAGCTTCTAAGCATTCTGAAAGCCGGGAAGGTGAGAGAGGATCTGCGTTGCTGTTGAATAGAGCAACCTGCTCAACTCTTATATTAAACCTTGAAGCCTGGAGGCATTCAGTCACTTGAACCTTTGAAAGCGTTTAAACCGTCGAAATTCGGGTTCGAAGATACTCGCGATAAAAGAGGCCTCACCAGTACCGTTCTATATTGGACAAACATGGAGCGTGAGAGCTGGAGAGTGGTCAGATTCAATGCTGGTGAGAAGAAAAAACTGGAAACGAGTTCGCGGCAAACTCCTGAGGACAAATATGGAGCTTTACGGATAACAATCGTTATACGAATCGTAACAGCTGAAACTTCAATTCTGCCGCAACTTCCCCTTCACGACTACTCTACCTAGAGACAACTTATCACGACCTTCCGCCATACTGACAGCAAGTCCAAGAGCGTTCCACGCACGATCCTCCAAATACTGCACCTGACGCGCCTTTTCTTCCTTGTTAAGAGCTTTGGGGGTTGTGTCAGGAGCAGGAATGTGGTACTCATGGGAACGGGGAGGTAGCTGGGCATTCCATACTGGATATTTTCGGTTCGACATTCGTTCATACTCTGAATGGTATAATTGAGATAAATTGCGGGTTAGTTGATGCGGAAGACCACGAGAGGTGGCAGAGGCATAAAGAAGGGATAGGGTTCGGTCCACTGCGGTAGTGAATCGTTACTGCAACGTCTAGTGATAGATCCAACCAAGCACATACTTTGTGTTTCCCAATCTTTCAGCCGATTCTGAAGTGAATTTTTCTCGAGATCCGAAGGGTTGGTTTGTAGTTTGTTGATAACACGAGCAGCATCTGTAAATACTGGTCGCCAGAGAGAGCGAATATTTCGAACGGCGGAACTTTGGTGCAGAACAGATGCAGAGCTTGTTCGTAGGAACAGTCTATATAGACTCGTGAAATAAGGTGGTAACATCTGGGCGCTTATATGAACTTTGACCTTTAATCCCTATCGTACCCCTGAGATGTAGTTACTGTCACTTTGCGAAGATGGTGCTATATACCGTATATCTGAACTCAGCCACTGCTAAATCTTCAGTTGGCTACGACACCTGGCTAATCTTTCCGAGTCTTCTGCGTTGCATCTGCTGAGATCTGCTGTTATGTCGGGGGGCCCGTACGTTCTTCCAGTATCCTATCTCTTTCCTCACTGCACGACGTAGAGGCATAAACGTCGTATCCTGGGCGAGACGACGGAGCGATTTTAGCTAGTTTGAGCTAGCGCTGCTGTCCCTGAGTTCAATCCCAACACCATCTCTCCTCATCTCTCACCATCTCTTACCAACTTTTTGCTCAACGCTGGCTCGGTGCTGACATGGACAACCTGGATGTAGATTACATTGATCGTGCATTGGAGCTTTTTCGGAAGGTTGGTGGTTTGAAAGGGGATTTGGCCCAGGGGAAGTGGCGTGGGGTTGGGGAGAAAATAAGGTCGGATAGAGCTTCGCCAACGACAGAGGAAAAGGAAAAGAAATAGGGACAGTAATGTCTCGAACTTGAATATGGGTGGATTACATTTTCGGTATTTCATTGAACTCCAAGTTCCTGTCGTTATTTTTTGCTTGTTACAATTCTCTCCCAACTAGATCTCCATCGATTCATCGTAAATTTCGTTATAAGTAAGCAAAATCCAAACTGAAGGAAGATGATGACCAATAGTACCGTGTCGAGGACTGTCGAGGAGCCCCTCCTCCTCTCATAGACACATACAAGGCACCTGGACAACTACTGACCAATGCCTAATCAAGCCTTTACGGCTAGACGGATTCCCGTCGTGGTCTCTCTCTCGAGCCAGACATAGATGACAGCTACATACAAAGATAACATTTCCTTCCCCATTCATAGGTACCATACAGTATGATGTTCACTGGCACTACATATGCACTAGCACAACGGTGAATAAACGAGATTGAGAAAAAAAAGTGAGTAAAAGAGGACACAAGATTGCGCTTGACACCCTTCCCATCTGCATCATCCCTGAATCGCAATCCATGTCCTCAACTCCTCCAACATTTCTATTTTAGGCTTAAAGTGTGGAAGAGGAACAGTCATCCGACGAGTTATTTATCTTATCTCCGTTATCTGCGCCGTTATCTGTGCCGTTCAAAATGACGAATTCTTCGGCGGCAGTCTCGACAGCTTAATTTGCAAGTTCCTTGAAGTGGCTCGGGCGAGCATGTACTGCTTTATCCGCCGTCATTTTCCCTCTATCCTTTCAAATCGTAAAGCCGTGACTTATGGACTTAAAACAGCCAAGGCCTATTCGACAATGAAGAACATTCCTTCAAGGCGGCGGATTTGGGAGCAGACGCGAGCTTATAACCGGAGCCAAAGCACTTTCTTAGCTGCTGGTTCGTTAAGATCTAGCTCTGCAACTCCACTGGCTGCCATGCGTCGAATTCATGCAAGATCATTGTCCTATTCATCTATCCCCAGATTCGTTGCGAGGGCTTTTAGAGTGCCCATTGCTGGCGCCGCGGTTGGTGCTGGTGGCCTAGGATATGCGGAGTACAGATTTGAAGGTACATTTTTCCTTACCTTTATGCCTATTCGTCGTCTTACCTGAACCCTCAGAATTTCGCAAAGAAACACAGTCTTGGATGAATGCCGTGCAAGATAGTGCAGTTGACCTCTTTGATTCTGCCACAGACAGAGTAAATAAGGCCAGGACGCGTGTTTCCGGCATCAGACTTCCTGAATTCCAGGCGCCCAAGTTCTTGAAGGACTTGTTTACTGAGGGCGATCAAGACAAAACCGGAAAGAACCAAGGAGAGCATGGAAAGCGAGATAATGACGGAAGCTCTGACTCGAAACAGCGACCTCCGTCCGACAATGCTACTATTGCAGCTTTGTTAGCTGCGACCATGTCTTCCCCTTCGGATTCAAAGACTGGAAACAACGGCCAACTAGAGAGCCAGCCAAATGGCTTGATGAACTTAACGAAGAAGTTGATCGAAATTCGAAGCATGCTTCTGAGTATCGACCAGAACGATTCGCTGAAGCTGCCTAGCATAGTAGTTATCGGAAGTCAGAGTTCTGGGAAGAGCTCTGTGTTGGAGGCGATCGTGGGGCACGAGTTTCTCCCTAAGTAAGTACATGGATCCTCCTTGTTTATTCATCGTTCAATCTACATACAACTCGCTGACGGTGTTTCTATACTCAAGAGGTAATAACATGGTTACTCGCCGCCCTATTGAACTCACTCTTGTACACACCCCAACACCTCCCGGCGAAACTCCTTCCGAATATGGGGAGTTCCCTGCTCTTGGATTAGGCAAAATTCACTCCTTCACCGACATTCAGCGTACCCTTACCGACATGAACCTGGCCGTACCTGCTTCAGAAGCTGTTTCGAACGATCCCATCGATCTTCGCATATACTCTCCCTTCGTCCCTGACCTTACTCTTATTGATCTTCCAGGCTACGTCCAGATTGCCTCTTTGGACCAACCTGAAAGTCTTAAAGAGAAAATTGCTGGACTTTGCGATAAATATATCCGTGAACCCAACATTGTACTAGCCGTTTGTGCAGCGGATGTCGATCTTGCCAACAGCCCGGCTCTCAGAGCTAGTCGCAAAGTTGACCCATTGGGGTTAAGAACGATCGGTGTTGTCACCAAAATGGACTTGGTCTCTCCTGAAGAGGGTGCCGCCATTCTGGGAGGTAATCGCTATCCGTTACATTTGGGTTACGTAGGAGTCGTGACGAAGGCTATTGGGAAGAACAAATCTGAACGTACGGGTGAAGTGGTCAAACGAAGGGAGGACGACTTTTTTGGAGCTCATAAGGCCATCTATGGGTCAGGCTCACTCATGGTCGGAACCAGTACTTTACGGAAGAGGTTAATGGAGGTTCTGGAATCATCGATGGCATCGTCTCTCCATGGAATAACGAACGCTGTGCAACTTGAATTGGAGGAAGCTACCTATCAGTTCAAGGTACAGTATAACGATCGGAGAATAACAGCAGAGTCGTACGTGGCGGAGACGATGGATGTACTCAAAGCTCGTTTTCAAACTGCCAAGGCAGAATTTCGTAAACCAATCATCCGCGAAAAACTCAAGATGATGTTAGACGACAAGGTCATGGACGTTCTGGAACAACTGTATTGGCTGGATAAGCGCGCGAAAGAACTAGGTGATCTGGCCGTCGATTCGCGGGTCAAGGGTCCTGAAGACGTAGATTCTTACTGGAAGCATAAGTTGGATGCGGCTGGCAGCCTTTTGACGAAATCGGGAGTCGGGAGAGATTCCACGTTACTGGTAGCTGATGGGCTGCGAGCGATGATTGATTCTATAGCCTCGGGGGAACCGTTCACATACCATTCGCGCGCAGCCGAGCGGCTCATTTCATTCTCACATGATATTCTGCGGGACAGGATTGGTGTCGCTGCTGATCAAGTCGAGAATTGCATCAAACCCTACAAATATGAAGTGGAGGTGGAACCTCGGGAATGGGAGCTGGGAAGAGAGCGAGCAATAGGCTTATTCGAGAAAGAAATAGCCATGTGCGAAGGAAAGCTCAAGGATATCCGGAAGAAAGTTGGGGGAAGCAGACGATTGGGAGCCTTGGTTGGATATGTGCAAAATCTAGAAGAGAAGGAGAAAGAGCGCAAAGAAAGGAAACTCAGAGCAGTGACAGCTAACTCCAACGATGATGCTGCAGAGGAGTTTGAAGAACCTTTGGCAGAGTCTTACCGGTTTCCTGCGGCTCAAATTCTAGATGGTGAGTTTGTGCCTTCGAATTCAACCCGTTCAGTTATTTATTGTATTTAGCCAAGCATGCAATGCTCTACACTGATCGCATATCCATTCTCAAGCTTCGTACGGTGGCCCTTAGGTCCAAGCGATGTAAAGCAGGTCCAGATAACGACGTTTTCTGTCCGGAAGCTTTCCTGAACGTTGTAGCGGATAAGCTAGCGTACACATCAACCATGTTCCTCAATATCGAATTGCTGGACCAATTTTTCTATGAGGTAATTGTTTTTCTAGTTTCATTGTGTCGTCTGTACTCATCTGAATTTTTCAGTTTCCTCGTGAAATTGACTCTAGACTGTTGTATGATCTCGATAGGAAAGAAATTGTCGAATTTGCAAGAGAAAACCCGATCGTACGACGGCACCTAGATCTGCAAGATAGGAAAGACAAGTTGGAAGAGGTAAGATTCACAAAATTCTGATTGACCCGTCTGATGCGCGAATGGTTCCATCTCAGGTCATGAAGCAACTTAACAGCTTGTCGACCTTGCGCGCCGATCCACAACCCAAACCACGTCGCAATCGAGGACTATTTGGTGGCGTTTTCTGAAGTGCAGAAATTCCATTGCTTCGCATCATATTTCGTATTGGTCTTCACGCCTGTACATACTCTCCACTCACTCGTGTTTATGACCTTTTGCGGACATAGAGCATTTTAATCTAAGAATAATTAATACATGGTGGTAATACAAACATTTGGTTATGATACACTAATGTAAGGAAAGAGCGAACGGTATGTAGATAATAAGCAAAAAACGCATTCATAATACTTGAGAATGATCAATTAGGATGCCCCGTATTCGACTGACCACAGCTTCAGGGTATTTCCTTCACAGGGTATCAGCATGCAAGATATTCGGTGTTGTTAGGAGCCTACCTGGATTCCAACCTCTCTATTAAAGCTACTGCACGATCTCGAGTTCCAGAACCGAGTTCAGCCCGTACCATAGCTTCCCAGGTCGAAGGCTAATTCGGCATGTCAGAAAAATAACACAAAAAATCGATAAAAACCTCTACCTCTCGAAACACAGGCTCCATGGGATTAACAGATGGCATTTTGGAAGGCTCATGGGGCGCATGATTATGTAGCGCAGCGATACCTTCTGGTGGATCAACCAGGCTTTCAAACAGTTCCCTTGCACTTGCGATGTCTCCTACTGCGGCGAAGCCTTTGATCATCACATTGACGATGTACGCAGTCATATGAACTCCTACTTCGCTCATTTTGGTGACGAATTGAGGCATAAGATCGATGCGTCGGTGAGCGACGCAAACATTGGCAATAGCCTCGAAAACAAGTGCATCGATTACTGGTTTGCGAGGGTGATGGAAAACATAATCGTACGCGGCGAGGGCTTTGTCTAGGTCCTTGGCGACGCAACCGTACGCGTTGATCAAAGTGGCGAAATGAGTGCCTTGCAGTTCTACTCGGTGATTGTCAGTAAGCTCCTGGAATACTGCCTCCATTCGGGGTATATCGAGAGGCTCAAGAGCATATGCCTCCATGAGTAGCTGGAGGAGAGATTGATTAACTCAGCGGAGGTAAAATGACAGCAACTTACCTTGTACGTGTACGATGTGGGATGAACATTATACTTCAATAATTCATGATAGAAGAAAAGGGCTCTGTCTCTATTGGGCTTCGTCGTGGTGTAAAGCTGCATCATGGTATTGAACGGCGGAATCCTTGGTTTGAAATTGGGAACTGATACCATTTCCGCGTAGAGGGCCTCCGCTGACGCAGCATCACCCACTCTCGCACAAGCTCCAATCACAGCGCCATAAGTAATCGAAGAAGGGGCGATCCCCGACGCCTTCATGCGTGTAAATAAATCCAAGGCGGCGTCGGCTTTACGAGCCTTGGCCAGCTTAGAGATAATGTTGTTATAGAGATAATGATTGGGAACGACATGAAGCGATTGGGATTCGTTGAACAGCGCCATGGCATTGCTGGTGTCATCGGTCGTGTCCTTCACATTGAGGATCAATCCACCGTAAGCGTCAGCAGAGGGAGCACCGCCTTGTTCGAGGATACGCTGTCGGTGCACATGAGCTGCGTCGATCTCTCCGGCTTGCGCCATAGCGATGATCATACCATCCTCGAAGAGGAACCAGGCATCCGATTGCAATTGCTTGTTGGATTCCATAGATGCAAGGACTGATTGTGCCACGTTGTATATAACCTTAACCTTTTCGACATCTTTAGCTCGTCCAAAAACTTGACAAAGGCGCGAAAGCGTGTAAGGAGCAGGAACTTTTCCCTTCCCCAGGTTTCGGGTAAAGAAGTCCCACATAACCTCAGGACTTTCGAGTAAAACTCTGTCTGCCTTCCGGGTCACCTCTCTGTCAATGGTGAGCGGTTTTGGGGTCCCGCCATTTTTCAGTCCATATACTAAGTTTTGCGGTGTCGGACGGGAAAGATCATCAGAAGAAATCGACGGATTTGTAAGAGGAGTATCCGGTTCCGCCTCTGAGAAGTCATTATCAGAAATTGGAGAGAGAGCAATGGACGGAGATGGTGTAGCAGCTGCAGGTTCTGTTGTATCCAGGTAGGTCTTGAATACAGTTTCAAGGCCAAGCTCTCCAATTAAAGACTTCACTTGATAGGCCGACCGATCATACATGAGGGCGCTAAATACATGCTGTCTAACGTCGTGTTCTCCCAAGGGTTGACTGATATTGTACTTCTGTTGCACAAGGTCTTCCAAGAGAGGCACTAGTCCTGCAAAATTCGGCCGGTGGTGAGGCTCAACCATCTCCAACGTAGCTCCTGCAACGCAAAGCGCTTTCAGTTGCTTGTGCGAAAGCTCCATCTTGGTCATAGATTGTTCCCGAGCGTAGTAGTACTGCTGCATGAGATAGAGGTGAAGACGAGGATGAACTTCCATTCGAGATCGGTACATGAGATTGATGAGAGCAATTGCGTATCCAAAAGAAACCAAGCCACTTGAACATTTTTCCCAGTTTTGTGCAGCTGCTAGCTGAGCAAAGTGGGTGAGATGCGCGCGGAATCCGGGAGAAATAGACGTCTGTTGATTGAATAATGGCATTGCGAAGTCCATTGCGTGTGTAGGCAAACCTAAATCAAAATAGGCCTCCCAGATCCCGGCTACGTAGGTTGAAATGGGAGATTGTGAGAGGACTGTTGATTGAGCGACTGCGAGATGCTCAGAGCATTCCTTTAAGCATTCCCCTGATAACGCTTCCCCGCTAACAGCAGTTAGAAGAGAGCGAACCGCAGCCAGATTGGTTTGAGCAACGTAGCACCTATCGAGCAGCCTGATTTCGATACCATCCTGAGCAGAAAATTCTAACAATTTAGACCAGACCGCGTTCATTTCCGGGAGCGCGTCCGTTCTCTGAGATAGTGTTTCAAGAAGCACTCGGTACGCAAGAGCATCGGGACGTGAAGGCAGAGGAGAAGGATCGAAGGAAAAGCCAGGGGAAGAGGATTGTGTCACAAGGGTGTTGAACCAGGTCATCGCACTCTGATAGTCACCTATGTTGCTTGTGAGTAGAGAAAGACTTCGATAAAGAACTATAGTCATACCTGAATTACAGAACCCGGCTATGATTGTGGTGTACGTAGATGGAGCAGGAGAAGGTAGCTCAGGCCGAGTATCCGCATTAGCTTCCGACTGGCGAGGTTCCAACATTTCTTGCAAAAGTCCAACTGCCATATCAGGTTTACCACACTTGAAGTACGCCTCCATCATAACGTTCCAGATGCGAACAGCAGCACGGGAAGAAGGTTGAGACCCTGAGGAGCCCCATGCAATTCTACCGGCTGCTGATTGTTCTCGAAAATCGGCAAATACATCTTCTGCAGCATTGAGTTCGCCTACTCGAGCAAATGTTTGTATCATGGATTTGTAAAGGACGGCAGAGGGCTGCAAGGAATGTTGTTCGACGATCTCCCAGACCATAATGGCAATATCGACAGCACCATAGTGGGCACAGCAGCTCAAAAGGCTACTGAATAACTGTATTTGGAGATGTTCCTTGTGAGGCATAGTACGAAGAATCTGGAAAAGAGACACTGCTGAAGCAAAATTGTTTTCCTTTTCTAGAGCATCTTTTCGGGCTTGATCTTCTGACGAAAGAGAATATTCTGCAGAGGGATTGAGGATCCTCTGGCTCTTCAGTTTCTGTTCAATACCGTTCAAGGCCCACACAACTTCATGATCGCGGTCGCAATGAGCCAAGATGAGGGTGATATGAGTACGAACGTTGGGATGAATGCCTAGACTGATCATAGAGTTATAAAGATCCTGAATATCCGCCAAGGGCGAACCTCGGGGGCGAGTATGATACAAAGCCTCCAGAGCAGCATTAAATTCGTAGATGGAAGGGTCGACCAATTTGGCAGCGAGAGCAGCACGAAAGTTGTTGACAGCGAGCAAAGCAACTTCATGATCACCAGATGAGCGCGCATGAACGAATGCGCGATAGTGGTCTGAGGATTGAGAAGTATGGGTGTTGTGTAGGTTGTCGGTCTGATTTACGATAGGCGGCAAAGTTTCAGGCACAGGAAGTGGAGGTGGCAACGTATCGATTGGAGGGGTGTCCGGACGGGTGACGCTCGCTGTCGAGTTTCGACGCGCCAAAGGAGGAGTAGAAGGAGCAGAATCAGCCAAATCAGGTACGATATCGTCCGTAGTCAATGCCTGAGTAAAAGCATGCTTCGAGCGAGCATGTAATTGAACGGTGGAAAGAACGCTCAATTTTTGTGCAGCTTCTTGTGGTGTGTATGACAGGCTGTGACTTCTATAGCGCCTAGCCTGTGGCTGACGAGGAGAAACATGCTTGATAGTGACAACTTCCTCAGAGTCATCACTTTGCGTATAGCTCGTATCATTGACAATGACTGGCTGAACCTGGGTCACTACCCGTGAAGCGCCCTATGAAACCGTGAGGACATGCTCAGAAAACACATTTTATCATACACTCACAAGGTAGCCATGGGTGAATCGGCTGCCCTTCGATCCACCACTAGCTTGGTCGAAAAAGTTATAGAGGGGCTTACTCGAACCTTTGTTTTGCTGGAAATAGTTGCTGCCCGGTGAACTAGTTTTAGAGGACGATGAAGGAGAAGGCTGGAGATGGAGGGCATTTCGAATTGTTGGATTTTGTCCAAAGGTAGTTACGACACGCGAAGTAACATATGCAACTTTTGGCAGGGGCAGCATTTCGCTGCTACAAAGTGGACTGGAATTCCAGACGGCGGTCGAGATCAACGTCCGGCTTAGGATTTTTTAATGAATGACTCGTTACTCGAGCCGTACCGACGCGTCACGGCAGCCGGACAGGACCGGAAAGTCACTATTACTCAGCTCCTAGTATACCCGAAAGTACGCCACACTGCGCCACTTTGCAAAGGAAGAAAACCAAGTGGATAAAGAGTTGGGTGTTTAATTGATGTCCTGTAATCTTAGAGAATATATACTACTATTATCGACTCCATTCCACGACGAATTGTCTGATCTTATCCACCATTTCCTCCTTCTCAGCTGTTTGTCCAAAAGCCTCCACAAACCTGCCTTCAGGATCCATCAAATACACAAATATTGAATGGTCCACTAGATAATCTCCCTTGGGATCTGCATCTGGGGGTGTTGAAAAGTATACACGATATGCCTTGCACACAGATTTTGTTTGTTCAAAATTTCCAACAAGACCAACGAAGGAAGGGTGAAAATCTGTCAGGTAAGTACGAATAGTCGAAGGAGTATCCCTCGCAGGATCGACAGAAATGAAAACAGGTTGTAGCGGAAGATCAGGGTTTGATTGACCTAGAGGGACACCATAAAGCTTTACACTAGGACATGGACAATAAAGACCTACGTAGTTCATTGACAACGGCAGTAACTTTATCCAGTTCTGCAGGACAAATATCTGGACAGTTGGTAAAGCCGAAATAAACCAAGGACCATTTTCGGAGCAGGTCTTCATGTGTAAATCGCTCTTCGGAGGAAGACGGGGCGGCGGTGCAGTTGACCAATGAGAAGGGGCCGCCAACATGCGGACGACCATATGATTTTGACATTCTTTCTTTTTCTAATGACACGAATTAGGTCAGTCAAAATCCAGGGACAAGCACATACCGCGTTGCTCCTGGAGTTTTGCTTTTTCATTACGGAAATACCAGAAGAGACCTACACCGACAACGACAAATATAGCAGCCGATGTTGGAGTGAATGCCTAGAAGAAAATTAAGCCCATAGGACGAAAAAGGGATGGAATACTCTGACCCCAATGACATTGCGCTGAGGTCGACTGGGCTCAGAGGACGGTCGAGAAGGTTGAGAAGGTTCTGGAGACGTTCCGACGTGTCGCTTCCATAATTGAGCTCCAGTGAGATGTTTTTGAGGCCGTACGAGGCATCTACCAGTTGAAAAGGGCCTGGTAGTAATAGGACGGAGGAAATGATTCAAAGAAAGCATTGGAGGTCACACAAGTCACGGTTATATTGTAACTTCAAGTGCAATAAGCCTATATATAAGCGTATATATGTATCAGTATGTATCGCTTTGACTACTTTGAACTACGATGACCCCAACCATTGTACAATTTACGCCTCTTCCGTCGCTAACACATCCTTCCTTTTGGCACAAACTGACCGAACATAAGCTGGATGTACTCAAGCTCAGCGACGCTGGTGTCGATATCACTGCAACTTACCGCGTTGGTAGGCTGATTGAAGATCGCGAAGGTGGTCCCGGTGCATTTGTTGGTGTTGGAGGGAGTCTTGGAGTTGAGGAAGAGAGCTTTGGTCAAGGGCATTCGTCGTACGAAACATCTTTAGTATACGCCTCAATCGCTCACTCCATATCAGTCCTGCAATAGGCTCAGCAGTTGCGAAAGGTGTCGTAAAGAACTATAACACTATTGAGGATTTCAAGGCTGCGGACAAGTCGAAATTATTCAACGAAGCAGCGGACAAGGTACTTCCGATGTGTTTTTCCAATACCAGATGCTCGAATTATCCATCAGATCTGGACATCGATCCAAACAGCGCGTTCTACTACACTGCTTAATTCGTTTCTCCTCATTACCTATGCCGATCTGAAGAAATATAGGTATTACTACTGGTTTGCTTTTCCAGCCTTTACTAGTACCCCTGCTTGGCATATCGACGCGAATCTAGGTTGGATCAGCGCAGGAACAGCTGAATCAACGTATTCCAAGGAGCAGATGAAGGTCATCTATGATCAACTGCATTCACTGGAGCAACAATCCGCGTACTTCCTCATAAGATCGTCTGGCTCCAATGAGATCAACGTCGTTGCAATCGAAGACTACAGTCCCGACACAGACACAATTGAGACTACCACAATTGGCTTCATAGATCCATCAGCACAACCTCAGAACCCTGGGTGGCCTCTTCGTAACCTCCTTGCCTATTTCAGAGCTCTCTATCCGCAGTCCACTTCCAAGTTAAGAATACTCTCCTGGAGAGACGCGGAATTCCCAAGAGGTGAAGAAGGGTGGAAGAGTCGAGTCGGAGTAATCTTTATAGGGCCTGATGGCGTGTCAACCGAAGAAAGCGATGCAAAAACGCGTCCAAATGCTGTAGGATGGGAGAAGAATGTACAAGGAAAGTTAGGCCCTAGGATGGCGGACCTCGCTCCCATGATGGATCCTGTCAGGTATGGCATTCCCCTACCGCACTTACTTCCCCCTTCTAATCTTGCGTTTAGGCTGGCGAACCAAGCGGTGGATCTTAATCTGAAACTCATGCGATGGAGGATCCTCCCAGAGCTAAATTTGGAAAAGATTTCAGAGACAAAATGCTTGCTCCTGGGCGCAGGCACGCTGGGGTGTTATGTTGCAAGATGTCTGATGGTAAATCCTACTTCGCACTTATCTCTGGTTCTCATTTTCAACGGCTCTATACAGGGATGGGGTGTGCGCACTATAACATTTGTCGACTCTTCGAAGGTTTCGTTCTCGAACCCAGTTAGACAACCACTATTCAAGTTTGAGGATTGTCTGAACGGAGGGAAGCCAAAGGCTGAATGCGCAGCGGAACGGTTGAAGGAGGTCTGGCCCGGGATCGTAAGTTGTCCCATTCCGATCCGACGGAATATTCATAACACCTGAGAGTCGTAGAACACTACAGGGTATACGTTATCCATTCCAATGCCTGGACATCCAATTCCTGCCTCGCCACCGTCAGTGCTAGAGCAGACAAAGAAAGATGTTGCCAAGTTGGAGGAGCTCATCGAAAGTCACGATGCTGTGTATCTGTTAATGGATTCGAGGGAGAGTCGTTGGCTTCCTACTGTGATTGCCCGAGCGAAGGACAAGGTGAGCGCAGGCTCTGATGATCGTCCCAGAAGTCTATTTCTATGAGTGCGTCGTATAGCTTGTCATGAATGCCGCTCTGGGATTCGATACTTTCTTGGTAATGCGACATGGAGCTCGACCTGAATCAGGCAGCGTTGATCAGAAAGATGAAATGGGAGGTTCCAAGAAACATCTGGGATGTTATTACTGCAACGATATTGTTGCACCCGCAGATGTACAGTCAAATTTTCGAAGCCTGAGGCCCATAAACTTACTGCCCTCTTCTTCCTTCTAGTCGTTGACTGATAGAACATTGGATCAAATGTGCACTGTGACTCGTCCAGGCTTAGCTTCGATGGCAGCATCGACGGCTGTGGAATTAATGATGAGTGTGCTACAACATCCCCAAGGGTGCGTATACTCGCATATTCTCTCGTATCAACTTCCTGAGGCATCAGTAATTCAGTATCCGTGCCCCAGCCCCTCATCCTTCATCAGCCAATGCTACAGATAACCAATTCGATGAGCACGGAGAAGGTACAAGTGTTCTAGGACTGGTACCCCATCAATTGAGAGGTTATCTTGCGCAATTCCGAAATTTACACATCGTAGGGGCGGCTTACGACAGGTGTACAGGGTGTAGCGAAACGGTAGGTGTTTCCAATCGTGTGAGCTGGTTAGCACATAGTGATTGACTATGTCTAGGTGCTCAAAGCATATGAATCCCAAGGATTTGACATGATGATGAACGCGTTTAATGACTCCAAATATCTCGAGAGGTTAACAGGTTTAGACAAGCTTTACGAAGACGGGGAAAAGGCACTTGAAGATGTAGAATGGATCGAAGGTGATGATGAGGACGATTTCTGAACGATGTTGTACTTTTACGGATACGTATTGAGAGCGAGAACCAGCAATCCAAGCCAGAGTTCGATTGCCAGGCGAGAATATACATATATGTATTATAGCCCAACTACAGAAACAGACTGTTCATTCTGATTCTGTAAAAATGCTCAATTTTGACTGCCGTTGGCATGATTATAACGACTTACTCTAATGGCTGAGATATTTCCGCCCTTTGGAAAGCCTTCTACTCAAAATGCGTCTACCACCCTTGCTTCGTTTTCTCGCAAGAAATCCATGCCTCCGCTTCCGCTTTCTCTGAGACGGTTGATACTCCGCGCCAAACGAACGATAGCGAACCTGCTGCAGTGATGTGATGCTTGGTGTCACGGCCGCCAAAGGGGATCGAAGGCAAGTATATGAAGTAGGAAAGTTTGTTCTGGATAAAGGTGACAGCAGGGAGAACGGTAGCCGCGTTGGTTGACGAAAAAATGAAGTAACAGCCAGCGACTGCTTATCGACGACCGCAGTCTTCAGGACTGTCGATGCATTAGACGCGTATAGAGGTCGAGAAAGTGACCGGACAAGAGCAGTAGGAATTCGAGGCATTCGATGGTCAAGTTCACTGGAAAAGACCTTACGTTAGCTTAGGACATAAAATATCGGCGCTTATTTTACAGGTATCACCCTGGTATCACCGCTCGAGGAATTTAACACGCTCGAGGTTGGTATCATAGCTGCTATATTGACCACCTCATAGATTCGAGCCTACAGAACTGGTGTACTAAAGCAGTTTTATCATCGTCATCATTTATTGCAACCACCAGTTTTGTATTTAAATAATTTACAGCAAATCTCCAAGAGCGGCCATTTCAGGACCCCCAGATTCCCTCATACCGATTTCCCAGTCTAAACAGGCATCAGAAACATGAGACTTTTGAACAACGAAAGATCCACTTACAACTATAGATTATAGTGACGGCCATGAGAATACCTGTTCCGCTACCGATAGCGCCCATTAAGTCTGCAGCCACAGACAACAGCCCAAGAATTGCACCGCCAAAAGCAGCGGCAGTAGGTATCACACGTTTGAGTTCCTTGTACATCGATCCTTCTCGATGTCCGGCCATGACCTGAAAAAGAGAATAAGCAAATTCTTCAACCGCAACACTGGAGTCTTCTTTCACCATTTGTTGATCCTTGAGTTGTTTAGCTACATCTCTTGGTCCACTGCCTGAAACTTCAATCCAGGTTTTACTGAAGAGGGCGCACGCAGACAGCATGAATGTGATATAGATGCCAGTATGGATAGGATCTACAATTGCCTCGCGAATGGTGTGAGGAGGTGACATGTAATATGCAATACCAGAAGTGGCGACCAACTGGGGGGAATCTTCCATAGGCTACCATACAAGTCAGAGAGGAAAACATGATTAGTGGATGATGTACTTACCTCCCATACACCGAGTAACCTAACAAGGAAGTTGCTGGGGAATCGAGTGGCAAGCATTTGACTGACAATGAAAACGTTACTAGTCAAGGCACTCTCAAGCATGATAGGCATATTGCTTGTGTAGAAAAGTTTCACGGGGTAGCTCCCTCGTTGTCCGCGGAACCTGTTGCTCTTGACAGGTATTTCAATTCGGAAACCCTGGAGGTAGATAACGACAGCAAAGATGATCACTGTAGCAATGAGGTTCATAACATTGGGAAGACGATCCCTCCAGAAAGCCTCACGCAGGGCACGGCCCTTGTCATTCCAAGTGAAGAGTAGATGGAAAAGCGCGACAATAGCACCCTCGAATTCTGGGCCTCGACCAGTGTTGATTGTAGTAGGCGAAAAAGCCTTCCACACGATAGATTCACAGATGTTGGTGGCAATGAAGAGGGAGATACCGGATCCGAGACCGTAGCCTTTCTGCAAAAGCTCATCGAGGAGAATAACAATGAGAGCAGCTGAAACCAGCTGAATTATCAACAGGAGACAGACTCCCGCTCCTAATTCACTGGGTAGACCGTAAAGACCAGTGAGGACGTATACCGTAGCTTGACCAAGTGAGATAATGAGAGCAAAGACTGGTAGATGAATGACCTTCGTTAGAGTGTGATTTCCCATGGAATGAAACGGGACTGACGCTTCTGAGCACCGCTGAACAATGCCCTATCCTCCTTCAAACTGAAGTCGACCTCAATCAAATTTGCGCCAGCGAGAAGTTGCATAATCATTCCAGAAGTGACGATTGGACTGATACCAAGTTCCATGAGAGTACCCCGATTAGACGCCAAAATGACACGCATCCAGTAAAGAGGATCAGACGAGTCAGAGGACATAATGCCATAGAGAGGAACTTGAGAGCAGACAAGGAAAATAAGGAGAGTAACTGCCGTCCATAGGACTTTTTGATTAAATGGGACCTGAAGTGGACAAAATAAGAAAGTTTTCGAGCGACAGCAAGAAATGTAATACCTTTCTATCCGGCGAAGAGACCTCTGGTAAAATAGGAAGGAACGGCCGAACAAGATTCAAAAACCGAACTACAAGAGAATGGTCAGCTATGGAGATACTAAATAAGAGTTAGTTCAGGACATACAGCCGCTCATATTTTGTGGTGGAAGTTGACGATGAAAGGTGAATTACGGACACGAATGCCTTAGACGTGGCACAGCGATCACGCGTTCTGGGACTACTGGATACGTAATGAAGTATTATAAGCGATCACGTGGTATTTTACCAACTTCCGACACAATTCCAGTCAAACTCACACCATGTCCCGCTCGTTGATGGACAACCTCGCCTCGATTCGTACAGACATCTCTCTGACAGAGACAGAAGACTCTTGGGAGAAAATATGCAGGGGTATCGTCTCATTCTCAGAATTCATTCGCGCTTCATCCACGAACGGCACTCACGAGATCATCACGAAAGCCCGCGAGCTGCATAGACCTATCATCAATGCTATGAAGTCGGAAAGGACAAGGCTCTCTGGGCCAGCTATTGATCTTATCTCTACTCTGGCGTCAGAACTGGGCACCGACTTTGAACCACTTCTTCATCTCTTCTTTCCAACTCTACTTCTACTTTGCGCTCGTACGAGCAAAGTAGTTGTTGGTCGTGCACGCAGCTGTATTCTGTGCATCATTGAGACAACTCAACTGGTCACAGTCATTCCATACTTCATCCAAGCCATCCGCGACAAATCCGTCTCCCTTAGAACAGTCGCAGCAGAGAGCACACTGGCGTGTTTGAACTCTCTAAACCCGCCGGACTTGGAAAAAGAGGAAAGGACGAAGGATATAGAGGCCTTCATTAAGATGTCGGTCAGGGATGCCAATGCTGAAGTCCGGAAGATTGGCAAGCAGATATATCAAGCATACGAGTTGTTGCTCCCAAACAAGGCAGAAAGGTTCGTTGGAATTTGTACTCTAGAGATGCTTCGATTTCTTATCATGCCTACCTAGCTTTATAGCCCCTCTAACGCCAACAAGCAAGAAATATCTCGGGCTGAGCTCTAGACCGAAGTCTGCGATAGAGCTTGGCGGGGTTTCAGGTCCTCCACCTCACTTGTCATCCTCTTCCTCTTCGCGCGTCCCGGACTCCAAACCACAGGCTCCAAAGCTTGTGAAGAAAGCATCACAAGCCAGCCTTCCCTCTAGTGTTTCGTCTCGCACTCAACCTGGTCCCCACGTACAACGAGGGATTGCTAATTCCACGTCTCGGTCGAGGCCTCACAGTGCAATGGACCTACACGCGGGGCCTACCAGAGAAGATACTCATTTAGCTCATTTGTCTCAGAATAATCCCGTCCGGCCCAATCTACCACTATCTCGCTCTGAATCAGCCGCGACTAGCAATGGTCATTTCCGCTCTACTTCAACAACCCTGCTCGCTCATAATACTTCATGTAAACCAACAAACGTGTCAGCTGCTCCACAACGCGTTCTTGTAGCTCCCGTTCCAAATGTCCCCGCCCCTTCTTTCAAGTCTACCAGCGGTCCAGTACGCGTGGATCCACGAGCTGTGCGCGATCACAACCCCCCTGGCTCAAAAAAGCCAGCGTTGAGCTCTGATGAATCCGCTGTTACTGCCAAGAAGCCTGACGTTGAAAGCGTACAAGATAAAGTGGAATCAAAGAAAACCGAGCTTCCCAAATTGGTCAGGGAGTCGAAGGAAGAGTCCAGAAAGGAGGGTTCAAATTCTCTGACCAACAAGCGCTCGCTCAGGTCACTCAACAAAATACAGCAGCCACCTCACGGTAAAAATGGTCAGAATTCCAGAGATGCGGTGAAGACGAGTACTAGCTCTGTTACAACCGCATCCACTTCCAAAATCCCCTCAGTGTCATCCCAGACCAAGAATGCTCCACATTATACCCAACCTGTGGCCTCCTCCAGAGCGCGTACCGTCTCTGCATCAACATCCGTCAGTGTAGCCGCACGCGCCCCCTTTCCTCGTACCAGGGCCATTTCCTCATCAGCCTCTACCAGCTCTCTCGATGTATCTGCCAAAACGAGACCACCTGCTGTGCGGGCTAGAACCGCTTCGAGTACTGCTGCGTCCACTTCCGCAGCGACAGTAGCAGTTGCTCGCTCCGGAGAGACAACAACATCTAATTCCATAGATGCCAACTCTTCTCGTTCTGCTACTTCGTCCAAAACCTTGTCGAAGCCGGTATGGGGCAGTTCCTCTGGCACTCGCTCAGTCGTGCCAGTGCCTGGCAAACGGGTAGCAAGAACCGACGTCCCCAAACCTAGCATAACAGGCGGAAAGAGGAGCGGGAAGCAGAAGCGACCTTCGGTAGTTCCTGAAGAATTGGACGAGGTGGCAACTCCCCATGACGATGAAGACGAGGTGGTGGCTCCCCATGATGATGAGAATGATTTCAAATCGGCCGACACGTCGATCACAGAAGGGGAAGGTGTCGAAGAAACTGCCTCTGTAATAGTCCAAACAAATGAACTCGATGCAGAATCTCTAGAAGGAGAAGACAAAAGCTCGGAGCTTTCATTGAACACAAGAACGGGAGCCCGTGAGTCGGAATCACCTCTGATTGACTTCAGTGTGATGCAAGAAGGAGAGTCGACTACGCGAAGTGCTCTTGTCACTCCAGAGAATGAGGGTGTAGGATCTGCAGCTCTTGTAACGCATGTTACGAATCAGACCCCTGGCCTTACCCAAGCGGGTGCGCCTAATCAGGACAGGACAACCAGTCCTCTCCCCGTCAAAGTTACGGTCACTCCTAGTTCCTCATTACTTCTAGAGACTCCGGTTCGCGTGCATGATCTTACAACCCCGATGGGAGTTCAGGCCACACCGATCTCCGCATTACTTTCTTCTATTCAGCGTGGTTTTCTGTTTACGCCTGCGACCCCATTGTCTCCTCCCGACTCTTATCTTCCCAAAGAGGTCGGTGGATTGCCTACCATCCCTTTTCCTTTATTCTCAAATATAAATACTCGAACAAAGGAGGACGTAGAACGCGAGCACAGTAGCTTAGATTGGAAAGGGAGACAGGCTTTGGAAACAATGGACATGAATTGAAAGTACTTTCAAGGTATTGCGACGAATGATCTCGGGTGGAATTATGTAGCGAATCTTAGTTTGACCATACTCCATGCAATAGAGTTCATAAATCGTTCATGAATTGCAAACTCGTGTCCTCAGACAAATTTGGGTAATATAACGTAGGAGAATAAGGCAGTTACAGACTAATGTACTCGAGTCCTAGTTCAAGCTGACAACGGTTTGCTATCTTTCTGAGCTACAGAAGGGCTTCAGGAAGGATACTGTGATATTTTAAGTAATGCGCACCCATTGTAATTCTGTCCCCTAGTGATAAAGCTATTCCCTGCGTCTTACTGCGAATTCTGATGTGGCCAGTAACTGTTCCAGCCTCCGTTCGCTCGATACTTAGATTTGCCAACGCATCTTCACCTAATAAGAATGGAAAGCAATGAGACAACCAATTTTCGAAAAAGAAAAGGAGCTTACCGAACAGACTTCTTGCGTACATATTGGCCGACAAGAAATCACAATCTCCCGATAGTGCACCCTCTGGCGTCAAACATGACATGTTTGTGGATTTCATGACATGCTTAAGATACTCTCGGGGATCACTTGTCGGGTGTTAGCATTCTTCTGGTATCTAAGTTCTAAATCCCAACTCACGAAACAGAGCTGTTTACATTGACGCGATTTTCCCATTCAAACTCTGTCCACATACTCCGGAACTAAATAAGAGAGCCATGAATTCCAGTCACACAGATATATTTAGAACGTACCTGCGCCTCGTTACAGTATGCCGGTTTTATGTAGTCCATAATGTCGATGTGAATGTCGTTCAGGATGACGCATGCCTCAGACATGTTAGGGCCTTCCCAAAGAATGCTTCCGAAGATGACACCAGTTTCTGTAGAAGACACTTTGATTGTAGCTTTGATGCTCTGGAATCCATGGGGAGCGATCGTGTACACTGAAGGCCGTTCAACGATCTTAAGGTCGCCAAGGGTAGCAAAATCTAAGCAAAGATTTTGTAGTGTATTGGCCGTTTGATTCACAAGAAGGACATCTGCAAAGAGTACGGTGAGTTGAAATAAGAAGCTCTCGATTGAGGAACTCACCTAGCATTATATCGAAACCATGCATTTTCACGTAGGTTTCTACGTAAATCGGATCAGAGAAGCCAGTAAGCTGCGATATCCTGCTAAGATTAGAAATAAAGTCTTCGCGGACGTCGGTCGCGCCCGTCGCTCTGCCTAGGTCTTCTTCGTACTAGAGAATAACAATCGTTTTAGATATCAATGAAAGTAAACGAGAAATTCTTACATCGAGCTCCTGATCTGCACCTTTCTTCGAAAATTGTCTGAAGCTCAAGAGATCATCAACTTGAACGGCAGAAGTTTTGCGCGACGTTTCGGCTTCACGCTTTTCAGCAGCACGTTTCTGATAATTCGAAGGATGAGAGAGCTATTTTGTCATCAACAGGAAAAAATATTCTGACCTCCTGTGCACTGATCATCCTTTGGAATGCCTTTTTGGTATCTCTCAAGAATATCTCCTTCACGATTGCCTCCTCATCATCGGTATCAACTTTCGCCCCTCCGCTAAGTTCGCTCAACGTTTGGATACAGTTCATAATTCGCTCGGTGGAATCTTCGTCGATTTGTACCAAAGGAGCGCCTAGAGCAGGGGATGATTTGGCATGACCCACGCGAATAATGGATGTCATGATGAGCATTGCCTATAGAGGTATTTAACTCGAAACATTCAACTGGCAAGGATAATTAAATACCTGGGCTCGTAAGGTATTAGAGTCTGCTTGTTCAGAAGAAAGGCCATCGAATCGCAACACCAATTTGGTCAAAGTGACCGCGAGCACGGTACCCGTGAAGAAGTCACCTCCAAGGATCAAAGCTGTATAAGATGTTAGCGTTAGCAAGTGCAACATACATCAATACGCACTGCGTAACGGTGGTCGACTTTTCTCATTACGAAGCCCTGATGAACCGGCAGCAGTATATGCAGTTTCTGTAGCGTAAGTTCCATCTGCAAGCAGTTTGGGCTTTCCAGCTCCAACTTCTTTGACAAGAGTCTTCTCTTCTGTGGCATTCTCCTCCTGTGCCGACTCGACATAGATTGGGATCTCTCCGATACATGTCCGTATACCTTCTACACATTGTCTGATAGCCTCCGCCGCCTCGCTTGCAGAAGCATAAGACTCTTGAATGCCAACGAATTCACCTAGAATCCACAACACTCCACGGAAAACCTTTCCAGATTTGATATCGGAAAGGTTAGCGACAAGTCGATCGAAAATTCCGGAACGGAGATGGGGAAATTTGTCAACAACTTCGCGAATGAAAGCAATAACATCTAATGCAGTAGAGGCTGTAGCGGCGTTCGAGGCTGTGTTTTCTTAATGAGATGTTTCATTAACCACAAAAAATGCATACGTACTCGATGAGGAGCTAGTAGAATCTCCCAAGAACTCCATCAAAGCTAAAACAACACTTGCAGCGACTTCGGAAAACTTGATAGCGGTGACATGGATGGACTGGATGAGGAGCTGACGATATTCGGATGCCTAAACTATAGATCAGTTTGGGAAATGATAACAGAATCAAAATTCAAGATAAACAGACCTTGTCGAACTCTGCGGCCTTTTCTTGTGTCCTCAACAGCTGCTTTTTGAGGAACAAGGCGACCTCCTCCACGTTGCGACTGGAAGTCATACTAAGAACGATGTTCATGGCCTTTCGGCGTACATCCATGTCTGAACTGCAGGGCACTCAGTAGATATCAAAGGCACTGTATGATTTGACATACTTCCCGAGAATTTGAAGTACATCCATTATGAGACCGTCAAGAATATGTTCATGTTTGGCACGAAGAGCCTCGAGTCGATCGAGAACAATGAGCTTCACATTATTGTCAGATTCCTTGATAATCAAAGATATGAGAGTAGAAGCAGAAGCTTCAATGGAGAGGCATTAGTGATTAACGTGATGAGAACGAGCCCATGCCAGATAACATACCTTTCACTGCAGCGGGGTTTTGAGTAAGTAATGTCAACGTGGTTGCTGCCTCATACTTTACAGCATGGGAAGAAACATTGAGCAATTCGAAAATGAGCCTGATATATCGGGCACGGTGCGTGGAATCATTTTTGCAATCCAACCTCACCACCTCAATGACACTCATCTGCAATCCTTCGTCCAGAGTAGGTATGTTCTCATGATTGCTCAAAACCCAATCAACAGCTTTGGGGAGATCGCAATGAGCAAGGAAGATAAATGCGTTGCGTTTGCAGGTAGAGTCGCTTTCAGCAGCAAGAAACGTGCTCATGAGCTCAGAAGCATCGGGAATGAGGTTCTCGAATTCACGATAGATTGAAAAGAGGGCGAAGACGGCATTCTTGCGCACATATGAATGTCGGTGTTCGAGGCATGCTCGACACGTCGGAATAAGAGGTTCGAGTAATTCACTCTCATTTGCGATTTTCTGTAGAAAGCGCAAAGTCGCTCCACGAATATATTCGTTGGGGTGTTGCTAAACAAGAGTATCAATGAGAAGGGAAACATGAGAACGAGTAATTTCCGCACCAGATCGTTTCGTATCGCATTTCTGTACAGATTTTTCTCTGAAGTAAGTAAGCAGCCAGAAAGTCGACAGACATAGAACATACACAACAAGAATCATCTCCTGCTTTAGCTTCCCATTCTCGTCGTACTTTGGACAAACTTCCCAGTAGAAATGGAGAAGCTTCTTCAGTTGTTTGTTGCGTGAGGGCATCACAAATTGGATGATTGGCATCATGAGGGAGGGCTGTGAATTCCCGTTCCAGTTAGCATTCGCAGTAGAATTGTCGGGTGTTGTGCACCTGTGGGTTTCCATTGATAGTGGAAACAACAATTTTGCGAAGTGCTTCCAACTTGACATCGTCGGAACCTTTCTCTAGAGCAGTTCTCAGTTCTGCGGCAGAAGGATACTCAGCGCTTGATTCAAAGATGACAGTGTAGCATGGTTGATCGGTAGCCATTGTCGATGGGAGGTCAAATCTCAGAGCTGGGTCGGAGGGAGTACGGAAAGCAGATACAGATTAACGCGACCCCATCGCGACGTGTCGTGAAACATGCCGATCTCTGCCGAGGTTTTCGCCGCTTAAAATTCTATTTGAAAAATGCGTTAACCACTGATACTTCTACCATTCTCTTTGAAAGCTTGTTTATTCCCGTATGTCATTGGGTCATGTACTAAGACGCAGGGAGTTACTAGATAAGTAGCTGCACTAGGTTCTGTGTGATGGATGTGTGTTCAACAGCTTGGTCAAGTTTCGGCGAAGCTAACTTCTTAGCGGGTCGATAGAGGCACTTCTGTGAGGTTCTACACTCACTAAGACACTCGAGGCCAATGCCTTCAGAAGGGTAAGTGCTCAATCCATATGATATAAAAAATAATGCCAGGTGGCCCTAGGGCGTCGTCGATGATCTCATCCCACTTGTCTGCTTACTTTCACTAGTAGTAATACTGACTACAGCGAATAGATGAAAAACCACAATTCAGTGACGATCACAGAACTCGAAGTACAAATAATACGTGGATACTGCAAAACAACACACAAGTACAAACCAGTTCTAGAAGGTTCAAGTCACACTTGGCAAATACATGAATGCGTAGTATTAGATTTCACTCTCCCCTTCGAAAGGACCAGACCGTGCGTTTGCCAAACTCTGCACACTAACCTTTGGATTTTCCCATATAGCTCGTATCGCCTCGTTCCGAGCGAGACAAGCTGCGGTCCCCTTGATTACTCTTGTTTTTTCGCCAGTCTGGCGCGCTTGCCTGACGAGTGAAGATGTACGAGTTAGACGTATGCTCTCGAATTCCTCAAATGCGTCCTTGAGAACCCCCGTGGATGGCTCCCCAACGGAAGGGCTGTATTTCAAAAGTACTCGAACGAGATGGTAGACATCTTCGAGGGCTTGATTAGCACCTTGACCAAGATGCTGGAAGAATCATTGTCAGCGTATACCTGAATTATAAAGAGACATGAAGGTCGCGAACATACTGGACTGGTAGGATGGGCCGCGTCTCCGATAAGAATCACCCTTCCCTTGTGCCATGTTTTCAGTTCCGGTCGATCATACAGGCCATACTTCGAGAGGGCAATAATGATTTTCCCGTCGGTGCGAAAGAATAAAAACTCCAAGTACCTTGATCATTTTCTTAGCGGTCTGTACCAGTTCGCCAGCACCAAAGCCCCATTTGGAGACGGGATCTTTCTTCAGTTCTTCAAGGATAGAATCGTCCACAGCTCGCCAGGTCTCTTTGTGCTCAGCCTCTCGACGGGTTATTCTGTATCGAAGGTTATTCATCCTTCTTCTAAGTAAATGTATCTGCACTTACGCCCAGGAATTCAAGTCGGGACCAATTTGATAACTAATCATGTGGGTCTCTTCTCCAAAGTAGTTGACCATGGCATTCTTATGGCTCCAAGATTTTGGTGAAGGGCTAAACCCACCTAACTAATCCCAACGATCAGCACGAAAGATCTGGAAATTTTTATCGACCTTCACCTGAGTAAGGCCAGTGTAAGAAGCCTCTTCTTTACCAAAGAGACTGATTCGTGTGTTACTGTGTATGCCATCGCATCCGACTACAAAACTGGCAGTATCAGTTGTGCCGTTTTCGAACTTTACGTGGACAATATCTGCTTCTTGTTGGACATCAACAACCTTATGTTCGTAGTGGATCTCTACACCCGCTTTGGTGGCAGTCCCTGAGAGGACATGTAAGAAGTCATGTCTTCGAATTCCCATCCCAACACTGTTGACTGAATTATTCATGGTCCCTACCGTGTCCAACGGGGTTTCCAGAGTATACTCTCCGAGCAATTCTTCATGACCAGGTACGGTAGAGTAAAAGGCCATATGATTTTCGACTTGACCTGGAAGCTGTTCCAAAAGACCTGGGATGAGGGCAAGTACCCGAAGACCGTTGGACTGGAGCCTGTTATAATTAGTTCAATGGTCGATGTAGTGCAATCAGGTAGAAACGAAACACTGCAAATACTTACATGAGACTAATTCCACCGTCAGAGTCTCTTTTAATTCGCTCGTATACTACAGGGCGAAAGCCTTTGGATTTGAGGATACATGCAAGGACTGGGCCAGCCACGCCGCAGCCGACAATAATAACTTTGGTTGGACTGGAAGCCATGGTTACTGGGAGAGAGTGGGGCTGGGCTAAAGTAGGTAAAATCGATGATTGGTACTTTATACATACTGGGACACGGAAAACAGACCGTTTTCAGTACCTATGTATACGGAACGGTCTCGTCAAGGAATTCCTTAGTGGGACCGAAGTTCAACATCTATACTTCCCTACACAGTCACGGTGTAAACTTGAGGTCGTAACATCTACATAGGCGCGGCCTTGCCTTGTATGACTTCTTGTTCAGGTCTCTTCAAGGCATGGGCAAGTCAAATGCTCGTGAACGATCTGAGTTCTGTCCAGCTTCGGTTTGTTGACGACTTCGGGCTTTCTCGGAGTCGAAGCTTGATCACCGCGTGGTCGTGCTGATCGGGGCAATGTCATGTGAGATTACAAATTCATTCAAATCGATACAAACATGACCTCGGCTTGCCCAGAATCCTCTTGATCAATTCAATCAGTACAAAAAATGAAGAGTCGTACGGTTCGTGCTCATCGAACGACAGGAATATTCACCAAGTATTTAACCCACATCTTTTCTGTGTCAACTTTCTGTGCACGCTCTCCTTCGACTATTGAAACTTATGGCTTTTAACTCAACTGCCAGTAGTTTCGACGCGCTTTACCCAGGAACGGATCTGTCTTCGCTAAATTGGGCAGAGCAGCAATGGGTGGCTTGGTACGTCTGGTGGGGCAATCCCGTTATAGCGACGGGAATGATTAGTTTTCTAATGCACGAAGTATGTAGTGCACGCGTAGTTCCAATTCACTTCAGCTAATGTGTATCACTCTATCTCTGCTCTCAGATAGTGTATTTTGGTCGGTCAATACCTTGGATGATCATCGATGCTATTCCGTACTTCAGACGATGGAAGCTCCAACCAAACAAAATACCTAGTCCTGAAGAGCAGTGGGAATGCATCAAGCAGGTTTTATGGGCACATATGACGGTCGAATTACCAACGGTGAGTTATGTTGGCTAATTTCACTATAGCAAGCCTGCTTAAACTACATAACAGATTTGGCTTTTCCATCCCATGGCTGAGGTTTTTGGGATGAAGACTTATCAAGTACCTTTTCCGACCTACTCGACCATGGCTTGGCAAATAATGTTCTTCATGTTCTTTGAGGATTTGTTTCATTGGACTGGTGAGTACCTACCTTGAATTTTCTATCTTCTATGATTTAATTTTTCTGTAGCTCATCGCGCCCTTCATGAACCGCATCTGTACAAACACATACACAAACTTCACCACAAGTACTCCGCTCCTTTTGGGTTAGCAGCGGAATACGCGCATCCAGCTGAGGTGTTCATTCTCGGAATGGGTACCCTTGCTGGCTCCCTTATTCTTTGCCTCTTCACCGAAGTCCATTTTGTGACATTCTTCTTATGGGTTATCATCAAGCTTTTTCAAGCGATCGACTCTCATTCTGGATATGGCAAGCAAATCTCTCAATCCTTCCAGCCTTGGATAACTGATTTATTTTCAGATTTCCCCTGGTCACTCAAACATTTCCTTCCATTCTGGGCTGGAGCAGACCATCACGACTTTCATCATATGGCTTTCACAGACAACTATGCTACATCGTTCAGATGGTGGGATTCAATTTTCGGGACCGACCACCAGTATCACGCTTATCGTGCTCGAGTAAAAGCTGCCAAAGCAAAGGCAGCGACTGCGGACGAATTCTACAAGGCTGAGCAGGAAATCAATGCTCAAATTCTTAGTGAGGGTTTACTGACGGAGGCAGCCCTTGAGGCCAAGGTTAAAAAGAATTGAATTCATTATATACTGGAATCTATGTACAGTATCAATCCCTAATCTACTCGTAGTCATTCTGTTGGATCTGAAAGTGGTGAATTCCTTCGTCACTTCAGGTCAGTCAACTACGATCCAACGTCATAACTTCATGACCCACAGGATAGTTTGATACAACCTGATAATTATACGTAGAACTCATGTCTCTAGGTTTGTGGCACTCGGAAGTATCGAGGAATAGATTCTGCCTTGGGGACTATGTCTGCTCATCCCGCCAGTCACTGTGTGTAGAAGTACATTCTATCTTAGACCTAAGATAGCATACATCACACCGAATCATCGATTCAGTCGATCGAATTGAGCTCATAGGAGCATTCGACGATCCGATGGCTTGCATTCAGCAAGAGTCCTGAGAATGAGAAATAGTTGACCATCAGTATCTTATGCGACTGCTCTTCGCCCTCTGGTAAATTCGTAGGCGAGAGTAGGCCAGGCGTCTGGCACAAGGCCAACAGATAGCGGAACCCCATACTCAAATTGAACCTCCCCCAATATTTCAACACACTCCTCGAGGAGTCTGCGATCATCCTCCGTATGCATCCGGTACTCCTCTTCCTCCCTTGTTCGTACGTCGCTTTCGGATCTAATGTCTACAATCCCATCCGCCTCCGAGTCGCTGTCAATCGAAATCGACGAGGACATAGACCGCAGACGTCTTCTCCGTCTATTGTTTGAGGGACTCGGCTCGAAGACAAGTACTCGAAGATTTTCCAAAGGTGCTGCAGGCGGAGTACATCGTGCCCGTGCTTCAACCATTGATCGGACGAAATATGCAGGAAGGCCAAGATCATGTTCGATAGTGAGAGAAGTGAGCTGGGAACACAGTAAAGATGGGGTGTTGGTTTCAGGCATCAATGCTCCGATGACTGCTCTCGTAAACCCTACAGATCGAAAAGCAAGGATCTCGAGCTTTTTAAGTCTGGGAAGTCCACGAAGAACCTCTCTCCAAAACCCAACATCCAGGCTGTTAGCATTATTGGTGTCCGTACAGCTATCTCTAACGGCTAAACATTCTACCTCCGAGACGGGGTACCGAGAGAGAAGTCGGATGGGAAGGAGTTGTGATGCACTAAACGTACCATACATGTACAAAACGCGACCTTCGCCTTCCATGCAACCGGTAACAGATACGAAGGGCGTGTCAAGTATTACCCTTGGCTGTCGCGCAAGGTACCATTTTTTGATATGCCTCATGTTCTCGAGTTTGGATATATCTTCTGGGAGAAGTAAAGCTAAGCCTCTTGCGAACTCTGAGTCAGAATGTGTAGCATTGAGCATACGTTCACCCCAGAAATACATGTCCGTATTCGGCGGTAAGTGGAGATGGGATAGGAATCGTGCAACCAATGAAGCAGATGACCATTCTCCGATATCAAGCTGACGGAGGTTAGGGAGAAAGACTGTCTTTGAGAGGGGGCTATGAAGCTGAGTGCCAACATCTGTGCGTGTGGGCCCTGCTCGCACTAGAGCTAATTCCTCAAGGGAAGGGGAACTGGCCAAAAAATCAAGAAATTCATCCATTGTTGGTCGTGTGCTTTCATTCTGGTCGTATAAGCATACGTGTGTGAGGGATTGAAAATAACCTCTAGGCCACGCCGTTAGATGTTTGAGGCAAAGTTTTTTCAAGCTGGGCATTTCGCCATCGAACATCTGAGGAAGAACTCCATTCGTAATGCCCCTTCCATCCGTCACCAACGTCAGGCTCGTCAGGATTGGAGCGGGAAATTTGAATTGATGGAACATGGTACCAGAAGTTGCAGCGCTTGATTGCCATGAGTCTGCATCGAGGTGAAGTTCCTGGAAGCGTTTTGATTGGTGAGCGATAGACTCTAACAGACCTTCTGAAAGATTGTCCAGTTTGGGACCCAAATAGACTTTCAATGGCACTACGGAAGAACGCTTGAGGAACCGTTCAGGAAGTAAGGCACTGTCAAGCTCTGACCAAAGCTGAGGCGACGTAGCGATTAGCCCCCTCCAATGCCTACACACTTGCAGTAATGAGAGCCAGTGCCAACTAGATGGGGAAGGGTGTGGCATAGGGAGAAAGTCAGAAAGATGCTGCTGCGTTTGGTGGAAGATGAGAATAAGAAGTTCCGGCGGGAGCCTGTTGACGGGTTGTAGTAGGTTTCGCACACCACGAACGAGGGATAGAGAGATTCGGAGCTTTTGCTCCATTGAATCTAACTGAAAGCGATGAGAATAGCGGCATGGATTCAGGGACAGAGACGTACTTCGGCCACAGAGTATTTGGACAATCTACATAGGAAGATAAAATTTGTTAAGGAAGAGATCAGGTAAACAGGCGACGCCTATTACCTACTTGGCTTTGTACATCGATTGGCCTTGTACAACATTGCCTCCACCAATTGCTGAAAACTCAACTTTGAGCCAACGGGAGCCATACTTACCTTGCAGGAAAGTCGAGTACTGAAGCTGAAGCTCCAGACCTCACACTTCGGGAACTGAAATATGAGGGAGGGAAAACACAAAGAATGGAATGACATTGCACACGCGCTGAACATGCATAAACCAGCCCGGCCCGGAGAAAGCAAATATTGATAGACCACAACGTCGATGGACACATTACCAGAAACTCTTCTTTCCACCATTCAAAATTTCAAAGTATACGATGGACTTCCTTCTAATGTCACGCACCCGTTTGCTTCTTCCGCAGAAACATCTTGTGGAATTTTACAGGACATCATTCAAGCTTCAGATCAGCTTGCCAATTCGTTGAATCAATATCTACAGGCAGATTTTACGAATACCAAACTTGTTTCCCTTCTGCGCCAACAAGCAACCTTGTCCCGCTCTTTGCATCTCGTCAGAAAATTCCTCTTCTTGTTAAATCCACATCGTGACTAAATGGCGACTAGTCAGATCTTAATATCCAACAAACTTTGCATGCATTAAAACAAAGGTCGAAAGCCAGCTACGGAGAGGATATTCCCCAGGATAGGACTGCTCTTGTAGATTGGTGTGTCACCCGCTGTGAAGCCTGGGGAAAATTGGTTGGAATGGAGACTTTCAAGGATCAAGTAGGAGAAGGGACTATCAGTTTCGTATTCGGTGGCAAAGTTCTCGTAGTCGACCTCGAGCTCTCGATTGATCGAACAAATCCATTGAATCCAATAATCGTTGTTTCTAAAGCGAAAACATCCTACGCTATCAGTAGTCCTGAGGCAACAACAATGGACGGATCGTTATCGCTCGATGCTTTTCTGAAAGATACCTTTCAAAGTTTCTTCGAAGAGGTCCAGAAACCCGATGAGCATAGAGATCCCGTTCAAGCTGCCAGGCTTGGAAGTATCATTTTGGACCATTTTCGATATCTGGTCATGTTGGATCGACTGGCAGAGCGGAAGGAGGATGGCGGTGTTAGGTGGTTTGTGGATGTAGATCAGCTCTGCACTGTGGTGGAGACTTTTGCTAAAAGCGAGGGAGAGGCTGTAGCATTGTGAGCGCGTTTCAATTACTACGATCCACACTTGAGTCGAATTTATTAGATCCATGTCTACGGAACGTCCTCCCCTTGACATTTTCCTTCTCCGGGCGCATACCCTTCCGTTGCCCTACCTCAAATCTCCATCGCTATCATTCTTGACTTATCTCTCTCCTCTTGCATATTTTTCATTGCTGCGAAGCTCTTCGGCACTTCCCCCAGATACTAGTACGAGCTTACCCAGTTTTGATATACCTCTTCATCAACTCCGTTCTTCACTCGGGATAAGCCTTAAGGGTGCTACAATTGCTACTCTTACTCTTTCGCCCCCCATTGAATCTCACATTTTCCCGGCCTCGATGTCTATCCCTACTCTGACTGCGCGACCAACGTTCTCGCTCGTTCCCAGAGGGTCAGACTTAGAACATGTCTTTCCCCAGCTCGCAGATCTTCCATCGACCGCTTTAGATCCTGCAGACAACGAGTCATCAGGGCGTAACGTCTGGTTTCTTGATTTCACGGAAGGTGGTCAATATTCAGGTATTGTGATGAGCCAATCAAGGATGCGAGAAATCGAGCTCGTCATAAATCCATTGAGCAGTATGGAAACAATCAATTCAGTCGGTATAATGTCCTTTGGTACTGGAAGCTGGGTGGATCTATTGGTTAGTGAATCTTGTTCTATTCTCCAATATCCCTGTTCAATGACCTCGACGTGCAGATCAATCCGTCGAGCCTAGTTTCTCCAGAACGCTACGTCGCCATCTTTGTGGGTGCGACTTCTTTTTGGTTCTGTCCGCCATACTGATTGGTTCCCGACAGCGGTCCCCATCGTCCTCTCACCCCCCTCTACAAATGCGCCTAACTGCGCCAGAGGAGCCTGGATTCGTGCTTCATAAAGTACCCGTCAACAGTATGAAAGAAGTCTGGGGTGTATTGGAAGTGAATATATCATCCATCTTTTTCTTTGCATAATTCTGATGAACCTTCCAGGTTGTTCGTGAACAATGCTGGCTCAATGAAATACTCTTAGGATGTGAATGGCATACAGAAGGGTTACATCTTACACATGAAGAAGACGACGAACAGGAAAGCAAAGTCACAGATGCCGACCTAGATGCTGTACTTGCAGGTATGCAGAAATTTGCTGTCATACTGTCTGTCTAGCAAAATGAAGCTGAATCTTGTTATGAGGTTCTGTGACACCGCGGAAAATACCAGTCAACGTGTTTGTTCCGTCATACAGTGGCACACCCGGCCCCATCTTCGAAAGCCCAGAACTGAACGAAATGACACCAAGAGTGCGTCGGACCAAAATCGTCATGACTTCGCCAGAACGGCCACCCATATCGGGTCTTGTTGAGATATGCGTGTCGTTTGATGAAACCAGGCCACGGGGTATTAGTGTGGAACTCAATGGTGCAATGGGTGTAGATTTGAAGCTAGAAACAATGGAAGAAATCTGCCGACGAGGGGGTGCCTTGAGTTTGCCTGGACGAATATGGGCGAAAGCACATGGGTTTTCACAGTAGTCAATATAGCTCACTCAAATCACACAGACTCTTTGCACCAAAGTGAACCAATTTGAATTTTCCACACGTTTACAAAAAGATTAAAGGTAGTTTCGTTTTCCAGGAAAAAATTACGCCACACCCTGCGACGTCTTTCCAGCGTTAGCCTTGTCTGCAGCAATATTTGTGTTCAGTTTGGTCCTGGGAAGGAAAGGTCAGAAAGAACGGAATATGCTTGAAAGAGTTAACGCACTGCTCTGTGTTAAGACTATCTTCAAGATCGGAGGTGTCATCTCCGGAGGCCTGCGCTTGCGCGATCTGCAATGCGTTTGTTCAACCCAACATCTGAGAGAAATAGTGATACAAACCTTTATGTTAATGGCTTGGATCTCGCCAGTCAACTTTAGGACCTTGTTCTTAGTCTTGCCCACACTCAGGGCATCAGCTACAGGCAGTCGCTAATAAAAAAACGAAATATTCAACCATCAACAGTGATAACGTACCAGCAGCTCCAGTAGCGGCGTCGATTTGAGGGTCGAAGTCATCCGTCTCCGCAGACTCTGCAGCCTCTCGCATAGTATTGATAGCATCCTGTAAATAAAGACTTGAGCTCAACGCAGCATGGCTGTACCATGGTAATATTCACCAAAGTATCAGAAGAAACCGTAGACAGGTCGACGCCAGCGAAAGGATCTAGACCTACGATTAGAAAGACAACAAAAAGGAGATACGAATTTTTACTGACCAACAAAGACCGCGTTAGCTTCATCAACTGCGGTTCCCCCAACACCATCAGATATTTGAAAATCAGCATAACTGGAAGACCCGAAAATTCAGTGGATGATAATCAGATGGAAAAGATCTTACGCCTGCTCAGTGAAGGTGCCGGTGGCCGTAGTATTGGCGCGAACTACCAAATCAAGCTTGACTGGGACTGGGGCAGCAACAGCGATACCAGCAAGGAAAGAACCGAGAAGAGCAATGAGACTGAAACGAGCCATAATGAAGATGTTCGCAAGAAAGACGGAAAGTTGAACTGAAGCTTTGTGAATACGACCGCTAAAGGGTGGAGAACGTTGAACGTTGAAGGGCGCTGGCGCAAAAAAACGAAAGTACGGAAGGAAAAGAAGGTGAGACGCCGTCAAGACAGTCGAGGTTCAAAGTGATAAGGAAACCCCTTCATGACTTCGCCCTTTTATGAGAATTCTGTGGGAACTGAGCGCAAGAATCTAGAAACACCAAGTCAGAAGACCGAATATTAGGTTGTTAGGAGAACGTTCCCATCTATGAGTAAATGTGTAAATGTATACACGTACCTGACACGTACCTGACGGAGAATTATTATATGTATGTATGTACTAGGCTCCACTGTCGTGGACCACACCTTGCTTGGTACATGGTAGATTCAAAACGCAGCGCGCACAGGGCACGCCGCGAGTGGGTACGGGGCTGCCATATGCTGGAAGGAGTGAGTTGCTGTGGAACCTTCAGAATAAAACAAGTTCAAAGTGTGCCTGCACATCAAAAATGTCCAATTCCGGGGTAGAATAGACCTTGCAAGCAAGGTGACATAAGAAAATATTGATCTGATGATCATGCAAGTCCGAGCCAGGTCTGACGTTAACCAAGTTTCCATAATAAAATCTAATGAAATCCACTGGAGAACTGTGTATATTCATTCCCATAGGCTGGGTTAATAGTAGGGAAACAACATTACATGTAACATCATAAACAAACTATGGATAATCATAGGTAAAAGGCTAGGTTGGCGGCCAAATGGCAGTGGATCCTTGGTAGGAACCCTGCCATTGGCAGGGTGGTTGCCATGAGGAAAAAATGATAGCCATGTATTCAAAGACTTGGCGAGCAGCTGCCCTCAAGCCCTCACTTTGAAGTGTCTCGAAAACCGATGGTGAAGTGCAGTAATTCGTTGGCGATGACGTGTAGAAAAAAAGGTCTGGATAGAGTGGGTCATAGTATGTCGTAAAGAAGATCTTCTTTGCATAGGAAGAAGCAACTCTACGATGGCATTTAGATTCTGCGATTAAAAAAAAAAAACAAGCTGACGGACCTGTACATCGCAAAGACGATTAATAGTTGTAGAAGTGCCCATAAAAGCCAAGACCATCCGGTTGGACGTCGATCAAAGGGAGGTGTAGCCTGAGAAAAAAAAGATTGGAATCAGAATGATTCGAAGTAATCTGTGTTGCGTACGACAGGTGTGGTTTGCTGCATGCTGGCACGTAAGGGGGCGAGCTTCTTTTGGATGTTTTCCACATTGGAAAATAGTTTAGATGCGAGGTGCGCTCGAGATTCACGAGCCTCTCTAGATTCCTGTTCAAGCTTTCGAATACGTTCTCGAGAAATTTCCGAGGTAGTGACATGTACGAGTCTGGTTGGACTAGGGTCAGCAAACTGTTTGAAAAAGAATCATACGAAGTTTACCCTTCCTCATCGTTCATCTCTTCGACTAGTTCATGCAGCCCATTGCGGACATGCTCCAGAGCCTTTTGACGGGTAGGAGGAATACCTGGCACAATGGAAGAGCCCGACTCCATTGAATCTTCTACTACTATCTGCCCCATAGCATCAACGATACGAATACTGTCAGAGATCCCCTTCTTTTCTTCTCGTCCGAAGGCATCAACTACTCGGATGGTAGTTGCTTTGCGTGGACTGTGAGCCAGTGAAGGCGAGGTCTGACGATTATCATCGCCGGTAGTACCAACCTTGGAGTTGGGGGATGAACCTAAGGATTTGACAACTGCATGGACCGCTTCTTCCACCTTCGGTGCGACAGTTTCAGCTTTCAAAGAGCCGGCTGCTGTCTCTTCGTGGAAACGAACGCTTTTTCGATTGGCAGGAGTATTCATCCATCCTCCAGGTAAAGCAGGTGTTCGCGGAGGCATCGTCGCGGCCCTGGAAAGGGAAGCGGCAGGGGTGGCTAGTCCGCTATCATTCTCATCGTCTGTTGGAAGAGAATTCGACCGCAAAAGCGCGTGCGTTCGGGGAGGCAGAGGGGTCGCAGTCCAAGCACCTGGTGGCTTTGGTGTTTTAAGACTGGATAGATTTCCTTTGATGGGAGCAGGATATTCGTGGTCTTCGTGGTCTGAAGAATCTGAGGGAGGGTCCGGAAGGTCTGGAAGGTTCTTCGGTGGCGAAGGTGTTTGAAATTCTAGCTTCGTCGGGTTACGGGAGTCTCTCCTGGGGGGAGTGGAGGGAAAAGAGAATGAGACCTCGGCTTCAGGAGTTGAAGGACCATCAGATGGCGAAGATAGAGGTGGCGAAGGAGGTGATGCAATAATTTTTTGAAGGCTTGCTCCAGTTTCAAAAGAGACATAAGCAGAAGAAGCTTCTACAGGATCTGGGGCTTCAATCGACGGCAAAGCCCCGTTTGGTCTCAGAGTGGGCGTGTTCTCCTGGACAAGTTGGTTGCTTTCTTCGGCCTCGGTGTCAGTATCTATCGAGAAATTGTCGGAAATGCGTGTAGTGGTAGACAAATTCTGACTCACCAGTAGAATCACTGTTTGCCTTGTCATTGTTTCCATCTTCCACCAACTCTGAATGGGTATCAGGAATCTGCTGTGGAAGCTCCTGCAACTCCTGGATAACAGGAAATTCAGTCCTTGATTCTGGAAAAAGGACAGTTCCCGTGGTTTTCGTTTCGGGAGATGTGCGGACGGGTATTTGACTAGATCTCACGCCTGAATTTCGTTGTAAAACACTCGGAGAAGGTAAAGGGACCGTACGCGAAAGCGATTTGAGTGAGTTCGGAGAAGGGGTACTTTGGGACTTAGAATTAAACGATGGAGAAGGGAGTACTGAAGTGTGACCAACATTAAGCTGATCGAGGCTAGCATTGCTATTGATAAGTGGGAGTGGAGAGTGAGGGCGGGAAGGGTAATCATACGGACGAGACGATGATGAGGGTGCGGATAGTTTCGTAGACACGGATGAAAAAGGGGACAAGGAAGTCCTATGTTTTGAAGATTCCTTGAGAAGTACGGGGGAAGAGGAATGCACCGAAGGAGCCCTGGTTGATTTCAAGCTCTCTGCGCGCCGTCTTGCACTTGCAGATGTATCCATCGAAAAATGACTAGACGATGTAGAGGAAGATGGGGAAAATGGTATCTTCTTAGTCAAGCTTTGAGTGCGCTTTAAGGTATTTGAAGGGGATGGATGATTGAGTGCCGAGGAACTGGACCTGAAATGGTGTGGTCTGGGTGAATTCCAATTTCTCTCCTGCTCATGCAAAAGCTCTTCATCGCCATCAATACTGCTTGAACCCCGCAAGGATCCTCGGGGCGAACTTGCACGAGAAGATGCGCGAGAAGACGATCGAAGAGAATCGTACGAATCTTGACGCTGGTGACCGGGGCGAGGAGATGAAATGGACAACCTCGAGTCGGGCCGACTGGGAAAACTGAGTGTTCGAACACGCTCCGTTGAAAGAGAATGCTGCCCGACACTTGAACTTGATGATGGCCGATGGTTCGGCGAAGAGGGATGCTGATGCCAGAGTGGCCTCGGGGCATTCCAATTCCTTTCCCTTTCATGATCAATTTCTACTTTCTCCGTATCAATGTCAGGGTTTGAGCTGAAAAGGGATCCAGCAGAGGAACTAGCGCGCGAAGAGGATCGAGAATGATGGCCGCGAAATGACGATTGAGTTGATGATGCCGAAAGTCGGGAGTCAGGTCTGGACGAGGAACTTGTTGCACGAGCAGGTTCTAAAGGAGAAAGAAGGGAAGGATTGGGCATAGACAACGGCCGCGCGGTCGAGCGTCCTTTATTCAGAGCGTGTACCGCTTCGATATCCTTTCCTTTTTCTTTTGATTTTGACGATTGTTGATCTGAAATGTTATATTAGACTTGACATGGGTGTCCAACGATAGATACATACGATTGTTCTGAGAGGTCACCAAAGCTTCATCATCGTCGATATACGTCGAAGCTCCATTCCTGGATAAAGGTCGGTATTCGGAGCCTATTCCTGAAGAGCTATGTAAGGAATGCCGGTGTTTTGTGCCCGTCGATGTTGCATTAGATTTGGGATGCCTCTTATTCCACTCGTGTTCACGATCATGCTCGTCTGTGACAAGGTGCCGGCTTTGCACCGTATCTGAATGAGTATCCTCTGCATGACCAGGTGTTAAGAGGTTGGATGTGGCTACCTGGCGCCCAGATCGCAATGAGTCTGAAACTTTGAATTCATGAGTTTTCAAGAATTCCGGAACCTACAGAAAAATACCGAACGCACTTTGAGATTGTTCAACGCCAACAGTGGATTCGTTAAAATTCGATCTTGCAACGCGAGAGGAGTCGACTGCGAAAGACGATCATGAGTTAAAAGGTCCAGAACCGGCCTAGCGTGAGGGTACCTGATGTTGGAGAATGTTCATAACTATCTAGATCTCTCATAGCCTGTTGCATCTCCGAATCTTGGTCCATTAGGTCTACCCATTTGTTGACATTGAGTTAATAGAGAGTTGTCAGTACGTACTTGATTGGAATTGGGAGTTGACAGACATCTTCAAGGAGTGCTGAGGGGTACTGGTGACAAGTGGAGGTGTGAACTGTATATCATCGAGATCCTTGACAGTGTCGAGACTTTCATCCGCTAGCAAATAAGATATTCACCAGTATCTGGTCGAAGAAATACTGGAAACGTACGATCAAGGTCACTCGTATTCTGTTGTTCAGAAGCCTGCGTCTTTTGCTTTCGTTGGTTGCTGGAATTGAGGCGTTGGCGTAAAGTATTGAAAACCGCCGCTTGAGAGCGATCTATGGAAACTGCATTATCGAACGCAATTAGTTTGAACCAGCTTGAAACCTTGTGAAATTATAACGCACTGTTTGAGGAGCTCAGCTCGTCGTCACTCAGGCTTCTTCGCTTCCCTTCAACGACACTGCGGTCGTCTTTTACCTTAGCCACACGAGGACTAGATTCAAACTCGCTAGTATCGACACTATTTCTCCTTCTTATCTTTCCCTTGAAGCTCTTTTGTGGCGTGTCTCCAGGTTCTCGGAGCGCACGGGAGAATAAACTGTTGAGATTTTCTCGAGCAAGACTTGGTTGTGAGGAACCGATCGTAGGTAAGTCAAAGTCAGATTCAAGGTCGGTCGTAGAGCCCGACGATGGTATAGGAGCAGGTGGAGGTCTAGATCTCGCGCTGGTGCGCTCCAAAACTGCTTTGAGCCGGGCTGCGGGGGTATCTTCTGGGTATGGTGACGATGAATCCGTAGGTAGCGCAGAGATTGGATGTAGTTTTGGGGTATCCTGCTCATCATCATCAGTGTTTTCCGCGTGTAAATTTGGCTCCAAGAAATCTGTAGAGTTTGGTAAACGAGAAGGGCCGGCCTCGGAGAGATTCACAGAGCCAGAGTAGTCGTAAGCAGTGGACTGATGATGTCTGCTGACTCTAAGGCGAGGGATAATGGGTATCGCTGTCGGTGTCTCCATCGCCTGAGAACATATAACAAGGGAGATACAGAACAACAGTCTGAAGTTACAAAAGAGTTATAGGGCACACGTGATGAGCCATGAGGAAGCACTGATACAGTAATAAGCGCACAAGTAACGCTGAGCCGTGGTACCTGTCACATTAGAACGTTTCTTCACAAGTGTCAAGTACACTTCGACAAGAATAGTTACACTCCAATCAAAACATTCTGGCAGGAACTCAAAGGCGTCTAAAAATCCCCAGCACGAAGCTGCAGCTTTCACTTGCTGGATTTATCGTGAACCTGATATTTAGTTTTTACGCAGAAATGTTCGCTATCATAATCTTGAACATGCCCTCGAGAAAATTGGCTTACTCCAGTGCTGACTAGTGGTGAAAAGGTGGATGAGGCTAATATTTTATTATGGTACATACACAATCCTTAAAAACTACATAGATCCAACCAACACTACAGAAGATGATCAGAGCGTGATCAAGCTGCAACGTTCAAAATCACTCACACAATCCCATTCCCTTTCTCTCAATCGCGTATTCAAAGTCATCTCCAGATAGTACAAGCGCGTCGCCGTGTACGAGGATGAAGTGCATATCCTCCCTCACGTAAGTTTTCCTCTTCGCTGTGGCGTTTTGGCTTTTCGATGGAAGTTCCAATGAAGGTTCTTCTGTCTCATTCGTGTTATCTGTCACTTCTTCGGGCCAGGAACTTGTAACTGCGTGCGGGTCATCTTCATAGTCATTATAAACCCCTTCCTGAAAAGTCGCGACCGCCTCTGGGAACTCCATTCGAATTAGACCATCGAAATTTGTCTCTATTAGCATCAACTCATTGCTGCTAGTAGACTCATTCGCTATCATTTGAGATGATTGATCTGCATTGACATCCGGTACCGTCAATTCTGACGGTCGGTTACTGTTCGAGTGTTCATTGCACTCATGTCGAAGGTCGGCCATGGACATGGAGGGAGCTTCTCTCATGATTACATCCACCAGTGGACTAAGTGTGGACTCAGACTCCATCGAGACAATTGACACATCAACGTCATTCTCCACGGTAAAAGGGCCATCGTTAGACGTATCAACCTGAGTGGAGCAAATAGCGTCAATGGCCATGGCAAACGAATCGTTCGTGACAGGAACGCCTTCGATAGCGATCGGCAATTCCAATTTCTCACTTGTTGCGTCCTCAATGACGTTGATCTTCTTCGCTCGTAAAATATTTGCGGGAAACCCAGACTTCGGTACGATTCTGATTCCAAGTTCATGCCCAAGAGCCATGATCACGATGTTGCACTCTTTAGCGTGCAAAAGGTGCTCGGCCTGCCCGACGGTTTAATGGATCAATGCTTGATGACCACAAACTGAAGTAAAGACAGACCTTTTTCCTGCCAGGGACGGTCCAACCCAAAACAACTAACTGACTAATGAGAGTTGTCTGGAACATATCTCCGTAGACTGTCCCGAGATGTTGCAAGAGACTCCGGGTTTGGTTGATGCATGGTGGTACATCATTCCAGGATACCGGCGTGACTTCCGCATCGATGAATCCTGAAGCGAAAGAGCATTCATGTACGTCACCAGCGACATACGAAAAAAAGGGTGCTATAGAAGCATATATAAGGGCAAAGACTTCAAATTCAGCAAAGAGGGACGGACTCGTGGCCATCGGCTTTTTCTGCAAGATAACGGTTTCTTGAATAGAAGCTAGTAAGTGGCTCTGTTCTTCTTGGAGCTTCGGATTATTGCAAGTAAATATATGCTTTGCTACGATTTTCCTCTTTATCGCAAGCTCCTGTATGTCTCGGGCTATCTGGAGGATTCCAAAGGTCTGAGCAAGTTGGAGTATTCGAGATTCTCTTGTGAAATCCGAGGCGTTGTGCATCTCCATCTCCGAGTTGTCGATGGCTTCTAGCTTGACTACTCGACTGGAGAAAGAAACGGGCTCCGAGTGCAAGGGCAAAATAGTTGATGAAGTTTGCTTTGCGAGACGAATGTAGTGCTCATATTGATCTAACAGGCGTTCGACGATCCTATCGTTCCACACATGATAGGTCACTGTTCTCATACCATCGTCCCACTCGCTTATCAAGGGATCGATGTATTCAGGCACTGTATTCAAGGGGAAGACAAGAGGGCTTTGTTGTCCTACAGAGCGAATGACGTCGAGACGGTAAGGATTGCATGCTGTAATAAGAGTGTCCTGACCCATAGCATTGATAAGATAATATAGTATCCAAATATCTGAAGCATACCTTGCAGAATGAACTATCGCACTTTCTTCTCTTGAAAAACCTCTGGCGGTTCAATTTTCCGCAGGAGTTGCAGTACCAACCTTTCGGTGATCCGATATCACCTATATTGACTGAATCGTTACATGCGAGGAGTGCAAGCCAGATGATACTGGGGCAAAGAGGCCCCAAAGATTCAAGCGGGAAGGTGTCATTGGAATCGGCCTCGTATCGGTCTAAAGAGGGTGGCGGAGCCTGACTTCCCGAGTCATTCACGTTGGAGACCTCTGCTGAAGTACTAGTGACAGGCGAAGATGAGGTCACTGCAATACTAACAAGAGGGTTCATGAGCACGTCTTCCGACGGCAAGTTTTGAATTACGGAAACCTCAAAGGGCTCTTCCCAATTTGTTGCATCTCGCCACCATGGTCTATTTAATTTCAGATGGGATGGGATACCTAGATTGTCTTCACCAGCGCTTATCCATTCGAGCTCGAACCTCCACTGAATTGTGCCAGACGCGTAGTCAGAAGACACTAGGACACCGACGACAGAGCTGAGGGAAGGTCGAAAAACGCGATCTTCCTGAAATGTCGGTAAATCGTACGCAAATTCCAACAATGAAATGTCACTGACCTTAATAGATGAAACTTTGAAAAATCCCATATACATGTATTGAAATTCTGTAGGTAAATCTTTACTTATGGTCTCGCCACAGTACGCCAACGTCGCATCCCGGGAGGCGATAACAAGTATTGGTGTATTCTGCGTGTAGGCGTCTATTAAAACTCGAATTTCCGGTGGTACTTGTGTTGGAACACGAGTGTCAAGCGTAGCTGGGCCAACAAGTTCATCTTCTGCCGGTAGGCAGATTCGCTTCAAAGGCGGTATGGAATTGAACGCTTCCATCTCTGGAATTTTTCGTTTCCTGCCGCGCTTAGCCTTTGGTGGAAAGGGTACCTTCGAAGATAAGGAAGTCGGGGAAAAACTGGAAACCGGAGTCGGAGATATAGGCCTTGAGGGCCGGATCGAGGCATCTAGCTTTTCAGATCCCAACTTCGCTGGGCTCGGCATTGGCTCGAGAGAGGTATTTAGAGTAGGTTCACATGTTGTGGGGGCAAGAGACATACGGGAAGCAATGCTTGGGGATGAATACTGCGAAAAAGCAGCAGTACTGGTAGGGCCAGAATACCCTGAGGCTGGAGATGTGAAAGGAGTGGGAGCAGTATGGACGGAGAATGGACTTGCTGACAGGGAAGCCGATGACGATGGTGTAAAATCACTAGAGGAGTTGTGCACTGGAAGATAGCAAGGGGTTTGGAGTTCGCTTCCCGAGGGGGCTAGTCCCCAATTATGGCTAGATGCCATCATGTTTGGGACGTATGCATTCAATGCCATCCATTGCACCATAAGGGCCTGGTTGAAATACTGCCACCTTGTCTGCATTGGCGGCGGGACGGTATATGCATCATATACTGCGTTGCTCTCGCGTATTTCTCCTGGCTCGAGTGGTTCCAAATCGTTTATCGCAATCAGTCGATTATTAACCGCACTTTTCCTTAGCATCTGCTCCTTGGTGGATGACAAAGTGGAGTGTGATTCGATCGTGTCCGTGCTACTGCCATTCTGAGGCTCCTCAAGTGTTTCCTTTTTCTTGGTGAACTTCAAACTTTTCACTACGTTCTTGGAGCCATCATATAGGCTATCATTCCAGTCCTGCACGGGCAAACTTTCTTCATTTGAGGGTATCGATGGGGAGGGTATCAAGGAGATGTCTACTTGTTTTTGGCCTAGTGTCCGTTGTTTATTCGTATTATTAATAGATTTCCGACCGCTTACGGGTGAGCTACCCTGCAAGCACGATGCCATAGAGGAAGATGAGGAATAGTGCACGTTCTCCTGACCGTCGCCGCCCATGGGTTTAGATTCAGCACACGTATCATACGTTTCCCGATCTCTCAGAGGCGAACTATCATCGGTCAAAGGTGTCAAAGGAGAGGAACAATCCATTGTATCTTCGGCAACCATATCATAAACATTTTTCCAATTTTTAACAGGTGAATAATCATCATCCTCTTCTAATGGGGTGAGAGGAGACAACGATGACGATTCGGTTCGTTCTAGACTTGGTATAGGCTGGGGCGAAGGAGATGATCGGCAAGCGTACACATTCTGCAAGTCCGATACAGCCAAAGCCGGAATCGAAGGATATGGTGGGTCATCTAAACGAGGAATATGGGCGGAAGGGATGCTGATCGTTAACCTAATGTTGGACTTTTGAGGGACACGTGAAGTAGGAGTAATATGAGGAAGGGTAATGGGAATGGGAAGATCCTGGGTCTGCGACTTTTCACGTTTAATGCGAGGCCTAAGAACACGCTTCGAACGCTGATTACGACTTTCCAGCAGCGACTCGTCGGCTCTTATCGTTTGAGCGCGAGTAACAGGTCCAATACGTTGTTTGTTCTTCGAAGACGCATGGTATTTCCGACGACCAGTGGAGTCCCTTAATGAAGAAATTTTAACCGATTTGTTGATAATCTTGATACTACTCTTCTGTTGTTCGATCAACAAGGGTACATCTAAAATCCCCGACGAAGGATCCCGCCTTATCGAGGGAAGCTTCCCTCTCTTCTCAGGCAATAATTTAGGAATAGGTGGCCGAACGGAGTTGTTCAACCCAGCGAAATTCAAGGCTTCAGCTATCGATTTCTCACCCAATTTCGAAGACGTCTGATCTTCAGAATCGAGACCAGGCTCAACGTCCAATGCTTTTGGAGTGATTTCGGTGATTCCTGCGGGCAGTTGTGCGGAGTCCTTATCATGGCTCCATCCAGAAATCATTCCTACTGGAGGTTCCTCGTAATTGACAGAAATCGACTGACTCCCAGGAACATCGTGAGAGGCGGAGACGGTTTTCTCAGCGTCTGGTTCGATACAAGAATTCGATAAACGTGTAACGTGTGTGCACTCCGGCTGTATGTCTTCACTAGGCTCTTCGTTCTCGTTCGGAGGTAGGGTCTGAAGCGTTAGGGGTATCATATTTGTTTCCGTATGTTGCTGGATAGGCTCCCTGGGTAGTTTGACTTCGCCTTTGCAGAGCTCCTCCAAGTTCTCAGCTGACTGCGGCGAAGGAATAGAGCTGGAATGGATTTCAGTCATTGGAACTGACGAACTTGAATTCGAGGACACAGTCAAGTCGGATACTAGGCAAACAAAATCACGTTCTCTGCATATGAAGCATCGTTCAGTTGGCACTTCCTCGTCTCTAGTGAGTTTACACGTACACGCAAAGATCTACTACCGTCCGGTCTTCATTCGAAAGTTTCGAGTCCGAAATTGACATGCCTTCGTTTGCTTCGATGAGTATCACAGGAACCGGACTAGTTCCTACCAACTTGGGATTCCCAAGTTCAGGAAGAATCGCTAAAAGCTCTTCTTTACTCTAGAAATGTGATATGTAAATTGAATGATTCGTTGAGAGCGTGACACGGGAGACGTACACTACACCATTGACGCGGACGTGGGTTCGTGTTGGGCGTAATGCTGTTCGCGAAACCCATCGGAGAAGGAGAAACAGGGACTGCTTTCCACACTGGACGCCCAGATGTGGGTAACTTGCTTTTCGCTGATTGAGAATATTGATTCTAGTGCAGAACTTTCACTGGAAAACACACGTACCATCGTCGCGTGGCTTCTTCCCCTCACTATGCTTACTGGTTTTCCCGAGATCCAAGGACACCTCAACGCCTTTCTTCTGTATCATGGCTGTTTGAGAGGCTGTAGCATCGCCAGATGTTTTTCCTAGCCTCCTGGGTTTGTCCGTAATGCTGTTCTTCGGTTTCCTCCCTCGTTTTTTGGGGATTGGCTTCACAGTATCGTTCCCGGACACGACATCCGCCGTTTTGGGAACTTCCGACGCATTCGTAGCGCGGTTCTTCGGTTTTCTCCCTCGTTTTTTTGGGATTTGTGTCACCTCGTCGTTCCCGGACACAACATCCGCTGTTTTAGGAACTTTCAACGCTTTCGACGATGGACTCGGTGCTTCTGTTTTTACTGCCACGTCCATAGTTGCCGATTGGAAAGGGAGCCTGGGATTACGGTATGTCGTTTAGAGTTCCGGGAGGGAGGACAGAAGAAGAACATCAGGGTATCGCAATATATCTCATTGTGAAAATTTAAAGGGAAGGAGTGCTGGAAGCCGTGGGCCATCATGGACCTGCAAAGCCTAGCGCGTGGCGGCATGATGGAAACATAAAAGGTAATTCGGTGATTACAATGATTTTCCTGCTATGTAGTTATATTATTCGGAGGCACTATTTTCTGTGGACTAATCTGCCGGCCGGTACCGGTGCTGTTGTTGACATCCCTCCCCGAAGATTCAGTAATATGTTCTCTGGCAGTTCTTCTCCGCCGTTCGAATAATGGAATTGATGATTGTCATTAATGGTATGCTAAGGAAATATTGTACATATGTGTCTTTCTCAGTTTCTCATCCGAGTCATACGCTGCCAGACGTCTACTCCCCACGATGGGATGGGGTATATAGTCCTTATCTATCATTGTTCCAACTGTTCATTCACAATTCAAGTCAAAAATTAACCGGAAACTCATCCTCCATGAGCAATTCAGAATAAGACGGCGGAGCTTGATTGGGGCCTGGTCCACTGCCAGTAGTAAGTGTACTAGGTCCTGCCACAAGCAGTTCTTCGAACTGTATGCCTTGTCGTTGATCCGTGACCTCCGCGGCTCCCAAGTCATTCTTACTATCAGGCTTCAGCATACCCTGGGATCGTCGTGGTGGTAGAGGAGGAGGACGAAGTGCAGGGGGAGAAGAAAGTGCGGGGGAAGAGGAAGAAGATAGTGGGGCGGATGAACTAGTCTGTGCATGTATTATGATATGCGGACTCGTTGAAGATGATGTAGGATACGACGACGACGTCGCAGCAGAGGCGTTCGCAGGATGCGGCACACCCAGTTCAGGCCGGGAAACTGCTGACACCCTTTGCATGGTGCTTGATACAGACCCAGTCCTGGGCAGGATGGAAGTCGCACTGAGCTCGACCTGAGAGTTGGTGTTACCCCGCGCAGAGCTTCCTGCACCCGAGCCAGTGACTGATTTGCGATGATAATGATTAGGATGATGATGATGAGGAGGAGGATTATGCGATGAAGAAGAACTCGATGGACTGGGCAAAGCCGCCCCTGAACCTGAACGTCTGCTATTTCTGTTCTGATTGGGAGACGGACGCTGCTGCTGTTGTCGTGCATTCGAGACAGGAGCAGCATTACTAAGTAAAGCAGGATCTAAGTAGAAAAAGGTTTATTTTTTTTGTCAGTTGAATGAACGATGATGATGATAATAGTAACAAAAAATCGTAGATTCAGATTCGTTTTGGACTATGTTAATGGCAACTAACCTCTCGTTGTGATTGTATACCTTGTAGGTATTTCCGCTTGTTGGACGAGGAATCTAGGATCTGAAAAGGACGAAGAGCAGAAGAAGAGAGCGGGGGCATGAACGTATTGATGACTATTCGTGAAAAAAGACAAGAAAATCAAGTACCTTCCACCGTGGGCTGCAGGCTTTTGAGTCTCATATTCCCTTTGGTACTTTTAGTCTTCTCTTCCGGTGTAGTAGCAGTAGCTTGACCCACCTCCGGAAGTGCAAGTGAGTTTATCCGGGTGAGTTTCCCAACTTCGACCTTTGTTAACCTCACATTAACGCTTTTCGGAGGGATATGTGGGTGGACTGTTTCCGTTTCCGGTTCCACATCGAGTTCGGCGTTCGCGGGGTCATTGTCGTTATCCTTCGCCTTGCCTTTCTTCGATTTTGCAGCATCCAATCGCCTCTTCTTTTTCTCCTCCTCCTTCTCCTTCTTCTTCTGGCTCTTCTTAACTTCCTTTGGACTCATATTCGCGATCCTCGCTTTGTCTTCGAGGCGTTGTTGTAGTGTAGTTCCCCCAGGGAGTGGGTAATATGCGACGAATTGTAATAATTCGATGCAAGGTCCTACATGGAAAGTAATTTTAATATCAGTTGTAATCCCAATGTTGTGTGTGTGGGTATTTTGATAAATAAATGAAACGAAGTTTTCATATAGACATAAGCACTTACCTTTTTCGAACCGAAGTCTCTTTGTAGCTTCTACCACCTCCAGGACTTTTTGAACTTGGGAACTGTGTCCTGAGCAGATAGTGATGAACGCTATTGCTTCGTCCTGTGTGTATTGAGAAGAACGAGCGATTATAGGTAGGGTTGATCAAAATCATCAGCACATACGCGAGAACACTGGGGTCTTTTGTACGCACCCGAAGCAACCTCCAGCAAAACTTCGCATAATCCTCGATTCCACCTTCTTCATATACTGTAATCTCGTGAATTACGTGCCGGGGAGCGAGTAACTGGGCGATGAGATCCACCCCGGACGAGGTTGCTCTCCGCGGTCTGATACTAGTAGAAGTATCATTGTGACGGTCAGCATGGTGATTATGATGGTCCGTGAGAGTCGGATGAATAGGTGGAGATGAGTGTAGAGGAGGTGGAGGAGGAGGTGTCAGAGGCTGAGTAGGAGGGGCGGGTTTGTTGTTTGATTCCATTCTCGAGGACGACGGGATAAAATTAGAACGTGATCTTGAGGATGCAGAAAAAGGACGATGATGTACGTGCGCAGCGGTGGTAGGAGGCAGAACAGCAGATGCGTTATGCGGTTTGTCAAGTGGACCTGGAGAGCTTTTCGTGCGCGACCTTGATATAGCTGAAGAAGACGAAGTGAGACCAGTAGTGCTTTCCGCAGGTGGCGTCGGTGCAGGCGTTACCACCACCGACTGTCTCGAATTGCTACCAAACGGTGACAGTGCTGTCCACATCGACTTTCTGCGACCCCCTCCTGGTGGTGGTGGTGGTATTACCCCCGGTACTGGCGATCGTTCATCGTTTACCATCATGTTCGGAAAATTCACATCCGCAGAATCGAGGAATGTTAATAGAGCTGTGAGGATGACAAGCTCAAGCCCTTTTCGATCTTCAATTTCAAATCTAGGGTATATGAGAATTGTTATATGCAAGGGTAAAAGTAAAGCTCACCGATCAAGATTATAATCCAAAATCTGCACAGTCGCAGATTGTATCCGGTTGGATTCTTTTCGGGTGGTTATTGCGATCAATACTGGGGGATCAGGTTTACGGATGATGTAACATTCTTCTTCACGTTTCCATTCGAATTCGTGGCTACATAAACAGCGGGAGATGGTGAAGGTAAGTTCAACGTCTCAAAAAAGAAAACGAGAGTCACTCACCCTTTCCATGAAAACGCCCACTTCACAGAAAACGTACCAGAAGCCTTAAACTCGACTGGAACCGAGGGGTTTTGTAGTTCGATGATTTTGACTTTTCCGGTTGGGCTTGGGGCGGTGGCAGTTACTAGTACGGACTGGGTGATGAAATCTAAGGGCCATGAATCCGAATGAATGAATTTGGGCTCCCGACACCGAGACAATGTTAAGAATCACCATATAGAGACACGTTGTAACCAACCCCAGTGCTTCGTTCTTTGCGATAGAATACATTCCCAGAGGGGTCGGCGAGGTCGACAAGAGTTGGGTCAGTGGGGCTGGGTTTAATCTGGAGGGTGAAGAGGTTTTGGTCGAGGGTCATCAGTGGGAAGGGGGAAGAGAAACCACAACCGCTTTGAACCACATAGGTGTATTGTATAAATACCGTAAGCATCACTGGCTGGGTTAAGTATCACGGCCTCAGCTGCGCAAGAAGCCGCGACACCTGTTAGATGATTAACAGTATATATTCTTTGTTATATCGGTGGTCTAACTAGCAGTAGTAGGGTGTGTAGCTAAAGCTTCGGCTATTGGACCACGGTCTACACCGGGAACTGATTCTTCGGCGATGCGTTTGACTGGTTTTGGAGGGTACAAGACCAAGTTTCCGAGCCTGGGTGGAGTATCGCGACTAATGAATTCCATTTTGGTTGGAAGTTTAGAAGCAGCTTGACGGAGTACTAGGGAAAGGGTGAGTGAGTGAGTATAAGGATAATCGTGACACTCACTATCTCTAGCCAACTCCTCCCTGATATCCTTTCCGCCAATTTCAAAAATGACCCTGCCCACTGGAACTCTGGTGGCCCAAAACTCAAAAGTTCCTTTCCCCTTCCCCATCCTAGTTTCGTTCCCTTTAATACACACAGGTATATCAGGAAATACGCGTAACCAGACTTTTCCACCTTTGACGACATCTTTTAGTTTGCGTTTAATAACGTCTTCGGCGGTGGTTAGTTGTTTAGCTGTGAGACGGACACCAGTGGATTTTATACGAATACCCCATTGTGCTGAGGAGGTGAGGGTTGTGCCGGAGATAGAGCCGCCAATTGGGATGGGAATTACGCCTTTGTGACGCTTAATGTATTTAACTTGGCGAGGGGCAAGTTGGGAGCGAAGTCGGGTTTGGGTGAATGAAGGTCGGAAAAGGCGGGAAAGAGAAAACATTTTGGATTATGTAATTCAATGCACCTTGTTCTTTCCACAGTGACAAATGAGTGATAGGAAAAGACCTTTGGATGGAAATGGTGGGGGTGTTAATAAGAAGTTCAAGAGGTACTTTTTATTATTTACTTGCATCTTGTTGCTAATTGGTTCTACCAGTGATGCGAGTACTACCGAAGTGAGTGACACTTCGTTAGAAAACGAGTTGATCTGAAACTTGTTGTCGTAGACCTCGTCGTCGACTGCGGCGATGATTGCTCAGAAACGTGCAGAAATTGCGGCAAAGATGGCAAAGATGAGGAATAGTGTGCTTAGTGGTGCTGGTGTGACTTTGCCTGGAACGACAGCGCCAACGACGACAACGACAACGACAACGACAACTACGGCGATGGATTCACTCCCAAAGAAACCAACTCCTTCAGATAGTGTCACCCCCGTTCTTCCTGCAGATCTTGCTCGCAGAGTGGCGGAAGCTAAAAGGAAGGTTGCAGAGTATCAAACCAAGCTTGCCGTTAAAGATAATCCGTACATGTCAGGAGGAGGAGGAGGAGGTAAACCTGGTAAAATGACACAGGTTGAACCCACACAGCAGGGTTCCGGGTTGAAAATGACTGCCCATCCTTTGCTTTTGGAACAGACAACCGGCGTTTTGGTTCAGTCAAAAAAAGATAGGTATAAACCTATTCAACCAAAGTTTGCTTCCATAAAGGCTAATGCAAGAAATATCCAAACTCCACCACCTATCGTACATTCTCCATCTCCATCCTCGAATCCTTATACCACTTCCACAGACATATCTTCCTCTGCTACTACGGCTTTCCCAGCTCCAGCTCCTCGTCCCACCCGCTCCACTTTCCGATTCAACCCAAAGGGCAAATACGTCGCATTGGGTAACCAAATTCGACAAGACCTCCAACTCGAAGCTTTGAAAAACCGTATCGCCGAATCTGCGAGAAAAGCTGGGATGGATGGTGATATGGGTATAGGTGGAATCGGTGGCGTTGAAAGAAGTATTAAAAGACCTCCCCCGTCTGCTGCTCAAGCCGAGTGGTGGGATATTCCGCTTTTGCCGAACAAGACTTATGCGGATATAGAGCTTTATGGTATCGAAGGCCTTAACGTGAGGAATGGGGAGACTAGTCCAATCACGATCTATGTTCAGCATCCGATCAAGATTCCGCCTCCGGGTAGTGGAGGAGGAGGAGGAGGAGGGTTAAAACCATTGATGTTGACGAAGAAGGAACAGAAGAAGATGAGAAAGTTAAGGAGAGCAGGAGAGTTGCAGGACAAAAGAGATAGGATTAGGATGGGTCTGCTACCTCCTGATCCTCCTAAAGGTATTCTCGCCGTTTCAATTCATTTTCATATTAATTTACGCCTCCTCCTCCTAGTCCGTTTGTCGAATCTCATGAAAGTCCTAACATCCGATGCGATTCAAGACCCTACACGTGTAGAAGCAAAAGTGAGAAGAGAAGTTGCGATGAGGAAACATCAACATGAAAAGATGAACGCCGAGAGAAAGCTTACCGATGAACAGAGGAGAGAAAAGATCGAGTCGAAGAAACTTGAGGAAGAGAAGAAGGGAATATATGGTGCCGTGTTCAAGTCTGTTACCAATTCCTCCTCTCTTTTTCTGTTCCATATCCTAATGCGTGTTCTTGACACAGAATCCAAACCCTCTCCTCCCCCTCCCACAGATTCAAAATTCAGAAAAACGCGGTCCAGATGGGCTTAACTGGTGTATGTGTCGTGAATCCGAATTTCGGACTCGTGTATGTGGAGGGCGCGGGAACGTTTGTGAGGAGGTATAAGAGGTTGATGTTGGTAAGGATTAAGTGGACGGAGGAGGGAAGGGGAGGAGATGTGCCAGAGGATGCAGAGGGGGAGGAAGCAGAGAAGGAAGAGGATGACAATGTCCCAGATGGGTCTGCAGAGTCTAGCAAAGCCACTACTGCCACTACCACCACCACCTCTATCTCCCTGGCATCAAACACCTGCAACCTAATCTGGGAAGGGCTCCTCCCGCATCGGTCATTTGCGGGGTTTAAACCCAAAGTGTGTCCGACGGATGGAGCGGCGAGAGAGGCATTGGGGGAAAAGTTGAGAGGGTATTGGGATGTGGCCAGGGCATGGAGGGTGGAGGAGGATGTTTTGTAGGTGTCTTATTGCCCCGACTTACACTACGGGGATCGGCCCGTTTCCTCGGCGAGGAAAGGCTGATTTTATACGGAGGTCTGGTACATAAACCGCTCGATTTCAGAGTGGGAGAAATTTCAAGCATTCCTTCCATAAATAGAAGCATTTTATAGTGTTAATATTGACACAGGATGCAGGTTACTGTAATATTTCAGCTCGTCTATTGTAAGCTTACTTTATAGAAACTCCAAAAGTGTGGAGCCTAATCGCATCGTCTTGTTCGAAAGTTCTCCGTTTAGGCAGTAAGCAGCCCCGAGTGTATTCAACGCATCAAGAAACGGTAAATACATGAAGTAAACGAGGTACAGAGAACATATCTTGAAAGGCGAATAGTGAACATCGACCTATCTTACATTGTCAAACCTAGTAACATGTAGTACAAGGAGTAAACAAAAACATATCTTGAAAGGCAAGGAGTGAATGTCGACCTATTTTACACCAAGAAAAAAGGGTGGGCATCAAGGTGGGTGCAGAAAAAAGGTATCGAGATAATAGAGGATCTATTTGTTATATCTGTTGAGTTAGGGAAGAGAAAAAAAGAGAAAAGAAAACCGACCTGGTGAGGCAGAGGGAAGAGCTGAACCCCTGTCTCACCAGGTTTGAACTACACCACAAAACGAAACCAAGGTCTAATTGAGATCAAGGTAATGATGTTAAGGAGAAATCAAGATTACACCCACACGATGTATAAAAGATACCTTTATTTGACAAAGATTCTACAATCAATTTGACGTGGTTTGGATGAACTGACATCGAATCGGTGTCAGATGCCAATGATTTACAGAACTTGCAATGAACATCTTATCTATATTGAGAGTCCCATCACAATGGCCTGCCTTCTATGTTTTGGTAACAGGACAAAGGAGGCCGAATATACAGGAATATGCTGGATTCGTTGAGTAAAGAATGACATGCTCAAGTCTTTGTTCAGTGACAGTTGATACAATCCACATAGAAACTATTCTATAAGTACTTAATGCACACTCCAGTGAATTTCCTCATTTCCTACATTTTTTCGCACTCTCCTACATATGTATTAATCCAAAAATAATGTCGAAAGGCAAGCAGTCAGCACTAGGTCGGCACTAATCAGTAATGAGAACAATCTCTACAAATCTCCTTTGACTCACCTCGTGCTCATCAGACGGCCCGAAAGTGCCCGAAACATTCATCCCGACTCCTGAAGGCCTGACTCTCAATGCTGCGTACTATATTACTTGTACTTGCTGTTCTTGATCACTCTTGAAGCCAGTATTGAATTTGTTGGCTTGAGATATTGTAATTAGGTCGTTAAAACATTGATGCCCGCGAGAGCTTGGTAATAAATACTGGCGAAAAGTATTTGAGGTATTGTCGGGGATTGTAGACGTTGACGTGGCATTGAGCTTGGGTCCTGGGAATTTGAAAACGGAACATTTGAAATTGGAAATTAACAAAAATGTGAAAAATATTGACAGTCCATCCTCTGCACTCCAGGAGACTCCGGGTGGTGGAGGTTGTTGAAAGAGTTTTGAACAAGCATGTGATGAACTAAATCGCATTTTTATTCCATTTTTCGTGTCATGTGGTGAATGGATACAGACAGGGATATGTAGTAGATCAAATAGATGTCAAAACAATCACCAAAACAGCGACTTCAATGCAAGGCCTAAGCTTTATCTACCAAGTGATGTTCTTTTGATATTGAGCTCATAAAATATCATATTGTCCTTCAGTCCTGCCACAAACCAATAACTACCAAAGATATTGATCTGTCAGCAAAGGTCCAATATTGAGCAGATGTTTGTTTCGTTTTGCGGTGTAATACAAGGTAATGCATATGTCAGCGGTGACACGCCTAAATTTTGGCTAGACGTCTATGCTGTGAATTGTGACATTTTCACGTATAGATTTGTATCAAGAGGACTGTAATTGAGACCCAGATTGACAGTCAAAGTCAATACTGAATCAGTCTAATAAGTTGAAGGGACCATATACCCATACTACCACAAGTTGGTTAGTTTACCCATCCCCGATACTACCTTCGGATGACAGTCTACCTGTTTGTCAAGCAGGATTATACCAGACTCGGACTAAATCCGAAGGATGACCATTCACGTATGACATACCAAGGGTATTCTTATTGGACCTTACACTGGCAGGAGTTTGGAAGAACTTACTCAAGTGACCATGAACCGAGGATTGACTCGAAATGACTTTTTAGAATTCAGGAATTATCAAATACTCCTTCTAGAACGAGATCATGCATTAACCTAAAAGACTGCGATTTAGTCTAATAGACCAATCAAGTTGCATGGTTGAGGAAAATGACTAGAAGAACGATCGAAGTACTGCGAGGCTCCGAAGGCATATCAAATGAATGTCAAAGAGTCCTGACGTAGAAAATATTGAAGAATTCAATTAAATGAATACTATGCGTAACTCCCTTGATAGAGTATAGACACAATGGGTGTCTATTGAAAGAGAGAAGCAATTAGTTTAATCCAGATGAATCAGATTGATAGGATTAGAATCGAGTAGAGCTGATTTGCCTCCGGACGAGGTGACAAACGATCAAAGTAAGTGTTGAACAGCAATGACAGTTAAACACTATTCAAGTCATTCTCCAAAAAACAATTAAATTAAATGAATATCGAAGTACCTACCTATGTTTGGAGGTATACTAGAATCTTGGAACCAATATGGACCAAATAAGGACATGTAGATTCAAATTAAATGGTATCTGACTGAGTGTAGAAGTTTCCTTGCGGTTCCGAACGTTTATTGTATTAAATTAATTGTACTGTGCGACTCTATATTCTGTATGTATAAATAGCGATCCGATGTATCTGGAATACAAGTGATTTTGGGACGACGTTGCAGTGCTAATCCATAAAAAGGAAAGACACACTCCCAACAGACTGAAACCTCTTCGCTAGCAGCCATTCGGGCCCAGCACTTGTGAGTATAGGAACATTGTGTTCTGCTCCTTGTGACTGCAAGAAGTATATCCAGTTGTTGGATATTCTTCGAACTTAGGATCAGTCGTTGGTCTTAAGGGCAAATCACGCTGTGTGGTTGTGCCAGCACATAGTTCTAGCCCTCCGTAGGGGTCTGTGTGTTTCGGTTTTAATTTACTTTGATTCAAACCCCCAATTCTTGATATACCCAAATCAATACAAACCAAAGCACAAATCGTGCTGAATCTACCTTGATCAAAGGAATATATCGAATCCTTAGAACGATTCAAATTGATTGATCAAAGCTTCTTACTTAGCTCTCAAAGCTTTGCGGAACCTTTGCCAACGCTACCCCTTGCTATTAAATAAATTTGATAGCAGTGAACTCGCATATTGTGTATTAGATTGGTTGGTTGGAGTGCCCATTAGATTACTTCCTTTCTCTTTCACACAAAAACGAGGCAAGCTCGTTAGCGGAAAGCTGTGCCTCCCTGGAGACATTTAAAATCTCTGCAGAGATTGGTGATGCTACACCTGGAATCATGTACTACCAAATTTGACCTCTGCGGAGGGTGGTACTGATGCACTGCGGTGCCATCTCATTGAGATGCTAGAGACGTCGGGTGAGAAAGAAAAAGTGCACTGTGACACCTTGCTTACCGAGCAATTAGATTTCCATAATTATAAATCATCAAGTCCAACTAATCACATTGTCTCATTCGAAAGTTCTCCATTTAGGCAGTAAGCAGCCCACGCAGGGGCCCCAAGTGTATTCAACACATCAAAAAATGGTAATGTGAGAAAGAAGGTGGTTGAAGCATTGGATAGGTTAGTTGGAGTTATGAAGCATTGCCTGAAGGAGAATTGGATGTTTTCAGATATATATTTGAAAAGTTTCACTAGCCCAGCAACCTGCTGCTTAAATGACGTGAGGAGGAGCACCGTCTTCAGCCAATGCAGTAGCACCACCTGCATGCATGGACTGACCAGCAAAATCCCTATCAGGAAAAAGACTGCGCAATTGAGTCATGAACCAATGTCGAGTGGGGACAGTCCCATTCTTGTGTAGCCACAGGTATGGGTTGATGGGGAATTTGGAATCTCTTCAGGCAAGGTAGTTGACGAAGAGCTGGCATGTGTTGTGATTGTTGATAAGGACTCAGTTTCCTTGGAATGTGGTATCTGCTTTGTGAGTGAGAAGAAGGAAGCTGTAGAAATTGTCTGAGATTTGTGCTGACAAACACCACGTGTATTTCCTGGGGTTACGCAGCTGAGGGTTATCCTTCATGGTCATTTCTGTGAGTCATAACAGACCATAGAAACCTGTAGCGAGCATGACCGTCCATAGGAGGTTGTCAAAAGATGAGGATGGGGATATTCGGTCAATAGCCAGTTGTATTTGGGTACGTGAGAAAGGGAGTTTCTGAGTGACGGGTTTGTGTTAAGATCATGTACACTGTGAAACCGTGCCAGGGCCACAAGGTGTCTAAGTGCGGAAGACGAGTGGGACAGTAGTGAAGTTATTAACAACACCGCCGTTACGCCATTAGTCCCCGGAGATCGAGAGTATAGAGGGAGGAGCTAAGTAGCAGCCAAGTCGGAGCGGCGGTAACGCCGATGACGAGGAGCAGACCAGAGAATGTTTAAGTCCTAAGGTCAAGTGGAATGTACTTCAAGGCGTTGAGCCTGAAGACTTAGAGAAGAGCTAAGTTGAGAAGGGAGATCTAAGTTGATAATTAAACTGAGGAACTACAGTAGCGTACAGGCAGTATTTATATCTATGGAACGGCGCAGCAGTGCGGAGCGCCAGACTAACTACTAGGAGCTATACGAGTAGTACCTGCAGGGTAGAGCAAAAGACAATAAGGGGAGACTAGAACGAAAGGGTATGTGTAGCAAGAAAGAACAATAAGAAGAGATTACAATAAAGAGTGGATCTTCGGAGTACCGAGCGGCGGAATGGAGGCCCGAGGCATGGACTTGACAGTATCCCCCTCTTAGGCTTGAGCCCTCGAAAGCCATTAGTATTGGGCAATACTATTAGTCACCAGAGAGGAAATTTTATATCCCGTTAGCACCCGCAATTATCCCTTTAGTCATCAGGGAAATTTCGTTGGTTCACCGTAAGCCGAGTACAATTTGAAGAAAAATTTTCGCTGGTCCGTGCACAGTTTTGCCCCATAAAAGGCCCAGGGTTTTGCTGTTAAGGGCCTAAGTTCCCAAAACTTCTAAGTCCACTAAAATGTCAACAAGCCGAACTATCACCACCACCACCAACAAATCTTTG